CTTAAAGCCAGGGTCTCAAGTACTACGAGTGTTTTGCAGTTGCTGTTGAAAGTCTGGCTGTGATTGGTTAGCGAAGTAGAAGGTTTGAAGTGGGTTGAAGCAAGGGGTGCGAAGCAAACTCAAATCGCTGGTTGTACCCAAACCTTCTAGGCTTGGAAACTTGGCTCGGAGCCAAACCTAAAATGCCCCCAACTCATCGAAAGTCTCAAGTACCCAAAAGTGTTGTGCAATCGCTTCTGGGGATATGACGGGGTGTGTCACAAGCTGTTTTTCCAACCCAACCAGAGAGAACTTCGTCTGCAATAACTAGGTAACCTAGCTTCAACTGCTTTGCAGTTGACGACTCCTCAGCTAACTTGAGACCCTGGCTTTAACCGATTTAGGACAAAGGGCCTAAGGGCGTGTCTCCATTTTGGTTACCTTGTCACGCATTTCCGTTAAGACTTTCGTGAACAGTTGTGCGACGTCGCCAACGGTTTGAACCGTGGAGTCACCTTTTCCATGTTTTAACGTTTCATATTCTAAACTTTTGGTGGTTTGAAAATCGAGCGAACGGAAGAACAGTACAGAAACAAAAAAACGAGATTGGCTCGCAAACAGCACAGAAACAAAAAAACGAGTCGCCATGTCAAAATATTTGACGCGATTCGAACTCAAACATTGGACGGATGACATTGAACCGCGCTAGTGGGCTACAAAAATCCCCCAAATCCGAACCGAGCCATCACATCCTTTCCTATTATATAGGGAAGGCTGACGTCAGCACATGCCGCCCCGCCCGCCCTGGCACAAATGGCATTCGAGGCAAAACGAAAAACCTGTGGAATCCCTCCGGGCCCCCAGAAATTCCCGGCTGACCAGACAAAAAAACCCTCCGAAACCCGCGGGTTCAATGTCGTATTCTTATGACAATATATATGTCAGCCGTAACAGTGGAAATTGGCGAACATTTATCGAGCATTGCTTGACGGACATTGACCAATCGAGATCGCGGTCAAATGTTACAACTCACTTATATAAAGTTACAACTCATTTTTATGTCAATTTAAGCAAGTAAAAATCATTCTGCATATGCTACTTCTCTGCACAACTTCTGGCTTTCGACGGAAAGGATATTTCAGCTCACTTTTTTCGACGGAAAGGATATTTCAGCTCATTGTTTTCCACGAAAATGGTATTTCAGCTCAACGCTTTCGACGGAGAGGGTTTATTTTACATTTTCGTCAGCACCACATTCTTCGACAGGGCGTTTCTACCTTAGTTCTGCGATTTTTTTCTTCGACAGAGCCCTAGCTGGCATAAAGGGGTGTATCGCCTTCGACAACATTTCAAATTCACGGCAAAATTTTTGTTTCGACGGAAAGTCAAATATGATGTTCGACAAGAGGTGTTTCCGGAATGTTCGACAAGACTTAGGAATTTTGCTAAACGTTTCCGTGATTTCTTTTTGTCCGTGTTTGTACTTTGTCGAAAAGGTAAAAAAAACTACCAAATGGTTTCAAAAATTTTGCGGTAAGTGAATGTTCGACAGAGCAGGTTGAAAATCATTGCCCTTACAATTTCACATTTTTGTCGAAAGAATAGTGCATTACGAACAGAGAAACTCATTCGATAAGGTTCCGATTTCACACTCGGAAAAAAAATATCCCGAGACGTTTTGCTCGATAAATTTGATTATCGGCAGGAGAGGCCCTTTCTAGATTTCGGTAAGCTAACATCTGCATTCGACGCGGAAGTTGTCGAGCTGCGCATTCTCCCCATTATTTAAAATGAAAGATTTCGACGGAAGGAGCAAAACGGTTGAGAAGTTTATTTCTCTCGACCAAGCATATCTACCGTCGCCAGCACCTCGTTTCACTTCTCTTTGTAGCATCGAGACTAACTATCACATAACTATTCAGCAATGCTCGAGTTTTACTACACGTTAATACACGCTGTGAACGTGGACAATCGAAAGAAGCAATGTTATTGTCGCATATATCGAGAAAAAAGGCCCCGCCCTCGCATGGGCGCAGCCGATCTCGCCGTCGACGAGAAGTTCGCGACGGATTGGTGAAAGAAGTGGGTTTTTGCAATTCGACGGAAGTTGCTGCTCGACGGAATCAAGTCAACATCGTTCACGGGCATCGCAGTCGAAAACAACGATCGACGAAGCTCTTCAAGATGTTCAGGTCGACGAGGCCTGACGAGGAATTATGATCGAAAAGCTCTGGTCGACGATCTCTGCTCGGCGAACGCTGTTCGACCGAGTAGCATCGAACTGATCGATCGAATTAGCAGCATAGGTTGAAAAATTAGCGTTACGAAAAAACATGTATTCGTGACTGTTTGTGATTCCACAAAATTCTAGCGGTTGCCCGAATTTCGGAGGGGAAGGCGGGAAAAACGGGTTGGGGGGGGGGGGGAAAGGGGGTCCATCCAATTAAGAAAAACGCCCACGTGGCGAAAGAGAAGCAATTTGGGTCGATTTAATTGGGGCCATTTTCAGGTGCGATCCACACTTGCCAGGAAATCTACTCATGTGCGATCCATGTTATTTTGCAAGTACGAACACCTGAGTCAGTATTAAGTCTTGCTGTTTAAAAGCACATTCTATCCGAGATCCGATTCAAAATTACACAAACAGTCGAAATCAAAAGAGATTTCGAATCACGCCAAGAAAAATTCGAATGGTCACATCATTTTGGCAAAATAGGGTGTTTGTACTTGCAAAATAACATGGATCGCACATGAGTAGATTTCCTGGCAAGTGTGGATCGCACCTGAAAATGGCCCATTTTATTGAGACAAACGCGATTTCCGCCAATGCGCACCTGAAAATGGCCCATTTTATTCTGTTGTTGACTTTGATGTTGGCCAGAGATTCCGCGTCGGAAACACACAGGAAACCGACAAATCAGCAAACATGTTCAAATCTCAATCAGAATCGCTACGTTCGGTAGAAAGGGGTAACGTATGGTACAACAAACAGAGAAAAACAACGGTAGCCAAACACACAAGCGAGCGCACTGTACTTGGCTGTCTTGATTCAGCCACACTTCCTGGCCAAAGTCAAAGTCAACAACAGACACAACCAAGTTGGCAGTCGTGATTGTGCTTGTAGAGAATGTGCTAGCTCCATTCTGGGCACGCTGCAGTGCACCAAGGCGTTCGGTTCATGTGGCGATTGTGCGCTAGCCGAGAATGAGGGTGTACTCATGGCGATGCTACAGTTACTCGTCAAAACCCCAGGATAAAGAAAGTGACAGTTTTGCATCCGAACTGTGCAAAGTTTCGAAATTTCAAATCGGACAGTTCTATACCCGTTATTAGGACCGTCCGGGACAGAATATGAGGACCGTCCGGAAAAAAACATAGAAAAAAAAACAGAATGGAGACACGCCCTAACAACCTCCTCTTGGTTGCATCGTGGTTGTGTGGGCCCAGAATGGGTTTGGATTGGGTAGGAGTGACAATGGTGATGATGTGCAAGGATGTGGTGGCGGTTGCACAGAATCACATAGGGCGGTTTTGAATCTCTTGCCGTTGTCCGTTTCATAATGTTGCAACGAAACACACGGTGTAAATGTTGCATGAGCAGAAACAGAGTTGCGTTGACGCCGTTGTCGTACATCCGTTGGATTCCCAGCCAGATTGCTGCCGTGTTCTTTGGGGGGTTCAGTACTGTACTGTACATCTGGCCCAAGACCTAGGAAAGCATCTGGCCCGTCCAGTCCCTCACAGTTTCAGATTTTCTTATCTCTCGGCTTGTGGAGCTGCTGACGCGGACTCGCTTGACCGTGCTCGATGTTGATCCAAGAAGGGTGTGGTGTTGTTGATGCCGCTTGATGGCTCTCGGATGTACAGTACAAGCACAGTGTATTCAGCCGTACCACCCAGAAAGGACAGAAACACTTACCTGAATCTGTATTCCTCTTATGTTTCTTCCTTGGACTCGTGCTTCAAACCACCAAATTGTATAATGTCACATTTTTACCCAGCGAAATTAGTGTGAATCAAGCTAGGGTAGGTAGAAATCGATATTGGGAACAGCGTAAACAGAGGAAAGCGCGTGTTCCTACAATTGCTGCCGCGCTTCGGAGGAGATCGGAAACCGAGGGATGAGTTATTTGCTCTCTCAAATCGTGGAAGGCGAAGCATCATTGCATGGAATTGAAGGACTGTGGGAGGAATGGAGCGCTGAAGCATAACACCAGAAGCCCAGCGGAAGTTTTGAGTTGAGGCGGGAAAGGACGCTCCTCGATCAGTAACGAGCAGGGCAGGACAAAATGGTTACTAACACTGTAGTGTAACGAGATGGCGGCATGGCCTGGCGTTACAACAAAGTTGCGCTGTGTCACTGCGAAAAGGGCAGGGCAGGGCTGGACAGGGGACAGGGCAGGGCCCACTTCCCTTACATCGCTGATTGCGAGCCATCATCCGCCCCGCCACCATCTGCCATACAGGATCTTGCTGCTCGATCGCTCGCCGAGCGTCAGTGAGGTCCTTCACCTCTTCCAGTAGTGCTCCTTCTTGAAGTGTGTGTGTGTGCGTGTGACCCTTTGCCTTTTGCCATCGCCCTGCTGTGCTACCTGGCTTACATCCCAAATGCCAGTTCCTAGTGGGTCGCTTGCTCTCAAACCCATTCCAACTTGGAATACCAATCACAACATTCTCATGGACGGCTGGCCTGGCTTGAGGCGCTTCACGACAACGAAGGACAGATGGACCCACACACCCGTGGCGGTTATTGTAGTCCCAGACGACCACAGCAGCAGAACTTGCTGCTAGGAACGTGGGATCGAGGACGATGTCCTCTCGTGTGGTACTAGAACTCGCACATCAGTTTTTCGCCGCATTGTAGTTCTATGATTCGGTATTTGTACGGAACATATCCTCTAGGACTAGCCAGTGGCTAGTAAGCACGGTTCAGCTTGTCATCCAACTATCTACATCATCCACGCCGGGTCAGATTCGGCTTGCGGCATCCTTCCATCAAAGTTACGCCCCTCACAGTCAATATGAGCGACCGCTCGTCTTCTTCTGACGAAGCAACTCTTACTGACGCAGAGAACATGCGAGAACACAATTTTCCCCCGGACGTCGTGTCGACGATGGAGGTGGAGGAGCATATTGAGCGCGACGCGGACGACGAGCTTCTACAAGAGCCTGATGACGCGGCGCAGCTGCCAGCAGAGCTCGGCGGCGTCGGCGACGTTGATGCTGGAGGTCCTTCCGAGTCGCCTTCGTATCGAAACTTACGAGAAGGCTGCTCAAGCGGAAATCCAAGCCCTCTCGAGTGCCCTGCTGCTGATGCTATTAGCTCGAGAAGTCCGTCGTCAAGACAGGCTGAAGAGGCCTCTCGCCAAGCAGTGGCGCAGCCTGGCAGGCCGGACGATTCCAGTGAGCGTCGTCAGTGCGGCGGCGCTCCCGCGGGGGACCTTCCGTTAGTTACGGCGGGAGTGGCGGCGGAAATCGGAACTACGACTGCGGCGGCGACAACGGGACAGCCACCAATGTCCCAGTATGTTCGCTCGGAACGAGTCGTGCTTGCGCATCCCAATATTGAGGCCAGTTCTTTGAATATTTTGCTGGAAAATATTACTGCGTAAAACGGTAACTGCCAGTTTGAAACGCGGCATCCCACGAGACGCATACCCTACTCGAAGTTTGAAAAGACCGTTGTCCCCTACTACCTCTGCGTTTACTCGTACCTCCTACGACTGACAGACGTCGAGCGGCGAGGCAACGGCTAGCTCTGCTGAAGCGTCGGATACCGCGGGACGGGTACATGTGGCTCAAGTACGGCCAGAAGCAGCTCACAGGCGGCACTCACGGCAGGTAAGCAGCTTTCAATAGATGCTTGAAGGTTAGTTTTTGCGCGAGGTGGGAGTTTTTGCGTTAGGTGGGTGGTCGTGCAAGGGTGAGGTTTTTAACTTTCAAACTTTGCTGAGAAAAAAGTTCTGTTTGAGTTCCAGCTTTCCAGCTTGAGGAACGGTTTGCCTTGGGGTTGGAGTCATCTCCATCCAGTGTGGCTTTCCGGCATGTCGTCGTCTCCACCCTGCAAGTTTTCGGTTCGCGAAGTCTCGCTTCCGAAAATCACCCACAACTGCTTGGATCGCTGGTTTGTTGAAACGTGGAGGTGGACGTGGAAGTGAAGTAGTGCGGCCGGAAAACCGATTGAACAGGTTCGGTCAAGTTCGGCGTGGATTCGAGGTTATAAAATTGTTTACACGCCCTCAGTTCTTTCCATTGGAAACCGAAGTTTTGTGAACTCGGCTGTCCCGGTTTGTCAGCTTCGAGATTCTTCCAGTGACTCATCTCGCTTCCCCTGCTTCCTGTCCCTGTTCCATATCGCTTCCCGCCGTGTGTTCCTCGATCAGGCACTACTATCGCTGTAGTCACTTTCGCCAACCAACCGAGTGTCGCGCGCGGCGCGTGGTCGATTTCCACAAGCACGACTCCAAGCTCCCGCTCCGAATCTCCTTCTTCGGCGAACACAACCATCCGCCGCACCACCCGCCGCAACTGCTCGCAGCACCGCCGCAGACCCCTTCCGCCGCTGCCGCGCAGCCGGCTTCCGCAGGCGCGACCGCCGTGCAGGCGTCTTCCGCCGCCGCAACCGCCCCCAGAAGCAGCCGCCACCCCGCGGACCGCCTCAGGCTCTCCCTGCCCGATGACGTCATCGGATCCGCGCTGGCAGGCGGAGCTTCTGCCGCATCTGCTGGCGGAGGCGGAAGCGGGCCGCAAGCTGCTGGTGCTCAGCCTGGCGGAAGCGGAAGGGGGGACGGGGGAAAGCAGGCGGAGATTCCAGCAGGCGTCGGGGGAAGGCTGCCTTACAGTCTAGCGGAACTCGAGGCCCTCGCGGCCGTTCTCCGCGAAGCCGCTGCTGCCTCCGCCGCTGCGGGCAACGCACACGCGCCGCCAATGGAGGGCTCGAGCGGCAGAGCCAACGTCGCCGCCACCAACAACAGCGCCACCAGCGCCGCGGCTGCCGCCACCAATCAGAGGGTGCTCGTTAATGTGCGCGCTTGTGCTTCAAGCCTTGGCAGTAGCGACGGTGGCGGCAGCATCCGCGGTAGCAGCAGGGCGGTCGCAGCAGAGCGGGAGCATCAGCTTCTAGAATCGTTAGTCAACCTGCTGACGTCACCTGTGGCGTCACCCGGATCCGGATCCGCCTCCCTCACCCGCCGCCCCTCGTCTGCGCCCTCTCCTCGGGATCTCCACTCCCCCATGCAGACTGGCTCTCTGCTCTCCCCCACATCGGCTGTTGCTGCGGCGTACCCTCACTGCGCATCCTACCCCTCCTACCGCTCGCCTGCTGCCACGTCACCCTCCAGCATGACGTCAGCCTCTGGGTCAACGCAGTACTCTCCACATGCTAAAGGACCCACAGGGCCCATGGTTCACACAGGGACACGCTTTGGCGTACCATCCTCCTCCCCTCGCGCAGGTGCGCCTTTCGCCAGTGCGGGGCCCTCCGCGCAGAGCCAGCAGCAGCTGGCGGCGGCAGCCATTCTAGCGCACCTGCTAACCATGCAGTCGCGCCAGGGCGCCTCCCCAAGAACCCCCAACCCCGTGCATGAAACACACAGGCCAGCACCAGCACCGCTGCCCATGCGTGAGGCGCAAGGGGTGGCACCAGCACCGCGCACTGTCCATGAGGCGCAAGGGGGAATGCACCAGCCGCACGCGGCTATACAGCAGCCTTTGAATGCGGTTCAGGGCGGTTTGGTCTCCCCTCCCCGCCCTGCCCTTTCGTGCCCACCCGAGGGCCGAGTCCCCGCCCCTCCGCCGCTGTTCATCCCCCGCCCTGCCTCCTCCCCTGCCGAGTATTTCTCTGCCTCTGCTGCCATCTCCTCGCCACGTGGCACAAGTGTGAACTGCCAAGTCAGCACCTGGCCGCCAGCTCAGGAGCATCAGGCCTCCCAGCCATGGGCTGCGGGGCAGGGCTTTGGGGGTTGCGGGACAGGGTTTGATGGTGGGATGGGGGATGCGGAGCTGTGGCAGGGGGACGGTGTAGGGAAGCAGGCGGAAGTGGGAGGGGTGGCTTGGCGCATGATGGAGCAGGAGTGTGATGATGCTGGGGAGTTGCAGTTGCTGCAGCTGCAGGAGCTGCATCAGCTGCTAAAGAGGCAGGCAGAGCGGAGACAGAAGCAGAAACAAGAGGAACGGCTGGTGCAGCAGCAGAAGCAGCATCAGCAACAGAATCAACACCTCCAGCTTCAGCAGCAGCAGCAGTGGAGGAGGCAGCAGTTGCTGCTACAACACCTGGAAGCGCAGCTGGATGAGTTCCCGCAGCAACAGCAGCAGCAGCAGCAGGGGCAGGCAGAAGCGCCCGTGACACCATGTACTGACGACCCTGGAGCAGCCCTCACGCCCTCCTCCTTTACTGCATCCGCCTCCTCCCCTGCCATCTCCCCTGCCGGCTTGACTCCTGGATTATCGTCTTCTCCTGCTTTAACCCCCTCTTCCCTCACACCCTCTTCCCTCATCCCCTCATCCCGGAACTCGTCCGCCCTGCCCCCCGCCACCCTGACGATTTTTGAGGCGCCTCAAATATCACCTGCTTCCCTCACCCCCTCTTCCCGGAACCCGTCTGCCCAGACCCCCGCTGCACTGACCACGTCATCGCAGCACTACCGCGGGCCGTCCTTCTCGGAGTTCCTGCGCCTGCCTGACATGAGCGCCATCCAGGCCAGCCGCGCTGCCCGCCTCTCCGGCCGTGGTCGCAGCAGTAGCTTGGGCTTTGGCGGCCAGGCAGCAGCAGAACCAGAACCAGCAGCACCAGCAGCAGCAGCAGCAGCAGCAGAACCAGAACCAGCAGCAGCAGTCTCCCAGCACCTCACGTCATTCCCACGCGCGCACGTTGAGTGCGCCACACCCACACGCGTTGCTGCCTGGTGAAACAGCCATCAGACCCAGCAGCGGCTCCACAGCCTCCCGTCCGCTTTCGCCTCTTGCCCCCACCTCTTCCTCCAGGCCCCTATCGCCGCTGTCTCAGCTCAGCACTTTCCGCCTGCCGTCCGCACACCAGAAGCCTCCAATGGCAGGGAATAAGAGGCCGGGAGACGCGGCGTCGCAGCAGCAGCTGCTGCCCCCGCCCCGGCGAATGTCACGGTCGGTAACAGCGCCCGCTTCACCCGCTGCGTCTTCTGCAGCTGCTGCTGCAGCAGCAGTAGTAGAAGCAGCAGCAGCAGCCACTGCTGCTTCAGCGCCACCACCACTGGCTTCGCCGTCGGACATGCGTCCTCCACAAGCTCAGGGCATACAACCAAGGCTGCGGATTTCGGAGGACAGCTCTGGTGCTCTGCGGGTGACGTCCCAGTTGCTATCAGCCGCTCCTATGGCCGATGGCAGCGATGCCAGCGGGTTTGGATTCGGAAGTGGGACTTCCCAGCTTCCCGAGTCCAGTTTCAATGGCGGTGCCAGTTTGAACAGCAGTGACAGTTTGAACGCAGAAGCAGCGTTTTCCCAGCTCCAGAGGCAGCTGCAGGAGCAGGCCAAAACTGGCAATCTGTTTGCTTTCGGTAATGCCTCAACTTCCGCAGCAGCGGGTGGGGTGAGCAGGCAGCAGCGCGCTGCCACAAATGTGAGCCCGCTTCAGGTGCATGAGGAGGATTCAGGGAAAGAGAGGGAAGCTGCTGGGGTTGGGGAGGGTAGTGTGTTCGTTTCGCAACCAGGAGAGCCGCTTGCAATCCAAGGTACAGGAGGAGCAGTAGCAGCAGCAGATGCAGTAGCAGCAGCAGAAGCAGTAGCACTGTCCAGCTTGCTGCAGCAGGGGGATTTGACAAAGCTCATTGAGGCGCTATCGCATGTGAAGGCGAGTGATGAGCAGGGCAGTGGGCAGCCATGGGCGACCTCTGCAAGAAATCAGGCCCTGTCAGTCAATGCTGCCTCGGGACCTGCTTTTTCTCCAGTGGATACAGGCAGGGCGAATGGGTCAGGATCTAGCTGCTTGTTCAATAATCAGAGTGGCTATTATGCTGGAGATGCTGCAGCAGGTGGCGAGGGGAACATACGGTACGCATCTTCAGACCTGCCGGGTGTCTTTCACCACAGCCCTGATTTGCTGCAGAAACAGATTCAGGACACATTGGATCAGCAAGAGCTGGATGCGGCCATGCTTGCTGCTGTCACTGCGGGAACCGTAGGAGTATCTGCTGGTGCCGGTTCTGCTGGGGAGATTACCGTGGGCGAGAATGGGTGTGGTTTTTACGGCAGTGGCCAAGCAGCTTCGCATTCACAATCAGGTGGATTTGGATGCGATGTTGGCAGCGGTCAGCAGCAGCATTCGCTTCGTGAGGAGCAGAATGGAGGCACTGAGAATCTTCTGGCAATGATGGCGTTGCTGAGAACCTTGACCGACCCAGATGACCACATGACACTAGATGGTTGATGGTAGCTGCCCGGCGCTGGATAGTTGATCTTTTACCCCGCCCGGCGATAAATGGCTGGTCACTGACCATGCTAAATGGTTGATTACTGCACTTGTAAAGCATTAACTGCTTATCATAATTATATTTGTATTTGTTTTTTTTTATGACCTGCAAAACGAGCCAGTGTGGAAAGCGTTCTGATGAATTCAGTCACAAACACCTTGAGCGTTCTGCATGAACATTGTTACCATGAAAATCCTTACCATACCGTACAACGCCAGAAGATTGCTGTCGACTGTACTGGATCAATTGTTCTTTTCGGGGATAGGTTGCTGCCTTCTGTTGAGGCCACATGGCTGGCGAGTCTAATGCATGTTCTTTTACCTGCACAATCAAAGCCAGATTCTTACAAACCAACCAGCACAGCAATGCAATGCATTTCCTTACAGGACTGAATCTGAGAGTCCTGACTGGACTGGATGAAGGTACAATTGGAAAACGTGTTGAGGGAAGGCCCGGATAGTGAAGCGAAGAGTGTCTTGTAATGCTCTCGAGCGGATGTAGCCAAGCTCCTTTTCAGCCAGGCAAACATAAACTGTAGACAAGCTTTAATGAGAAACAATGAATCAGGAAACTAGCAAGCCAGTCGCCAGCAGTTGCTTTAGAACCTGGCATTTGCCTATAGTAAAATTCCTCTCGTTTGGCAACACAGGGGCTAGCGCTTCACATACCACGAGCCTCCACGGGTCTGTAGGGAACATACGACCGAAGCGTTACCGCTTGCTCTTGTCCCGTCTCCGTCGCTTCTTCTGCTTGTGCTTGTTCATCTTCTTCCGCCGTTTTCGCTTCACGCTGCTGGCCAGTAGCGGCACCGCGCTCCCATACCCCGGACCCTCGTGCTGACCGTCTCTCACGCGAGCAGCGGAAACGGAAAGAGCTGGAATACTACGAAAAGCGGCTGTAGAATCTGGAACCGGAAAACCCAGCGGAATGGGTATAGCAGCAGAACCAGATAAAGAATCCATCCACCAGTTCGGCGAGTTTCGAACAGGCTGATATGAAACAGGCTGATATGAAACAGAGGCACTGCCAGGTTCAAACTTGAGGCCTCCTTGTAGCGAATCGTTCCTAATGGTCCGTTCCTGCCAGAGATCACGCAATCGGACGGCGGAAAACCCGTTGCGATGAAGATCGGGTCGATAAGTCCCTGATCGTTCTAGATCGGACGCACAAGTTGAAAAGGCCCGCTGATTCCACCCCACTGTTTCGCCTACGGTTTGAACGCGTCGGCACGACGAAGACCATCGTAATAGCAGCTGACCTAAAGCAATGGCGGGTCTTCGTCCGCGCTCCATGGCGACGAGTGCTAGTAAGTCAGAGGAACTACATAGTAGGCTGAAACAGAAAATGGCACCAGCGTGAAATGGCCTCGTGGGTGGTGCGTGGGAGATGCTGATGCCAGGAGGAAATCGGTGGACTTGGGTGGGGAAACGCAATAAAGTGAACAAACACGTGTTTTTTGGAAAGTTGCCTGCTTATGATGGTATACAATCTTGAAAACATGACGTTTGCACATACCAAAGCATTTTTGCTCTTATACTTGGAATACACATACGCCCCTTGATCATATCATGCAGCTTTATGGATCAGGTGGCACATTATCAACTGAACATAAATTTACCAGTTACACATATCTGCCAATGAGAAAATACCATATATTTTTTCCTTTGATAGATAAATAAAGACCGTATGAGCCATTTCCCCCTTTTTCCTCTTTGGATTATCATTGCATGAATGTTTAGGGCTGCTGAATATTCACGTATGGAAAAGCAACTCACAGCCAAGCTCAATTTTCTACAAGAGCGAAGTATGTTCCGATAATGGTGATAGCCCTAGCCCAAACGGGGATAAACTTTGTCACGAACCTACATAACTCCTGACCAGCGAACTAGCAGCATCCTGCTTCATTCAGTCGAACACTAGCTTCTAAATCGACGGCCTCAGTCATTCAGCAATCATGAGCAGTCTATGCGGAGCGGTAGGATCCTTCCCGAATATCTTTCGCTAGCGATGCGAAGGCATCCAGGTCCTCCGCCTTATGGTCCGCGTCGCGCAGGATCCGGTGCGCCCGCTGGCGGGCACGCTGGCGCGCACGGCTATGGTGGCGGACAAGGCTACACTGGCGGCGGCGGAAGCAGCGGTTATGGGGGTCACGGGTACACGGGGGGAGGTGGCGCGGCAAGGGGCCCGCGCGGAGGCAGGGCGCCGTACGTGTACCATCCTTCCGCGCAAGCGCCCTCCACGCAAGCTCCCCCAGTGGCACAAGCAACCCCCCCGCCTCCCCCTCCGCCAGCCCCCGTGAACCCCGCCGTGGCGGAGGCTGGCGCGCGGGCTGTGCGGTGGCTAGAGGAGGCAGCCGAGGGAATCGGCGCTGACGTGGCGTTGCGCGGAGCGGCCAGCGATTCTGGAGCCAGTCGTTTCCCGACAGCTGGCGGCGATGGTTTACCTCAGGAGGTGGGCTGTAAAGAGTTCGCCCAATGGGGGGGTTATGAGTCTAGGGTATCGTGCGCCTTTATTCCGCTTCTAAGCCACTTCGAACCTGCGTAGGTGCATCATTTAGATCATCCAACTTTTCATAGCAAGTCGCACTCACTCACTCCCATTGGATCTCCGTTGTTAACTGCCTCAGGTGCAGCTGATAAGCCGAGTGGCGTCGCTACTCCAGTCACCCATGGCCTCTCAGCTGCTTGCCTGGGAGCCCACCGCCAGTCGCATCTGGATGCTGCTGGAACGCCTGCTCGCACACAGGTGTGCTTCTCTCTGTTGCTTGCTTTCAGGCGGTTTTTCTTTCGAGAATTCTCACAAGAGAGGTGACTCTTGAGAGAGAGACTCAGCAGTCACCGTGCCTCCTCTCTTAGCCCAGCTGCTCGCCTGGGAGCCCACCGCCACTCGCATCTGGATGCTGCTGGAACGCCTGCTCGCACACACACAGGTGTGCTGCTTCAAGCAGGGAGGGTGACGTCAAACGGGTGTGCTTCTAGCAGGAGATGACGTCACATCACACAGGTGTGCTTCGAGCATGGGATGCCGTCACACTGAGGGGTTCACATCAAGAACGCTACGAGTACAAAAAGATGCAAAAAAAAAAAAAAAAAAAAAAAAAACCACAGAAACCCGCTTTTTCACCCCCACCCAACATCTCTTCCCCCCCCCCCCCCCCCCCCCCCCCCCCCCCCCCCACACCCCCCGCACATCCGCTTAGGGATGCGGTGATCCAATCAGCAGCTGCATCTGCCATTGGCGTTGCAGCGGCGGTCCGCCTCCCGTCCGAGTCTACCCCTCTCTCTCCAGCCGCCGCAGCGCCGCCAGCTGTCGCCATCTCATTCGCAGGTGCGGGAGAGAAGTTTGTGGATAGGTAGAGTTTGTGAGTAGGGCCGGTGGTTGGGCGGCTGATCGGGCGTTTAGTTCACAATTCGAGTCTCACTCACTCACGCCACTACTGTGTGTCTTTGCTTCCCAGTATCTTTAATGTGTGTCATGGGAAGCTGCCGCACTTGCATTTACGGCTGCAAGGCTGCACCGTTGAATGCAAGCCTTATCATTCTATAGAAGGCGCTGCTTTGTTCCCCGCTCCCAATCTCCATTCCCCAATTGCCACTCCCCACCCCCCCCCTTCTTTCCCCAATCTTCATCGTTTCTTCGATACTCCCCACCCCCCCACCCCACCCCGTTCCACACCCATTCCCTTTGAACCACGTCCCCTGTCGTCTCCTTCCATCCCTCCCTCTTCCATCAGGAGCGGAGCGTCTCTTTGCGTGGGCGCTCCCCCAGCTCACCGATCCCAATGCTGACGTGGCAAACACGCGCCTCGCCCTGCTGGCAGCTGCCCCCTTCTGCCAGCTGGCACCCGCGCCTTTAGCACCCGAAGCTGATTTGAAGTCAACCCCAACTGTTGCATCGGCAGGAGCAGACGCAGCAGCAGCGGCAGCAGCGGCGGCGGCATCAGAGCCATACGTCTCCAGCTGTGTGCAGGCCTGCCAGGGCCTGCTAGAAGACGAAGGAACGCCGCCCACGCTCCTGCCGCCCATCCTCTCCGTCCTCGTCGCCGTCGCAGAGCGCTTTCCCAGAACCTTCCTGCAGCAGTTTGAAGAAATTATCGACCTGCTGCTGGGCTGGGCTATGGAGCCGTCAGTTCTGCCGGCTAGCCGGCAGCTTATTGGTGACTGCTTCTTGCGGTTCGGCCGCCAGTGGCGGGAAAAAGGGGCGTTCACTCGAAACGTGCTGTTGAAATTGGTGGGGGATATTGAGACAGAGGTGAAAGCAGGTAAAGGGTCTGGTGATAGCGGTTCTGCTGGTGGATCTGCTGGTGCTGGTGGTGCTGGTAGTGCTTCTCGGGCTGCAGGGGTTTCTGGCAGTGGTGGTGGTGGTGGTGGTGGTGGGGGGGGAAGGAGCAGGCCAGCAGCAATGGCTGCAGCAGAAGAGACAGACGCTTCAGATGCTCGCTTGGCCGCGCTGACTTTGTCTTTTAGCGCCGTTCTGGGCGGCGTGACAGGCTGGCGAGGCGTCCCTAGCCCCAGCACACGCTTCGCCCCATCAGGTGCAGAAGTCAACGTTGGTGTTTCCACTGGGGGTTTTCCTATGGAGGGTGTGAGTAGCGGGGTTACTGGGGGCAGTGTGAATGGCAGGTTTACTGGGGATGCAGCAGTTGGGCAAGGGAATGCGGCTAGAGGGCAGGATGATGAGTCGTGGCGTCAGGTGGTTCCGTTGGAGAGCCTGTTCCGGCGCTGGCTGGTGCTGCTGAGAGATCTCCTGCAGGTGGACATAAAGGTGGATTCTCAGGTGGATTCTCAGGTGGAGGGAGGAGATGGTGGGAAAGCATTGCCAGTGGCAGCAGGTGGTGCTGGAATGGGAGCAGGGGGAGAGAGGGCAGCAGCTGGAGGGGAATCAGTAGGAGGGGGAGGGCAGGTGAGGAGGGTGCCGGTGGGGAGAGCAGGGGTGGCACGGGTGGCATGGGTGGCGGAGTGGTGGGCGGTGTTGCCTGTCTTCGTCTGGGCGCTCTGTGCCCATGGTGGTAACCACTTGCAGTATTCGTGGAAAGAGAAGGAGCAGCAGCAGCAGCACCAAGAGCCACTGCCTCGCTTCTCTCCGGTTCAGCAGTTTCTGAGAAGCTTCTACGTGCCAGCTGTCGCCCCTCTTCTCAACGCCATCGCCAGCACGCGCCTCTTCCCGCCGCCCGCCCTCGCGGCCGTGCTGCGCTGCCACCTGGCAGCACTCGATTCGCTGCGGGGACTCTGTGTCACGGAGCTGCAGGCTCAACTGGGGGAGGTGGCATCTGCCAAGCCCAACGCTTTAGACCAGAGAGATCAACAGCAGCAGGGCAGAGAAGAGGAGGAGCCAGAGAACTTGGTTAGAGACGGGAAGGAAGGAGATAGAAAAAATATTCCCGTTGATGGGAAGGGAGAAAATGGGAAAAAGCTTTCTCCCAGAAGGTCCATTCCAGCAGACCCTCTGGCTGCAGCCTTCTCTGCTCTCCTCTTCGCCCGCCCCTACGCTCCCCTCCCCCTCCTCCGCCTACACCCCCACCCTGCTGTTGCCTCCGCTGCAGCTGACACCCTCCTCTCCCTCCTCGCCTTCCCTCCTCTCACACTCCTTCCCCCCCCCTCGTTTTCGCCCTCCTCCCCCCTTTCCCACTGCCTCTCCTCCTCCCCCCTGTCCGTGCCGCTCTCCTTCCTGCTAGCAGAGATGCGCGACTGCTACCGCTGTGCCGCCCCCACCACGCACTGTAGCACCACCGGTAACCAGGCGACTGGTAGGGTTACCGGTGAGGGGAGCACCGGGGCAGGACAGCAGCGGAGGAAGAGGAGAAGGGCGGTGCGGCCCCGGGAATGTCATACCTTCTCTCAAGGGGATTCCGCGTTGGAAGCCTGGTGCAGGCAACACGCAGCTGACCTGTCGCCGTCTGCTGACGTGGCGGAGTGGGATTGGACGGCGGAGGAAGCGGAGGTGCTCCTGCGGTTTGACTTGGTGGCTCTGTCCTCGGGAGTGACCCAAGGGGCTCTGCTGTGTGCTCAAAGCATTCAAGAAAATACAGCAGCAGCAGCAGCAGCACCATCAGTGGCGCAGCAAATGGCAGCAGGCATTTCCTTGCTGCTCCGAGCCCTCGTCTCAGACTACCGCCGTTGGACCCACCGCCTCTGGCCGCTCCCCCGCTGCCAGGTGGCGGCGTTTCACGGGCTGAGGGCCGCCTCTCAGGCAGCGTTTCATGGCAACCGCATGCTGCTGGGGTTGGGTGCAACAAGTACAAGCACATCCATTATTATCACAGCCGCTAATGCTGCAACCACCTCCACTTGTGACATCCCGGGTGCACCTGTTACTGCTGGTGCTGGCGATGCTGCTTCTAAGAAACCAGAGAGCAAAGGCTTTGAGAAAGGTATTGAGGATGTCACTGGTAATGCGCTTATGGGGAAGAGGACTAGGAGCGGTGCCAGAGGAACATCTACAGGTGCACTTGTTCTTGCTGAGCTGGCGCTTAGCTGGCGTGACATGGCATGGGCATTGCAGGAGGGCGAGGCGTGTGCTGGTCTGAAGCTGGAGGCTCTGGCATGGGTCCGACAGATATCTGAGTCAGCAATTTCTGAGTCAGCATTGGCTGAGTCAGCAGCAACAAAAGCACCTACATCAGCAGGAGCAGCAGCATCAGAAGCAAAATCCATACTGTCACCTTCACCTCCTCCTCATTCCAGCTTCCCTCCTTTTCTCTCCACCATCCCTCCTCGCCTCCTCCTCTCTCTCACCTCCTCTCTTCTCCTCCCCTCTTCCTCCATCCGACTGGCAGCGGCTGACAGCTTGTCACTTATCGCAGCAACAGGGGCGCTCTTCGGCCGGCAAGCTTTGTCTGTTGCGCAAGTGGCGATGTTTCAGGCGGGCGGCGATCAAGTTGCGGCCAACCGCAAGGCCATGCAGGAGCTGCTTCAGAAGACGTTGCTCTCTGCTGCTGTCTCCCCCACCATCCCTCGTCCTCTCCCCCTCCCTCCTCTCCATCCCCTCACTCCCACTCCCTCTCCTCTCGCCTCTCCTCTTCTTGCTCTCACCGCTCCTTCACTTGTTTCTGAACCACCTGAAATTCTCCGTGGGCCTTCTTCAGGTGAAATGTGGCTCCTGAAAGCCGCAGCTTCAGGTGAATTGCCAGTCCACCTGGCGTCGGCGTCAGGTGATTTGCCGCTCAAGCCACATCAGCTGGTGGCAATTCTCAACCTGCTCTCCCGCAAGCAGTCCACGTCAGCACAGCCGCCGCATCCTGATTGGCTGCTGCGGATCCTGCTCACTCTCCCATCCTCCCCTCCCTCCACTTCCTCTCTCCCCTCACCTCCCCCTCTCCCTCAACCTCCTCCTGCTTCATCTCAATCCACTTCAGCATCATCACCAGACGCAGTAGCAGCAGATGGAGAGCTCGACAGCTGGCGTCAGCTGGCGGCGGTGAACGGTGAGCTGGCGCTGAGGTGGCTGGTCCAGCTGGCGGCGCGACAGTGCATGAGCGGGCGGCTGCGCACGCATCACGGGGGAGCATCTGCCACGTTTGCAGCCTTTGAACGGACTCTCTCTGATGCCACCAATCCCACTGTTGCCCGCCTGCCTCTTCTGTCCAAAGGGGTGGTGGTGGTGGTGCCGGGGCAGAGAGGGATACAGGGAGGAGGAGAAGGAGGAGGAGGAGGGAAAGATGCCTCGTCTTCAGCTTTGGGCCGAACCAGCTCAGCAGGTTCGGGTGGAGCTGGTTCGGCAGGTGGGTATGGGAGTGTTTCCTCAGCTTCATCCTCTCAACTGCCCCTCGCTTCCTCTCCTTCTCTCTCGCCTTTCCCTGCTCCCTCTCTCTCCTCCTTTCCAGCCCCATCCACCTCCTCTTTCACTCTCCTCTCCTCCTCCTCCTCTTCCCCTTCCCTCTCCACTTCCTCCTCTCCCACTTCCCTGCCCAACCTCACACCTCCTCCCCCTCCCATCTGCACCGGTGCTGACCTGGCACTCGACCCCAATGCGCCACGTCAGCACGAGCTGGCGCTGATCTCCCTCCTAGATTTCATGGAGGCATTAGAAAGGCAGGTCCAGTCAGCAACGGAGGGAAATTCCTTTATCCCGCCCCCTTCCAACCCTAACAGCCTCGGTTTTTTCCGAGCCAACAGGCGCGTGTGCGAGGAGTGGTTCGGAAGGTTCAGGGAAGGGTTGGTGCATTTGGCGCTGGGGGTGGGGCGGAGTGGGGCTGTGGTTTTCCATGCAGGGAAGAAACTAGGGGAACTAAAGTGCCCTGTGGAAGTGAGAGAGTGGGAGTGGGAGTGGGACGGGGATGGGGAAGGGGATGAGGAAGGGTATGGGCAGGGGGAGCGGCGGCAACGGCAGCAGGTGCTGCAGCAGTTGCAGCAGCAGCAAGGGTGGGCCAGCTCAGCGACAGATGTCGCCCACGCAGTGCGCCACCTGGCGTTCGGCCTCTGCCAGTCCCGCAATGCAGATGCGATAGCTGGGCTGAGGGAGTGGCTGCAGGTGATTGTGCGATCGCTGCCGCACCCTCCTGCCTCTGCCTCGGCCTCTGCTGCGGTTACTGCTGGGAATGCAGGCACGGCTGCTGCTGCTGCGCCATCAGCAGCAGAGCTTCTACAGAAACACGTGTGGCTTCTAAAGGGGATGGAGCTGGAAGCAGATGGAAGGTTCGAGGAAGCTGCAGAGCATTACAAAGGGGCGATGGAAACAGGAAGGGTTGGTGATAGTGGTAGCGCTAGTGGTGGTGATGGTGATGATGATGGTGGGGTGAGAGGAAGAAAGGCGATGGGGGTGGTGGAGAAGAGTGGGTTGGGGCGAGTGGGGGAGTTGGGAGCAGAAGAGAAAGAGGGACGGGGAGGGGGAGAGGAGGAGGGCCAGGGGTCTGTAATGGGTGCGCGGCTGATAGACGTGTACAGCGCTGTGGGGGACTTGGGGCAGCTGCAGGCGTTCCTAAAGGTGCTGCTGGGTGCTGTGCTCTCCTCTCTGCATGCCGACTGGGTTGTCTGCACTTTTAGCATGTTCACTGAGGGCCTTGGCACTCTTGTGTATGAAAAAAACCCTCATTTTTGGGATGTTCAATGAGGCTGTTGCGTGCTTGGTTGATGATATGCAAAGCGGTTTGGCCTGCATTTTTCTAAGTCTGACCTTCACCTGCTCACATTAGGTCACACTCCACGTCCTCAGCTTAGCCTTCCCTTTATACCACTTCCTTCCTTTCCTCCTCTGATTCTGCCTTTTCCCTCACCTTTTCCTGTTTTCTGTCTTCCCTGTGTCCCCTCCCACCTCCCCTCCCCAACTCCGTCCTTAATAAATCGCAGGCCAATCCTCTCAGCCAATCAGCTGAAGCCGCCACGTCAGCGTGCCTGCACTTCCAGCAGGACCTGACATCAGCTCTCTCCCTGGCTTCCTTCGACCCGCTCCTCCTCACCCCCAACGACCCCACTGCTGGAGGCACGGAGGTGGGAAGAGCAGCCCAGCGAGCCCCACCTCTGCTGCTGCCGCTGCTGTCTGCTCCTGCGCGATCCCTGGATGTATTCTCAGCCGTTAGATTCGCCCGGCACAATGTGATCGCTGCCATGCTGTATTTGGGAAGAATGGCTCAGGCATCCCAACATGCAGCAGCAGTAGCAGGAGTAGCAGCAACAGGGTTACCAGCAGCAGTTTCGGCCGCAGCAGCAGCACCAGCAGCAGCACCAGCAGCACAGTCGACAGCATCAGTGGGAGGTGCTGACCCCAAGGAACCTTCCCTGAAGCTGCTTCTGGATGGGCTAGAATCTGCCAAGTCAGCGCTGGGGCGGCCTCTGTTGTCTCTATCCGCAGAGGGCTATCCCACAAACCCAGCAGCAGCCATCCCACTGGCGCTATCAGCACTGGAGTGCACTCTCCTGCACGACACACTGGAACAGCATAGCACACGGGAGCAGTGCAAGTCTCTGCAACAGGGCAGGGATGGGAATCACCAGACCCATTTACACAACCTGTTCGGTTCTGGTGGGTTGGGAGGAGAATCTTCTTCTCTTGCCAGCTGTCGCGATTCCATAGGCTCCCTGCTGTGGGAGCTGCCCTCTTGGCTGGGGGTTCTTCGAGCCTGCCATGTTGCCCAGCCACGGCATGCCGAGGCTGCCTCGGTGCTTCGGCTGCATCTGGCTCGGCAGGCCAGACTCGGTGGGAACCTGCGGCTGGCGAGCCGGCTGCTGTCCGGTTCGGTGACAGCTTCGGCAGAGCAGCAGCAGGTTCGGCGAGAAGAGGTGAAAGGGGAGCTGGGGATGTGGAGAGCGATAGAGGTGTGTGAGGTGGCGCATGCTGATGAGCGGTGCCTGGATGCTGTGAAAGGCATGTGGTCCGTGTGTGGTCCAGTTATGGTTGACATGGCATCTGCTGCAGCAGCACATATAGGAGCAGATGCATCAGCATCTCCTGCAGTGCATGTTTTGAGACGTCTCAAAACATCTCCTGCAGTGCATCTTTCTCCTCACTGCAATCCTCTTGCCGCCCACGCGTGTCTCAAGCTCGCCAGCTGGCTGCTTCCCATTGGCTCCTTCAGCCATGGGTTTGGGAGCACTTCAGGAGGACAGCTGGCAGCCTTGGATTGGCTCTTGGCCAGCACGGCGAATGGGTCTTCTTTGGTTCTCCCCCCTCCGTTAGTGTCACATGGGGTACTGTCACAGCAGCATGCTGCATCCATGGCCGCAGGATCCTCTTTCAAAGTTTCAATCCGAGCCGTCCATTCCATTCAACCCAATCTGATTCAGGAATCAGATTCAACCGCCCTGTTCAACCCTACTAGACAAACGTATCCCACAGGGCAATCCAATCCTGAAAAACTGGGTGTTTTGTCTGTAGCAGGGGCGGCGGTGTGGGCGGCAGTGGGAGCATGCGGCGAGATGCCGCAAGCGTGGCTGGCATACGCCCAGTGGCTGGACTGCATGGCTGACACACGCATGCCCCGCCATGCTGGCACGCTTGGTGCTGACGTGGCGCAAGGCGACGGCACAGGAGGGGAAGGAGAGGGGAGAAGGGAGAATGAGGAGGAGGAGCAGGAGGTGGAGGTGGATGTGGTAGCAGCGCTGCCTGCTTCCTTGGATGATGATTACAGTACCGATGCTGCTGGTGCTCCTGCTGGTACAACCGGCATGGGTGCATTGAGCTCTGAGCAGGGTGCCATCTCTCCACCATCGTTTCAGTTACCGGACACTCTGTCGCTCTCTCCTGCGCTCTCTCCTCTTGGGGCCGGTTTCGGTGCAACTACTGCAGCACCTGCTGTTGCTGAAACAGCTGCGGCTGCCAGTGGAGAGGTGCATGCTACAAGTAGTGCATCGGAGGCTGTTCTTGCTGGGTTCACGGAGGGAGAGAGGGAGGCAGTGCTGTGTGTTGTTACCAACCTTTTGAAACGCATTCAGCCAGCCACACCTGATGCTGCTAGTGCTGCTGCCCGTGGTGCTGCTGCTGGTGGCAGTGGTGCTACTGATGGTGGCAGTGGTGCTGCTGGTGGTGTCGCAGATGATACTGCTGCTGCCAGTGTTGGCGTTGCTGCTGCATCGGCCACCATCAAGGCGGCAGAAACGGCAACAGAGGAAGCAGCAGAAGCAGAAGCAGCGGAAGCCTCTGCGCTCCCAGCTGCCCAATCACTGGCTGCCATGTGTCTCGCCATCATGGACCGATTTCTGCTGCTCCCAGCCCCTCCATCCCCACCAGGCCATCCAACCCTGCCCTCCCACACTCCTCCCCAGCCTCCCTCCGACTCCCCCTCTCGTTTCAAATCCATGGGACTGAAAGCATTTCATGCGGGCGGCAAGGGAGGGGTTGTGGGTGAAGTAGAGGCGGGTGGGTTGGACAGTGGGCTGGAGGTGCGGTGCGTGGGAGGTGTGTCAGGGGCGAGTGATCAAGTGGAGGAGTGCTTGCAGCAGGAGCTGACTGCGGTGCTGACAGCCGTGTTGGGAGGAGGAGAGCAGATGAGTCATTTTGTCGGCGAGGTGGACAGTGGGGACGGTGCTGGTGGCAGTGCTGCTGTGGCTGATGTGTCAGCAGCAGCAGCACCAGCAGCAGCAGCAGCAGCAGCAGTGGCAGCAGCAGTGTATCAGCTGCTCGGCACCTGGCGCGCCGCCCGTTTCCGGGCGCTGTCAACGCGACACCTGGCAGCCCGCGCGTACATGCGGTTCCTGCAGCTGGTTGGATCATGCGTTGGGGACGGAGGGAGATGTGGGGGGAGGGTTGGTGGTGGAGGAGGGGATGTTGGGAGGTGTGGGGAGGAGACTGGCAGAAGGAAGAGCAGGACGAGGAGCAAGGGGAGTGCTAGTGGCGCAAGGGAGCTGGGCAAGGGAGATTCCAGGATGTGCGATAGGGAGGGATTCTCTGAGGGGTGCTCGGGGAGTGTACCGGGGCTGGAGCGGCAGGAGCGGGGTCAGAAGGGGTGGGAGGCTGTTGGGATGGGTGGGGCGAAGCAGAGTGGGTGGGAGGGGAGGATGGAAGAGGGCACTGGTTCGTGTGGGGCTGTTGTGGCTGGGGGGAGTGCGGTGCTGACATGTGTCGCGATGCGAGTGGTGGATATTCTCATGCAGCACGGCTCGCACATGCCGCCTGTGGTTGCCGCCCCTGTGGATGTCGGGTGCCCACACGCCTGGCAGGTATGTCTGGAGGAGGTAGGGGTGCATACAGTGGGGTAGAACATTGTCAAGTAGAACTTTGGAGTCTACTCATGGTATGGCAGCACTGGCACAGGCACTGCCAGGAGCTGTGGGACTTTTGAGGCGCCCCAAAAGCTGTGGGAAACTGCACCCAGTTTGCTACCTGCTGCGCCACCCCTTTATGTGCTCCCAGGTTTCACTTTCACATCCCGCATTCTCCTCTCTTCCCGCTTCTCTCCCACCCACAACCACCTCCCTCCCCCTCCGTACAGCCAGTTCTCCCCCAACTCCTCGCGGCGATATCGGCGCAGCGCAGCGCGTCAGTGAGGCTACAGCTGACACGTGTCCTGCTCTCATTGGCCAGCGCCGCCCCGTCCCTGGTGGTGTACCCGCTGTGTGCGGCTGAGAAGCACCGCCTGCAGCACCTCAGCCTCGCGCTCGCCTCCCTGCCTGCTGGCCTTCCTCCTGCCGCCGCCCCTCCTACTCCTGCCGCCCCTCCTCCTACTCCTGCCGCCCCTCATCCTACTCCAGCCGCCCCTCTTCCTACTCCTCCTGCCGCCGCTCTTCCTACTCCTCCTGCCGCCTCTCGCGCCACCCCTTCTGCTCCTCCACCTCCCTTGGCCGGTTTGGCCGGTTCTGCACGTGCTGCTGCTGCCCCATCGTCCGTCGATGCTGCTCATTCATCAGACCCTGTTGATGACGTGGCAGCTGACCTGGCATGGCACGTGGCGCTGTCTCAAGCCACACCGGGATGGCATCAGCTGCGAGCCGCTCTCTCCTTCCTGGTACTCGTTTGGAGACCTGCTCCCTTCCACCCTTCCTCCTGCCCTTCCTCCTACCCTTCCTCCTGCCCTTCCTCCGACCCTTCCTCATGCCCCTTCCGTCCCGTGTCTCTCTATCTCCAAAACCCCATTCCCAATATTGATAAATCTCAATGTTTTCCCATTCCCAACCGTTCCACCTAATATTATTCTTTTCTCCCCGTCCTCCACAAGCCCCCGATTTCTCCCTCATTTCTCGCCCCACCCCACGCTCGCAGGATATATTGAAATCACTTTTGAGAATTCTGAAATCACTTTTGAGAATTCTCAAAAGTGATTTCAATATCTTCCCGTCCTCCGCAAGCCCCCGATTTCTCCCTCATTTCGTGCCCCACCCCACGCTCGCAGGAGCACCACCATCCAGCCATGGTGACATCAGCGCGTGCGCTGCTGTCATCAGCGGATCGCCTGGCGGTTTTACCAGAGGAGCGGCTGCTCTCCTCCCTGCAGTCCTGTCTCTCCCTCCTCCACCGCTCCCTCTCCTCCCTCCTCCTCTCCACCTGCCACCAACTCGCCGCTTCCTCCTCCGCCGCTGCTGCTGCTGCCGCGGCTCCCATCCCAGCCGCTGCTGATGTGCGTGTGGGGCAGAGACAGGGGCTAAGGCAGACACATGCTGCTGCTGCTTCTGCTTCTGGTACTGCTGCTGGTGGTGGTGTTGCTTCGGCAGGCTCTTCCCTTGTAGCGGCAGTGATTTCGGAGGTTGCGAATACGGTTGTGGGGAGTGGTGGGGAGGGGGAAGGGGAGGAGGGAGAAGCAGGGAGAGAGGGGGAGCGGCAAGAGACTGGTGTGGGCGAGGGGGAGACTGGGATGGGCGAGGGGGAGACTGGGATGGGCGAGGGGGAGGGGGAGAGGGAGGAGCTAGCACAAGACGACAATGATGATGATGATGATGATGGTGGCAGGGGGGTGGTAGATGCAGCAGTGCCTGGCGTGCTGCTAGATGGTAACGCTACTGCCGCCGCTGCTGGTGGTGTCACTGCTGCTGGTGCTGCTGCCGATGGTATCGAGACTGCAGCAGCACATGCTGCGGCTGCCACTCCTACCGCTGCTGCAAGCATGCTTGTCAGCAGCAGTGCACCATCAGTGCAGTCAGTGCAGTGTGTGCCGTCAGAGCAGGAGGTGCGAGCTGCCTTCCAAGCCAAGTACCAGGAGATAGTGGCAGTCGTGGTGATGCGCCTGCAGGGGATTCTGCACATCTGGGATGCTGATGCTGCCACTCTAAAGGATTCTGCTGCTGCTACTACTGCTGCTGGAGCAACTGCCGCTGGCACTGCTGCTGCTGGTGACGCCGCAGGAGCAGCAGCGGCAGCAGCAGCAGCAGCAGCAGCAGCCCCACCCACCAGCAGCAGCCCACTATCTGCCCTTACAGCCTACCTCACCCCTCGGGAACTCCATCTGCGTCCAAAGCTCCGCCCTCTCATCGCTGCAGCTGTAGCGGTGCTACAGTCGCCGCCTGCTGATGTCAGCAGCGGCGCACTACGAGAAAAATGCCGCCCGCTGGAGGCGGCTGTAGCAGCGCTGCAGAGAGAGCAGAGGCGGTTCCTCTCGCTGCCAGATGTCGCACCAGGATTCGCTGATTTTAGGGACACTGCCGCCCCAGTCCCTGGTTGCTTATCCAACTCCATTACAAGCAGATTCGTTACAAGGAGTAGTACTAGTAACTGCGGTGCTCTGCTTAACGAGTGTGCTTATAACGAAGGGCTGGTGACAGTAGCTGCTGTGAGAGACAAGGTCGAAGTTCTCAGCACCAAGACCCGCCCGAAGCGCATCGTGATCGTCGGATCCGACGGCCAGGATCGCAGCTTCCTGATCAAGGGCCGCGAGGACCTCCGATTGGACGCTCGGATCTCCCAGCTCTTCCAAGCAATCAACGCGCTGATGCAGAGCCACGGACCAACCAGGAAGCGCCAGCTGGCGGTGAGGCAGTATGAGGTGGTGCCGACGGGGAGTCAATCGGGCATGATCCAGTGGTTGGAGGGGCTGCATAGCCTGTACTCGCTGTATAAGGCCTGGCAGTCCCGCCAGGCTGCTGCTGCCACCGCTGCTGCTGCTGCTGCTGCTGCTGCTGGTGGTGCTGCTGGTGGGGCTGGTGGGGGTGTGGGAGGGAAAGGCACAGCAGCGGCATCGTCAACAGCAGGAGCAGCAGCGGCAGCAGGGGCCCCAGCAGCAGTGCAGCGGCCCACGGAGATGTTTTTTGCCAAGGTGGCGGCAGCGCTGCAGGCGAGAGGCATGAGCCGCAGCACGCCGCGCTCTGATTGGCCAGCGGACCTGAAGCGCTGCGTGTTTGATGAGCTGGCGCGGGAGGTGCCACGTCAGCTGCTGGCGAAGGAGATGTGGAGCTCAACGACTGGCTCAGAGGGGTGGTGGGGCAAGCAGCAGCGGTGAGTCAAACAATGCAAGTGGATGGTAAGGTGGTGTTTGTAAATGGGGTTGCGTTTGCAATCGTGGGGCGTGCAAGTTGTCTTATGTTTGATGGTGAGGTTTGGAGCTCCACGACGTGATTTGAGGGGTGGTGGGGCAAGCAGCAGCAGTGAAATCATGTGAGGGGATTGAAGGGTTTCATGTTTGGCGGTTTTAGGGGTTTGGGTCTAGGGTTTAAGTTTTGGGGTTGAGGATATGTGGCTTTCATGGTTAGGGTTTAGGGTTTGACGGCATGAGGGTGGTGGGAGGGACGAAGCGGGATGCGAGAGAATGGAGAATTTCGTCAGTTCTCCATGATTTCAGATTCAGATGCCGATGTGTCCTTCACGTGCCCTCATCTCTCCCCTCCCCTGCCACCCCCTCTCGCCACCAACCAGCTACATAGCATCAACAGCCGCCACCAGCACAGCGGGCTACATCCTTGGTATCGGCGACCGCCACCTCGACAACATCCTCTGGGACCTCGCCTCGCCCTCTTCTCTCTCATCGCCCTCTTCCGCTGGCTCAGTGGTGCACATAGACTTCACAGTGGCGTTTGACCGGGGCCGCCTGCTCAAGGTGCCAGAGCTCGGGCCCTTCCGCCTCACCACCACACTCCCTTTCACCTGTGCCCTTCTCTCCCCTCCACTTCCCTCCCCTCCCCTCCCTCCCCTCCCTCCCACCCACCAGCTACATAGCATCAACATCCGTCACCAGCACAGCCGGCTACATCCTCGGCATCGGCGACCGCCACCTCGACAACATCCTCTGGGACCTCTCATCCTCTGCACCGTCCTCCACCCTCTCTCACCGCTCTGCATCGGGCTCAGTGGTGCACATAGACTTCACAGTGGCGTTTGACCGGGGCCGCCTGCTCAAGGTGCCAGAGCTCGTGCCCTTCCGCCTCACCACCACGCTCAGGGGCGCCATGGGGCTGCCGGGTGCTCTCTCCCCGTCTGGTCCGTTTGCCTGCGCTGCTATGGCCGCGTTTGAGGCTATGCGGGGCGGGCTGATGGGTGGAGGAGAGTGGGGAGGGATTGGGGGCGCGTGGGAAGGGACTGGGGGGAGAATGGGGCGGCTGTGGGGAAGAAGGGGAAACGTGGGCCGGTTCCGGTGCCCGTTGCTGCTGGAAATGCAGCGGGAGGGGGGGCGCTGCTGCCTGCACTCATGAGTGCGTTCCGCTGGGACCCTCTGGACGAGTGGGGAGGCCCGCTCGCTCCCACTGCTGCCACTGCCGCTCTCAAACCTGCTCCCCCTGCTCCTGCTGCCACTCCTGCTCCTGCTCCTATGGCTGCCCCTACTGCTGCTGCACCTATCAATTCATCAGTACCCACTGCTGCAGCCATGCCAGCCGCTCCCCCCCCTGCCAAAGCCAACCCCGAGGCTGCGCCTCGGCCTGCATTCCCAGGTGGTATCTGGGACGGGGCGCTACTGCCGTGGGAGGCGGAGGTGGTGACAGGCGCCGCTGCACTGGGCGCACCCAGGGGGAGGTGCACCTGGGGAGGGTGGCAGCTGAGCAACGGCAGCAGCAGCAAGATCATCAGTGCTGCTGCGCGCTCAGCCAAGGGAGGGGCAATGGGAGGGGCAATGGGAGGGGCGATGGGAGGGGCGATGGGAGGGGCAGTGGAGGCCATGCTTGGTGCTGCCATGACACTGCATGCCTTGACCCACTCCCCTTCCCGCTCCTCCTCCTCCCCCTCCACCAGCAGCACTTACCTCCTGGTCAGATTCCACCTCCCCTACACCCTCCCTCCCCCGTTCGTTCTTCCACCAACCCTTCCCACTATCCCGTTACAACCTCCCTCCTCCCTCTCCCCCCCTTCACCATTGAACCCCCCGGCCCACCATGCCTCATCGTCCCCTTGGTACTTCAATTGCTCATTGCCACCGGCTCATTGCCACCGGCTCATTGCCACCGGCTCATTGCCACCGGCTCATTGCCACCGGCTCATTGCCACCGGCTCATTGCCACCGGCTCATTGCCACCGGCTCATTGCCACCGGCTCATTGCCACCGGCTCATTGCCACCGGCTCATTGCCACCGGCTCATTGCCACCGGCTCATTGCCACCGGCTCATTGCCACCGGCTCATTGCCACCGGCTCATTGCCACCGGCTCATTGCCACCGTCTCATTGCCACCGGCTCATTGCCACCGGCTCATTGCCACCGGCTCATTGCCACCGGCTCATTGCCACCGGCTCATTGCCACCGGCTCATTGCCACCGGCTCATTGCCACCGGCTCATTGCCACCGGCTCATTGCCACCGGCTCATTGCCACCGGCTCATTGCCACCGGCTCATTGCCACCGGCTCATTGCCACCGGCTCATTGCCACCGGCTCATTGCCACCGGCTCATTGCCACCGTCTCATTGCCACCGGCTCATTGCCACCGGCTCATTGCCACCGGCTCATTGCCACCGGCTCATTGCCACCGGCTCATTGCCACCGGCTCATTGCCACCGGCTCATTGCCACCGGCTCATTGCCACCGGCTCATTGCCACCGGCTCATTGCCACCGGCTCATTGCCACCGGCTCATTGCCACCGGCTCATTGCCACCGGCTCATTGCCACCGGCTCATTGCCACCGGCTCATTGCCACCGGCTCATTGCCACCGGCTCATTGCCACCGGCTCATTGCCACCGGCTCATTGCCACCGGCTCATTGCCACCGGCTCATTGCCACCGGCTCATTGCCACCGGCTCATTGCCACCGGCTCATTGCCACCGGCTCATTGCCACCGGCTCATTGCCACCGGCTCATTGCCACCGGCTCATTGCCACCGGCTCATTGCCACCGGCTCATTGCCACCGGCTCATTGCCACCGGCTCATTGCCACCGGCTCATTGCCACCGGCTCATTGCCACCGGCTCATTGCCACCGGCTCATTGCCACCGGCTCATTGCCACCGGCTCATTGCCACCGGCTCATTGCCACCGGCTCATTGCCACCGGCTCATTGCCACCGGCTCATTGCCACCGGCTCATTGCCACCGGCTCATTGCCACCGGCTCATTGCCACCGGCTCATTGCCACCGGCTCATTGCCACCGGCTCATTGCCACCGGCTCATTGCCACCGGCTCATTGCCACCGGCTCATTGCCACCGGCTCATTGCCACCGGCTCATTGCCACCGGCTCATTGCCACCGGCTCATTGCCACCGGCTCATTGCCACCGGCTCATTGCCACCGGCTCATTGCCACCGGCTCATTGCCACCGGCTCATTGCCACCGGCTCATTGCCACCGGCTCATTGCCACCGGCTCATTGCCACCGGCTCATTGCCACCGGCTCATTGCCACCGGCTCATTGCCACCGGCTCATTGCCACCGGCTCATTGCCACCGGCTCATTGCCACCGGCTCATTGCCACCGGCTCATTGCCACCGGCTCATTGCCACCGGCTCATTGCCACCGGCTCATTGCCACCGGCTCATTGCCACCGGCTCATTGCCACCGGCTCATTGCCACCGGCTCATTGCCACCGGCTCATTGCCACCGGCTCATTGCCACCGGCTCATTGCCACCGGCTCATTGCCACCGGCTCATTGCCACCGGCTCATTGCCACCGGCTCATTGCCACCGGCTCATTGCCACCGGCTCATTGCCACCGGCTCATTGCCACCGGCTCATTGCCACCGGCTCATTGCCACCGGCTCATTGCCACCGGCTCATTGCCACCGGCTCATTGCCACCGGCTCATTGCCACCGGCTCATTGCCACCGGCTCATTGCCACCGGCTCATTGCCACCGGCTCATTGCCACCGGCTCATTGCCACCGGCTCATTGCCACCGGCTCATTGCCACCGGCTCATTGCCACCGGCTCATTGCCACCGGCTCATTGCCACCGGCTCATTGCCACCGGCTCATTGCCACCGGCTCATTGCCACCGGCTCATTGCCACCGGCTCATTGCCACCGGCTCATTGCCACCGGCTCATTGCCACCGGCTCATTGCCACCGGCTCATTGCCACCGGCTCATTGCCACCGGCTCATTGCCACCGGCTCATTGCCACCGGCTCATTGCCACCGGCTCATTGCCACCGGCTCATTGCCACCGGCTCATTGCCACCGGCTCATTGCCACCGGCTCATTGCCACCGGCTCATTGCCACCGGCTCATTGCCACCGGCTCATTGCCACCGGCTCATTGCCACCGGCTCATTGCCACCGGCTCATTGCCACCGGCTCATTGCCACCGGCTCATTGCCACCGGCTCATTGCCACCGGCTCATTGCCACCGGCTCATTGCCACCGGCTCATTGCCACCGGCTCATTGCCACCGGCTCATTGCCACCGGCTCATTGCCACCGGCTCATTGCCACCGGCTCATTGCCACCGGCTCATTGCCACCGGCTCATTGCCACCGGCTCATTGCCACCGGCTCATTGCCACCGGCTCATTGCCACCGGCTCATTGCCACCGGCTCATTGCCACCGGCTCATTGCCACCGGCTCATTGCCACCGGCTCATTGCCACCGGCTCATTGCCACCGGCTCATTGCCACCGGCTCATTGCCACCGGCTCATTGCCACCGGCTCATTGCCACCGGCTCATTGCCACCGGCTCATTGCCACCGGCTCATTGCCACCGGCTCATTGCCACCGGCTCATTGCCACCGGCTCATTGCCACCGGCTCATTGCCACCGGCTCATTGCCACCGGCTCATTGCCACCGGCTCATTGCCACCGGCTCATTGCCACCGGCTCATTGCCACCGGCTCATTGCCACCGGCTCATTGCCACCGGCTCATTGCCACCGGCTCATTGCCACCGGCTCATTGCCACCGGCTCATTGCCACCGGCTCATTGCCACCGGCTCATTGCCACCGGCTCATTGCCACCGGCTCATTGCCACCGGCTCATTGCCACCGGCTCATTGCCACCGGCTCATTGCCACCGGCTCATTGCCACCGGCTCATTGCCACCGGCTCATTGCCACCGGCTCATTGCCACCGGCTCATTGCCACCGGCTCATTGCCACCGGCTCATTGCCACCGGCTCATTGCCACCGGCTCATTGCCACCGGCTCATTGCCACCGGCTCATTGCCACCGGCTCATTGCCACCGGCTCATTGCCACCGGCTCATTGCCACCGGCTCATTGCCACCGGCTCATTGCCACCGGCTCATTGCCACCGGCTCATTGCCACCGGCTCATTGCCACCGGCTCATTGCCACCGGCTCATTGCCACCGGCTCATTGCCACCGGCTCATTGCCACCGGCTCATTGCCACCGGCTCATTGCCACCGGCTCATTGCCACCGGCTCATTGCCACCGGCTCATTGCCACCGGCTCATTGCCACCGGCTCATTGCCACCGGCTCATTGCCACCGGCTCATTGCCACCGGCTCATTGCCACCGGCTCATTGCCACCGGCTCATTGCCACCGGCTCATTGCCACCGGCTCATTGCCACCGGCTCATTGCCACCGGCTCATTGCCACCGGCTCATTGCCACCGGCTCATTGCCACCGGCTCATTGCCACCGGCTCATTGCCACCGGCTCATTGCCACCGGCTCATTGCCACCGGCTCATTGCCACCGGCTCATTGCCACCGGCTCATTGCCACCGGCTCATTGCCACCGGCTCATTGCCACCGGCTCATTGCCACCGGCTCATTGCCACCGGCTCATTGCCACCGGCTCATTGCCACCGGCTCATTGCCACCGGCTCATTGCCACCGGCTCATTGCCACCGGCTCATTGCCACCGGCTCATTGCCACCGGCTCATTGCCACCGGCTCATTGCCACCGGCTCATTGCCACCGGCTCATTGCCACCGGCTCATTGCCACCGGCTCATTGCCACCGGCTCATTGCCACCGGCTCATTGCCACCGGCTCATTGCCACCGGCTCATTGCCACCGGCTCATTGCCACCGGCTCATTGCCACCGGCTCATTGCCACCGGCTCATTGCCACCGGCTCATTGCCACCGGCTCATTGCCACCGGCTCATTGCCACCGGCTCATTGCCACCGGCTCATTGCCACCGGCTCATTGCCACCGGCTCATTGCCACCGGCTCATTGCCACCGGCTCATTGCCACCGGCTCATTGCCACCGGCTCATTGCCACCGGCTCATTGCCACCGGCTCATTGCCACCGGCTCATTGCCACCGGCTCATTGCCACCGGCTCATTGCCACCGGCTCATTGCCACCGGCTCATTGCCACCGGCTCATTGCCACCGGCTCATTGCCACCGGCTCATTGCCACCGGCTCATTGCCACCGGCTCATTGCCACCGGCTCATTGCCACCGGCTCATTGCCACCGGCTCATTGCCACCGGCTCATTGCCACCGGCTCATTGCCACCGGCTCATTGCCACCGGCTCATTGCCACCGGCTCATTGCCACCGGCTCATTGCCACCGGCTCATTGCCACCGGCTCATTGCCACCGGCTCATTGCCACCGGCTCATTGCCACCGGCTCATTGCCACCGGCTCATTGCCACCGGCTCATTGCCACCGGCTCATTGCCACCGGCTCATTGCCACCGGCTCATTGCCACCGGCTCATTGCCACCGGCTCATTGCCACCGGCTCATTGCCACCGGCTCATTGCCACCGGCTCATTGCCACCGGCTCATTGCCACCGGCTCATTGCCACCGGCTCATTGCCACCGGCTCATTGCCACCGGCTCATTGCCACCGGCTCATTGCCACCGGCTCATTGCCACCGGCTCATTGCCACCGGCTCATTGCCACCGGCTCATTGCCACCGGCTCATTGCCACCGGCTCATTGCCACCGGCTCATTGCCACCGGCTCATTGCCACCGGCTCATTGCCACCGGCTCATTGCCACCGGCTCATTGCCACCGGCTCATTGCCACCGGCTCATTGCCACCGGCTCATTGCCACCGGCTCATTGCCACCGGCTCATTGCCACCGGCTCATTGCCACCGGCTCATTGCCACCGGCTCATTGCCACCGGCTCATTGCCACCGGCTCATTGCCACCGGCTCATTGCCACCGGCTCATTGCCACCGGCTCATTGCCACCGGCTCATTGCCACCGGCTCATTGCCACCGGCTCATTGCCACCGGCTCATTGCCACCGGCTCATTGCCACCGGCTCATTGCCACCGGCTCATTGCCACCGGCTCATTGCCACCGGCTCATTGCCACCGGCTCATTGCCACCGGCTCATTGCCACCGGCTCATTGCCACCGGCTCATTGCCACCGGCTCATTGCCACCGGCTCATTGCCACCGGCTCATTGCCACCGGCTCATTGCCACCGGCTCATTGCCGCTTATGCTTGTGCGTTTAGACGTCAACAGTGTGCGTCCTCGCCTGCTTCACCCCTGCTGATGTCCGCTCGCCCTCCTCCTCCTCCTCCTCCTCCTCCTCCTCCTCCTCCTCCTCCTCCTCCTCCTCCTCCTCCTCCTCCTCCTCCTCCTCCTCCTCCTCCTCCTCCTCCTCCTCCTCCTCCACCTCCTCCTCCTCCTCCTCCTCCTCCTCCTCCTCCTCCTCCACCTCCTCCTCCTCCTCCTCCTCCTCCTCCTCCTCCTCCTCCTCCTCCTCCTCCTCCTCCACGTCTGTGTGCCCTCTCTGCTCCTATCCGCCCTCCCTGCCAAGAACACGTTTCTTTTAGGCACCTCAAAAGCAGTCTTCCTCACCACATCTGTGTGTCCCTCCATGCCGCCCTCTCCTCTGTGCAGACGTTGGCTCTCAACCTATCAGATGCCGCCAAGTCAGCTGCTGCTTCTGTTCAGGTTTGGCTCGCATGCACTTTCCATCTCCATTTTGTACAACATGCTTTGTTCACTGTCGCACCAGGGTCTAGGGTTTGGGATCTCGAGTTCTTGGGTTTAAGGTTTAGGCATGGGGTTCAGCTCCTGGTTGGTGGGGCATTGTTCACGAGTCAATGTGCATTGTGCAATGTGCTTTCCTTTCCATGCCATCCGCCTAACCACTGCACATTGACTCGTGCAATGAGTGGTTAGGCGGACGGCATGGAAAGGAAGGCATGCACCTGTCTCATTCTGTTGCCACAGTGTTTCCTTACGTTCTGAGACTTTAGAATACTTCTTCTTTGTTCAAAGCCATTACCTTGCTCCCATATCTTTGCACTACGTGTTCTCATCTGGGTCTGCTTATCTCTCATCTAATCCCGTTGCGCCACATCAGCACCTTATCGACACGTCAGAATCCAAGAACCAGGCTCGCTCTGACCTCATGGTAGCACAGGAATCCTCCAAGAAGCTTCTCACAGAAGAGGAAGCTTCCAGGCAAGCACTGAGATCAGCCATTGAATCCCTCTCTCGCGTCGGCGACCAGCATCGGGGGAAAGCTCGACGCGCCGAAGCTAAGGCCGCTGCAGCCATGGATGCCGTGGGCGAGGCTCGGCGGTGGTTGGACGACAAGCGGGCGGCGCTTGCTGAGCTGGCGCCGTCATTGCCGCCAGCTGTCGCTGTCTCTAGTGTTTCGACGTATAGTCAGAGTGGTGGGAGTGGGAGTGGGAGTGGGAGTGGGAGCACCCGTGCTGCAGGATGGCTGATGGGGGATGATGTGTGGCGGTGGGCTGCAGCTGCACTGGGCAACATGGCATGGCAGGACGGCAGTGCTGATTCCACCCTGCCATTGCTCCTCTCCTCCTCCTCATCTCCATCACCAGCATCATCCTCGTTGCAGTCACCATCACTGGCATCACCTCCCAATAGCAGATCGCTTCTGTCACAGCCGGTAATGCCAGTGCCTAGCAGCACACTGTCTCTTCTGGATATCGCTACCAACCCATTACCCTCCTCTGCTCCGCTGCATCAACAGCAGCAGCAGCCAACTGTACTTCCCCTCGCTGTCATCCCAGAGGCTCTCCGTGCCACCTGTCGCCAGCTGGACCTCCACGTCTGCCAGCTGGCAGCCGCACGCTGCCGTGCCGTGCTGCGATTGGTCGGCGACCTGAGGGCGTACGGGGAGGCAGCGGTGGTGGCAGGCGGGGTGGGGGTGACGGGCGGGAGGAGGAGAGGCAGGACGAAGGGCACAGCAGAATCTGCTGAGAAAGATGCAATGGAAGGTGGAGAAGATGCAATTACTAGCCAAGCCCTGTACAACCCACCCACCTCCGCAACTGCATGCATCAACACATATCTGAGCACGAGCGCGGTGAGTCGGTGGGCGCGCGCACTGGAAGCCACGGTCACAGCGGCGGGGCTGCGCGCACTACCAGCAGGGGTGGGAGAGAGGGAGATGCGCGATGAGGCGAGGGCGGCGAGAGAGGTGCTTGATGGGATGGGGCGGGTGGATGGAGGGGTGGGGGGCGGGAGACGCGTGTGGGCGCTGCCAGGAGGAGGAGGAGGTGAAGGAGGAGGAGGAGGAGGAGGAGGAGGAGGAGGGGAAGGGATGGTGGAGGGGCATGGCAGTGGCAGCGGCGTTAGCACTAATGAGGAGCGATTGTTGGAGCGAAGGCAGGTGCTGGTGAAGGCAGTAGAGGATGCTTGGAGGGCGGTGAGAGGAGAGAGCAGTGGTGAGCGAGGCTCAGAGAAGAAGACAAAAAAAGAGGTGGAGGAGGGTGATGTGGAGAAGAAGGGAGTGGTGAGGGAAATTGAGAGGGTGCTGGGAGGAGGAGGGGGAGGTGGAGGGGGAGGGGAAAGGGGAGGGGGAGGGGGAGGGGGGAGGGGGAGGGGGAGAGGGAGGGGGAGGGGGAGGTGGCATTGGCAACCAAGGAAGGCTGTATGCGTTGGTGACGGCTGTTGGCCTGGCTGCTGCAGCCGCAGCAACAGCCACAACAGAAGGTGCTGCCGGTGCTGCGGGTGACGGTGATGCTTCCAGCAGTCGGGCATGCCAGACAGAGGGAGCATGTGTCGAGCCAGGAATGGAAGGAAGGGACAGTGAGGCGGCAGATAGATCAGGTGTGAAGGAAATGAAAACTGAGGGAGCGCAAGTGGGAGCATGGAAGGAGAGAGCAGGAGAGGGAGTGCTGCGAGGGGATTTGGCACAAGTGGAGGGCAGGATTTTGTTTGGCTCTGCACTGGCGTCTCTGCTAACTCAGCTGACAGCTGGCGGCGTGACACAGGGCAGTGGGCGTGCTGAGCTGGCGGAGAAATCTGCAGCTGAGCAGCACGTGGCACTCCCTTCCTTGCACTTGGCATCCGAGCAGCAAGAAGCAACGCTCCCCTGTCCTGCTGCGCTCCCTGCCACTCCCGCCATCTTATTCTCCCCACCCTCCTTGTCACCCCGCCCTCTATCGATCCCCTCTCCTTCGTCCCCTGTGCCCTCGCCTCCCACCACCCCTCCTGCCCGCTTGCCTGCACGCCCTTCACTCTCTCAAGACACAGCTCCTGATGCCGACGTTGTGGCTCCTTATGATGCCGATGCTGTTTCCATCGCTGCTTCTGCTGCTGCTGCTGCTGCTGCTGGTGCTGCTGGTGGTGCAAGCACTGCTGCAGGCAGTGGTAATATCACTGCAGAAGCAGCTGCTGCAGCCATCAATGCGCCAGTCACACATCATCATGCACACCTCATTTCTGCAGCAGGCAGTGGAGGCACAGAGTCCGCACTGGCTCCAATGGTATCAGAGAATCCTGGCGACCTTTCTGCAGCCGTTCCTCTCTCCTGCTTCGGAGAATCCTTGCAAGCAGCGCTTGCTGCACTTCATGCTGCTCACTCGCTCTCCTCCCTCCACCTCCACCACCTGCTGCCGAGCCTCGTTCCGAGGCTACTTCCGAGCCCAGCTCCGAGTGCCATTCCAGACCTGTCGAGTGCCGCTTCGTCATTAGATAAGCAGGCGGTATCGTCACCTCTTGTGGCCCAGTTCCTGGAAGCTTCTGACAGGATTGAGCGTCTGGTGAAAGGAGGGGGGAGGGCTGACTGTACGGATGGTGATAGTAGAGGGGGACAGGAAAGCAGCAGTGGTGGTGTGGGTGGTGACGTGGCAGATGGTGACTCGTGGGTGCTGGGTGCTCTTGAGCAGGAGGAGAGGGCTATAGAGCAGCTCATGGGCTCGCTTCCTGCTGTCCCTGCTGCTCCTGCTGATTCTGCTGGTGCTGCTGGTGCTGCTGGTGCTGCTGGTGCTGCTGGTGCTAGTGATGCTGCAACTACTGCAGAGATGGAAGGCGAGCAGGAAGGAGAAGAAAACGGAACTAAGCAACCAGAATACACAAGATCCTCTCCCTCTCTCCCACAGCAGCAGGAACTGCCGCAACCACAATCTGCCATCTCTCCATCGCCTATCCCTCATTCTTCTACTCCTTCCCCTCCCACCTCCCCCCCCGCTCAGTCCTCCACACCTCTCAAGCCCCTCAGCTCTCTCTCCCCTCTCCCTGCTCCCTTCGTCCCTTCCCCTGCCTTCTCCCTCCCCTCCTCCCTCTCCTCATCCTCTCATCCCTCCTCTTCCTCCTCCTCCTCCCCCTCCTCCTCCTCCCCCCGCCTCCTCCCCCGCCCCATCGCCGCCGCCCAAGCCCAAGTTCCAGCTGGCAGACACTGTTCACGCCGCCCCATTCGTGCCAAGACAAGCAATGCTACACCACACTGCTGCTCCCTACTCCCCATCCCTGGCTTCTCCTGCTGCTGGTGCTGGTGTTGCTGCGCCTGCTGCTCCTCCTCCTATGCCTCCCCTGTCGATCTCTTCCCCATCAGCAGCAGCAGCTGTCGCAGCAGCCAAGGCAGCATCAGCCAGAGCAGCTGCTCTTGTTGCTGCTGCCGCCGCTGCTTCAGCTGCTGCTTCTGCTGCTGCTTCTGCTGCTGCTCCTTGCATCAGCACCACCATCAGCACCACCATCAACATCAGCACCATCAACATCACCACCACTATCAGCACCGGCAGGGTCATCAGTATCAGCAGCAGTAACAGCACCTCCAGCAGTTGAAGCAGCAGCACCATCGCTTTCAGCTCCTGACCTCTCTGCCCTCCCTCTTCCCCACCATCCCCTTCACCCATCTTCTAGCACCGCTCTGACCCACCTCTATCGGTCGTTCGACTCTCTTGCAGCAGCCCACTCTGCCTTTCTTTCTCTCCTTCCACCCACTGCTGTCCCTGCTGCACTTGCCGTCCCACCCGCTTCCACTGCAGCTGACTCTACTGTTGTAGCAGAGACACGAATGCCCTCCTCTCTTCTCCGTTTACCACCGTCAGTTCGTCTGTTTGTGGTGCGGGTGCAACTGGTGGCGGCAGTGCTGCGAGCGTGTCTAGCTGATGAGGAAGCAGCAAACGCAGGGCGTGCTGAGGAGGGAAGGCAGGAGGACAGCGGGAGAGGAATTTCCGGCACAGGGGCAGAAGGAGGGGGTGAGGACTTGGAGGGGCAGGAGGGACGCCAGAGTTGGGAAGCAGATCTTTTGAGGAAGATCCACATGGCACTGCGTGATTGGCTGAGGACATACACTACTGAATGTCTGGGCCCGCTAGTGGAGGGTGTGGTGTGTGTGTTCGTGCATCCCGACAATCTGGCTGCTGTGCTCCATGCTCGTTCTGCCACCACCACTGTTGCTGCCAGTGGTTCACGCAATGCTGCTGCTGCTGCTGCTGCTGCTGCTGCTGCTGCTGCTGCTGCTGCTGCTGCTGCTGCTGCTGGTGATGGTGGTTCGGGTAACGCTGTGGGCGGTGCTGCAGTTGGTGCTACTGTTGTTGGTCTTGACAGGCAAATTCTGGAGCTCTCATCTCTCATTGGCCAGTTCTGTCGGGCTGAGGTCACCAGGCGTTTTGCTGACGCCAGCAAGCAACACGCTGCTGACACGCAACATCCTGGCCCATCCCCGCGCATGCACGCTGCACGCGTGGCAACCCTTGCTGCTGCACGTGCTGAGCTGGCAGGCTTTGATTGGTTGCACGAGCCTCAGCTGCCAGCTGGCTCTGTGACAGCTGTCCCTGTTGCTGCCACCCTGGGGGCAAGCTATAGCAGCCTTGATGCTGGTGCTGGTGTTGCTGTTCACCAAGCCTCACCTGTCCCCGCTGCTGCTGATGGTTCTGGTGCTGCTAGTGGTCGTGGCATCGGCAGCAGTCAGCATCAGCAGGAGCCGCAGCAGCCACTACCGCCACCCGCATCCCGCACTGCCCTGCTAAGCCAAATCTGTGCCGATCTGGCCGTGGTGCTAAAGACAACGGAAGCCATCCAGACGTGGGAGGCGGCCGGCGCCACTGTGGAAACCGACCTGGACCGGCTGCTCTTCTGGTGGTATACCACCACTTCCCCCACCAGCAGCACCAGCAGCAGCACCACCACCACCACCACCACCAGCAGCGGCATAACCACTGGCAGCATCACCAGAAGCAGCACCGGTGGCAAGGCAGTATCAGCAGCAGCAGCGCCAACCTCCCTCCCTGCTTCGTACCTGGAGCTGAAGCAGCGGCGGCGGCAGGTGCTGTGGGGGGGGCACGAGGGCATGGGGCGAGTGGTGCAGGTGGTGGGGCGGGTGCTGCAGGTAGAGGCGGGCAGGGACGGCAGGGTTATTAAAGACCCTGTTGCTGCCGTCAGTGCTGCCGCCAACGCCGCTGCCAATGCTGCTGCTGGTGCCAGTGCCGCTGGTGCCATTTCTGCTGCTGGTGGTGCTGGTGGTGCTGCTGGTGGTGCTGCTGCTGCTGCTGCTGCTCGGCAGTGTCACCAGATCAGCCCCTGCTGTTGCTGCAGCGGCGCCTCCACTGCCTCTGTTCCCCACCGGGCTGCCAGCTGGCGGGCGGCCGGCTGCGGCAGTGTATGGGCCGCTGCTGATGGACGTAGACAGGGCAGTTGCTGACGTGGCAGGTGAGAAGAGGAAAGGGAAGATGTTGGGCTCTTCTCTTACTCGCATCTTTCCCCTCCCCCTCCCTCTGCCCCTCGTCCCCACCCCTCCCCCCCAAACATCCCACACTCCGCTTTCCCTCCTCTCCTCACCACCGTTACCTGTGCTGCATCACTCTCAGCCCGCTTTCCAAGCAGCTTCCTGGGCCCATCTGCAGGCAGCACTTTTTAAACCCGTTCAAAAGTCTTAAACCATTAGATGTTCTCAATAATCTCATAGTTCTTCCTCTCCCCCTCGGCCACTCATCCAAGCAGCCTCGTCAGTCCATCTACAGGCGGCACAGCAGGCAGAGAGGACGGCTCGGGCAGCTCAGGTGGAAACAACAGAAGCGCGGCTGGCAGCTCAGAAGTTGGTCGACAAGCTGTCAGGTGAATTACCAGGATTTCAGGTGGCCTAATCCAATCTCAGATGTCGCAACAAGGTTCCAAGTTCAATGCTTCAATGTGATTTCACCTCCACTTGCAAGTTCTTCGACCAATATTTGACTGCGATTCACCCTGCTGCTCCCTTTGCTCTTCGAATCTCCTTTCCCCTCCTTTGCCTCCTCTAACCCTTCGTTCCCCACCAAACCCCCCGTTACAGTCACACTGCAGCAGCAGTCAGCCAATCACAGCGCGGCCCTCTCTCAAGCGCACCAAGCAGCAGCTGGCCTCTCATTGGCTGCTGCCAGCCTCGCCCCTTCCTCTCCCACTCCATCCTACCACTCATTCGCCAGGTCAGTGCTGGTCAACGCTGGTCAATGCTGGTCAAACAAGTCAAGCAGGCTAGTTCTGGTCAATGCCAGTCATTCAGTTCTGGTTCAAACTGCAGGCTTGTTTTAATCCCCACTCCTTCTGCATTGTATGTGGCCACTCGCCTTGCCCTCCTTTGATAAATCTGAGGCACATACTCTTTTTTTCTCCTTGGCCTCCTTTCTTCTCACTCACTTGCTGCCACTCTGCTTCTCCTACACTCCATCAGGTATCAGACGCGGCATCTGCAGTGCAGGGCTCAACCATTGCTGCTATAGTAACGCCGGATATTGTCACATGTGCCGAGAGAGTGCACTCAGAATGCCGCAGTTTCGTAGACCTGCTTGAATCAGTAAGAACTCTGTGCTCAAGTCAGTCAGTCTAATCATACTCCATCCACTGTGCTCAAGTCCCCATGCATGGTTGTCCCGTGGTGCCCATGCATGTTGGCCCATGGTGAATATGCATGGTGCCTATGCATGGTGCCTAGGCATGGTGCCTATGCATGGTGCCTATGCATGGTGCCTATGCATGGTGCCTATGCATGGTGCCTATGCATGGTGCCTATGCATGGTGCCTATGCATGGTGCCTATGCGTGGTGCCTATGCATGGTGCCTATGCATGGTGCCTATGCATGGTGCCTATGCATGGTGCCTATGCATGGTGCCTATGCATGGTGCCTATGCGTGGTGCCTATGCATGGTGCCTATGCATGGTGCCTATGCATGGTGCCTATGCATGGTGCCTATGCATGGTGCCTATGCATGGTGCCTATGCATGGTGCCTACCTATGCATGGTGCCTATGCATGGTGCCTATGCATGGTGCCTATGCATGGTGCCTATGCGTGGTGCCTATGCATGGTGCCTATGCATGGTGCCTATGCATGGTGCCTATGCATGGTGCCTATGCATGGTGCCTATGCGTGGTGCCTATGCATGGTGCCTATGCATGGTGCCTATGCATGGTGCCTATGCATGGTGCCTATGCATGGTGCCTATGCATGGTGCCTATGCATGGTGCCTATGCATGATGCCTATGCATGGTGCCTATGCATGGTGCCTAGGCATGGTGCCTATGCATGGTGCCTATGCGTGGTGCCTAGGCATGGTGCCTATGCATGGTGCCTATGCATGGTGCCTATGCATGGTGCCTATGCATGGTGCCTATGCATGGTGCCTATGCATGGTGCCTATGCATGGTGCCTATGCATGGTGCCTAGGCATGGTGCCCATGCTAACTCATTGATGCACATGCACAGTGCATACATGTTTGATGTGCGTCTATGTTTCTATGTTTCTTTGCCATTTCTTTGTTTGTTTCTTTTCTTTTCTTTCTTTGTTGCAGGTCCAAGGAGCAACATCTCTTGAGACGTCTCAAAAGTCAACATCTCCTCTTCCTTCCGCGCACCCCCACCACCTCCCCTCTCTTCTCCACCTCGCCTCCTCCCTGCACCAGCAAAGCTCTTCCCTCATCCCATCCATCTCCAATCTCGCGCAAACCACCCTCTCCTCCCTCCACACCCTCCGCCTCTCCAAGCGCTGCCAGCTGGCATCCACGTCAGCATCGACAGCTGTGCGAAATTCTGAGCTGGTGACAGAATCGCCGCCAGCAGGGCGGGTGTCGGTGGAAGCACTGGATGGCGCTGTGCTGGCGGTGTGCAGGCGCGGTGAGTGCTTTGTGTGTGCCTCGTGGCCTGCCTGCAGTCATCTCTGTTAATAGCACATTGTGCCTCGTGGCTTGTAGAATTGCACGTTGTCAAATAAGGCAGGTGTTGGTGGAAGCTCTGAGTGGCACTGTGCTGGCGGTGTGCAGGCGCAGTGAGTGCTTTGTGTGTGCCTCTTTGCCCACCTGGATTCATCTTCGTTACTTGTCAACACCTGTAGAAAATATTTGAAAGAGTTTGGGCGCATCACCTCAGGGCTGGGGAGCCCGGATTCGAACAGCTATATCTGTTTTACTGTACGAACAGTCTCCCAAGTGGTTTCGAACACAAATTCGTGCAATGTGCGAATGTGACAACCGTGCAGGGCAGGTGACGCCATCGCTATTCGCACACGCGGTCTGTTTCAAACACGGCGACGTTGCCCACAAACGAGCGACGTCGCCCACAAACGAGCGACGTCGCGATGCATTGTGTCCCTCGCTTGTGTGTTCCTCCACCACTGCGACCACCAAATTCGTAGCCAACTGGATCGCTAGAAATACATCCAGTCACGGCTTCACTGCTCTGCTCTGCATGGCGACATTTGCAATGGTCGCAAGCTCGCGTGCGACCGGAAGCCTGCTGACCAATCAAATCAGTCGTCCGTGCGGAATCCCTGTCACCAATCCCAACTTGTTCGAACAACTCTGTTCGAACGTGCGGAATGAAGAGCTTCGCGCTCCATGTGACAGCTCTGTTCAGATTCGCGAAAATTCTGACTAGCGACGTCACGAACAACCTACGAGGAAAGGCGAAAACAGTTACATTTCACCTGTTCGAACGAGCGTGCTGTTCGAACTGAGAGGTGAAAGGCCATTGAAGAAACCTTGTTGTGAATACATTCCACAGCGCGAGGTGGTGGAAGGTACGGATGGCGTTGTGGTGGCGCTGTGTCATCGCGGTGAGTGCTTGTTGTGCCCTGGCTGTGTAGAGTCATCCTCATTATTTTGCGAAATCACTTTTCATCATTACATATATTTCGGGAACCCCTTTTGCTCCCTGCTTCCGTTGGGCTCCTTGACTTGCTTGACTTGTTTGACTCAGAGGCCAAGGCGAGGCAGCATGCAGAGCAGGTGATATGGCACCTGCAGCAGAAGCTCAACAAGCAGGACCCCCTCCTGGTCGCTGCTGCCACTGCAAGGTAAGCATGCACAGCTCCATCCAAACCACTGTTGCTCCACATCTCATCATCATTCCCACCCACCCTTCCTTCATTCTGCCCTGCGTTCTTACACCGCGCCTGCCTAAGGGCTATTTCGTTTTCTTCCCTTTTCCCTGTTAATCAACTCTGGCACTCCTGTGTGCAGCAGCAGCAGCAGCAGCAGCAGCAGCAGCAACGGCAGATCGCATGAGTTTTCCACCTCTCAAAAGATGCTTTCAACCAAGAAGGTGGTGAGGCAGCTGATGGTGGAGGCATGTAGCCCGGACAACCTGTGTGAGATGTACGAGGGCTGGATGCCCTGGATCTGATTGGCCTCGCAACACAAGTCAAAAACTACAAGGGTGTTGGGGAAGAATCAAGGTTGCAGGGGGGCGTTGAGGATCATGGAAGTGCCGGACACCCAGGAAAAGGGGGAGTGGGAGAGGGGATGGGTGGAGAAGTGGAGCGGACGGGTACTACTAGATAGCAGGGGGGAACGAATATCTTTGCTAGGGGAATGGCGAAGTCCATATGGAGAACACCTGTTTAAAATTGTCAATCAAGCAATCATACCGTATGTTTGAATGAGGTGAACAAATCTGAGGCTCTCTCAAGTGTGACGATCTGATCTGAACACAGGCCATCAATGTGTTCAGCATTTTCCAATGACCTTAGGCCTATTCGAGTACTCCAACATGAATAATTCTAGCACTAATATAGATTGTGCCTACTGCTCATGTAACCGAATTTTGTTCGCGACTAGCGAAGCTGGGTGTAGATGTGCGCGAAAGCTGATGTGGCCGCCATTTGCCCTTAAAGGGGTGATCAAAGTGCTGCAAATTTCCGACGTCGAGGTTGCTGGGCGAGGTAGGTGAGCTGAGGGGTGCCATTTTTGTGATTAAAGTACGCCTCAAAAATTGCTGACGCCACCATCGCCACTTGTACGGTATTGAGCGCATCTCTACAGTGATAACGTGACCACAACAGACAGCAAAACAGTTCGACAAGAATTGTATTCTCGAAAGTGACGAAGTTGTACAATTCGCTTGTGTTTTTTCGCAGCCAAAAGACGTACTGTACATGCACACGAAAAGGGCCTTGCGATTCCCGACATTCGTCTGAATTCAATTGTTCTACTATTTAGGCCGGCATTTGTCCTGTGTGAAAGTTCGTCGCCGGCATTGTGATCAAAGTGCCGCTTTCGACGTCGATCGACGTCGAGCTCGACGTCTATAGACGTCTGACCTCCGACGTCGCAGTTCATCAAAAATACTTTGATCACCCCTTAAACGTGCTGGCGGCAATCTGTTGGATATGCCTAGCCGAGTCCATTGGGTCTGAACTGTTCAGGTCCACACAAGACGACAAGCGACAGGCTAGCCAGGTGGAAATCGAAACATGTCATGGGTACACCCTCTTGACAAATATTTTACACGAAACAAGTAGCTTTCGCCTATCTCGTTGTAATCTCGTAGATATCTCTTCCTCTGGTTCTTAGACGAACGTGGCGAAATTCTTGACATGAACGCCCTGGATTTCACTCGGCATTGATATCTGGTGTGTCAGGGACATAAGCCCGCGACTCGGAAGGAATTAATGCTCGAACCGCGCATCTTAGTCAGGCCAACCACATGCCTCCTGCAGTAATCCTTGCTTCCTCCTCTCCCCTCATTTTTATCAACACATCTCGTTGCCAACCACTTTTATCTCAACTGCTCGCACATTCGACACTCGATAGTATGGCTGGCTGAACAGCGGAGAGGGGGCCAACCACTCCTGAACGCACTGCACAGTGCGCCTAACTCCAAAGCAGTTCACTTGTAAATGCAGATTGTGCGAAAGGGGCTCGTCAAAGAGCAGTACTGTAGTTGTGTCTCGAGCTGGTTTTGTTCTTTGTTCACTGAATGGCACTCGCCTCGCAGGAATCATCAGTCACGGCGGCTCCTCTCCTCTTTTGTTGCATCTCAGGGCCGTACAAACACCACTGATACACACTGTGATAAGCGAGCACCCGATCCCTTCCTCTCAGTAGGTCGTAATAAAAAGAACCTCCACTTTCTCGAGCAGGGTAGAGTCTACTCGGGAGGCGTTTCGTCGCAAACTGAGAGACTTTCAGAGAATAGTAGCTCTCGCCGCTTCGGTGTTCAGCACGAGGAATTTTGTTTTAATTTGTGCCGGCCGCAAAGCCTTAACGTCAAGAAGATCCGGATTCAACGCAGCCGCCCAGACTGCGCGCCGAGCTAGTAGCACTGGTAGAGCGATTCGACCGTCGTTCCATTTTATCGCGGTGGCGGCCTGACGATAAAACTCCCGCCGTCAAGCATCGCCAGCGCTTATCAACAGATTCCGTCGGCGTTACCATGGCGTCGCCGCGCTCAGCGGCCGCCGCCGTGTCACGGCGACTGTCGCGGCTCCGAGCGGCGCTTGCGATGCTGCTGCTCTTCTCACCGCTGTCGTCGGCCAGCGAAGTCGCCATGAGCAGCGATGCAGGTGCGCAGCGAATCGGATGCGCTCGTGCACTACCACATCAGCAGAGCTTGCTGAGCTGAATTTGACGAATGTCGCCGCATTCCGCGTCGCGACGACAGTCTCGTTCTTCTGGGGGAGCCATTGAACCTATTAGTAATCTTTGTTTTGAGGCGCCTCAGAAATAGCTTCCGCCGTCACGACGACAGTCTCGTACGAGACTGGAGGTAGTGAGACGATTTTGAGAACACTTTCTGGGGCCACACTAGCTTTTGCGTGCAGTGAAACGATTATGAGGAGAGGCACCACACCGGCGGAATCCTCAAGAATGTTTCGGATATCAGGCTCAGATTTGATCCTTCTATCCCCTTTGTCGTTTTCTGCACGTCCGTCGCGTCGCAGAGGCGGCACTGTTACAGTTGCTCGACGACGCGCAGGTGCCGCTATCGGACTGGGCGGCAGGTCAGTCGTGCACGCCGGACGGCGACGTGCAGCCGACTTCGGAGGGATGGACGTACGTGCGCTGCGACTCCAACGGTCAACCCGTTTCACTGTAAGTCAACGGTTCTCTTCGTGAGTCAAAACGTGGCTTTTGGGCACAATTTGGCCGCCGGAGTCGCCGAACACGTCGTCGTCATCGTCGTCGTCGTCGGTAGAGTGGGCGTACGTGCGCTGAGACTCCCACCCCACGGTCAACCGGTTTCACTTTGAGTCGCCCCATGCCTCCGCGAAGCTACCCGTGTCGATGTGATTTGGCTCAAGCTCCAGGTTGCATGCTCTTCTACTTCCTCAGTTCCGTTTTCTGAGTCGACTCTAAAATCGACTTATCACTCAAGCTCCAGGTTGCATGCGCTTCTACTTCCTCAGTTTCGTTAAACACCTCTTTAACTTTCCCAAGGCTAAGATCCTTCCCACTCGTGTTGCCGCTTTTCCTCACTCTTTCCTCCCGCTATCCCTCCCCTCCCCCCACCCGCACCGCAGGGTGCTCAACTTCATGGGCCTCATAGGGAACCTCAGCCCCGAACTCAGCGCGCTCTCCGCGCTCACTACCATGTCAGTCCACCATCACGTCTCTCTGTATCCCAATACCATTATCGCCACCACCCTCTCTCCATGTCGGCACCAGCACCACCCTCTCTCCTCCATGTCAGCACCACCCTCTCTCCTCCATGTCAGCACCACCCTCTCTCCTCCATGTCAGCACCACCCTCTCTCCTCCATGTCAGCACCACCCTCTCTCCTCCATGTCAGCACCACCCTCTCTCCTCCATGTCAGCACCACCCTCTCTCCTCCATGTCAGCACCACCCTCTCTCCTCCATGTCAGCACCACCCTCTCTCCTCCATGTCAGCACCACCCTCTCTCCTCCATGTCAGCACCACCCTCTCTCCTCCATGTCAGCACCACCCTCTCTCCTCCATGTCAGCACCACCCTCTCTCCTCCATGTCAGCACCACCCTCTCTCCTCCATGTCAGCACCACCCTCTCTCCTCCATGTCAGCACCACCCTCTCTCCTCCATGTCAGCACCACCCTCTCTCCTCCATGTCAGCACCTTCCGCCTCCCTCTGCCCTTGCTGCCATGTCAGTTTCACCCATTCACGTCCGCTGTATCCCAATACCGCACCTTATCCCATCTCAACCCCCTTTCACTCCCCTCTACCACCACCAGCGACCTGGGAATGAACCTATTCAACGTGGAGATCAGCGACTTTGTAGCCCCGCTGCTGCAGATCAAATCCATTGCCTACATGTACGTCAATCAAGCTCGTTACATATATATTCAATGTTCAAGTTTTGATTCAGATTTTTTTTTTTTTTTTTTTTTTTTTTAAAGACTCCTCCCATTCTTCCATTCCTACCATCACTCCGCCTCCCCTCGTCCCCCATCCACACAGCGACCTGTCCAGCAACTACCTCTATGGCTCCGTACCAGAAGCGCTCTTCCTCATGCCCAACCTCCAACTCCTGTGAGCCTTTCAAATCTTTCCATGCCTGCTAGTGCTGTATGCCGCCTTCTGGTGCATTTATCCCATGTCATAACTTTGCATTTATCCCATGTCATAGCTTTGCATTTATCCCATGTCACAACAGGTGGGAGGCATTCATGTGCCTCCGTTCAGATCTCAACTTCTCAGTCCACATGTCTCTGGCTGACCATCCGTCCGTGTGTCTCCCTGCTAGTGCAGTAACCCCCTTCAGCCCGTGCCTACTCCGTGACCCCTTCCCACCTGTTTTGTTTCCACCAGCCTCAATCCTTTTCCCCCCAAACCTTTCCACTTGCCCTTTAGCAGCCTATCAAACATAACCCTCCGCTGCGCCTCAATCATAACCCTCGTTTTGACCCAGTGGGTAGCGAGGTGTTACATCTGGTCTCAGAGCCTGGGGCTCGATTCCCGGCTGGGTCACATTTTCCTCTATTGAGCGAGAAGTTGAATGTGGTTACCCAGTCGCGAACCCAGTGAACGATCCGCTGCTGGCCTGGCCCACCAGCGAAGTCGCTGTAGAGCGAGATTGAGGTCCTTGCGAGGGCCGACTCCCTGCCCAACGAGGACGTTGGCTCCAGGGGGGGACGAGTGTAACGCCTGTGGGGCTTACACGTAAGGGTTGAGTGCCTCCGCTGCGCCTCAAACATAACCCTCGTTTTGACCCAGTGGGTAGCGAGGTGTTACACTACCCTTCCTCCTCTCACTCTCTTTCCCCTTCCCCCGTCTCCCTTTCCCTTTCCGCTCCTCTCCTGTCCCTTCAGTCCTCCCACACCTCCTATCAGTTCCCTAGCCTCAAACTATCTCGCTGGCGTTCTGCTGTCTCAACTTATAACCTCTCTCCACTACCCTCCCGTTCCTCTCTCCCTTACACCATCAGCTCCCTGGCCGCCAACTATCTCACGGGCGCTCTGCCGTCTCCTCCCTCCGTCGCCCTGAAAACGCTCGACGTCTCGGGAAACTTCTTCGCAGGTTCCTTCCCCTCCTTCGCCTCACAACTTGACGAGTGCAGTACGGGCGGCAACTGCTTGTCTTCTTCTGGGCACTGTTCGTCGGGAGAGGGGGCGGGTGGGGAGCAGAGAGGGGAGGAGGCGTGTGCAGTGTGTGGCGGGTCAATGAAGTCAACGCAAGTCAACCTGTGTGGCGAGGGGAGAGTGTGTGTAGCAGAGATGGATACTGTTCCTGAATCAGCAGACGAGGCAGGGAGTGTGACTGTAACGATGGTGTGCCAAGACGGTAAGAAACCAAACGCTTTTTTTAATTATTTATTCATTTATTTAATTAATTAGATTCTCCCCGTTCTGCCTGCCTTTCAGCCTCTTTATCCACTGTAGTTCCTCATGTTTAAGGCCAATGAAACACACTCACTTGTAACAATCCTCTCCTTTGTACCTCGTTCTTTTCTTGCTCTTTCCATGCGATTCCTTCGCATTTACTCACAGTTTCGGCTGCTGAAGATGAGAATGTGGGAGATGAGAGTGGCAATACCGACGGCTCTGAGGAGGAGGAGGACAAGGAAAGTGGTGATAGCAGCAGCAGCAGCAGCAGCAGCAGCAGCAGCAGTGGTAGCAGGAGTAGTGATGAGAGCAATGGTGGGAGTAGTGATACCGCCTCCCAGACGAAAAGCAGCGATAGCAGCACAAGTGGCAGCTCTGCTGTTGACAGTAGCAGCAGCAACAGTGGTACCAGCAGCAGCAGCACTGGCAGCGGCAGCAGCAGCAGCAGTGGCAGCAGCAGCAGCAGCAGCGGCAGCAGCAGCAGCAGTGGCAGCAGCAGCAGCAGCAGCAGCACTGGTGGCAGCAGCAGCAGCAGCAACAGTAGCAGCAGCAGCAGCAGCAGCCTGGTGAAGGATGCAGGCAGCAGTGGCAGTGGCGCTAGCACTGGGAGTGGTAGTGACAGTGACAGTGACAGTGACAGTGACAGTGACAGCATGATTGTTGGTGGCAGCGATGTAAAGGCTGGCAGCAGTGATGCTGAATCCGCAAAAGAATCTCCCACAGGTGCTTCTGGGGACGGTGCAAAGAGTAGTGCTGATAGTGGTGCTAACAGCGGTGATGGCAGCGGTTCTAAAAGTGGTTCTGGCAGTGGTAGTGAAGAGAAGGAGGGTGGCAGTGAGGGGGGCAATACAGTAGCTGGACCGGAAGACAAGGAAGGAGATGAGGAGGAGGGAGGAGAGGAGGAAGGGAATGTTGACGAGGGAGAGGAGGAGGAGAGTGGTGAAGGGGAAGGGGACACGACGAGTGAGGTGGGAGATAAGGGGAGTGGAGGAGGAGAGACGGGAAGCGGTGGAGGAGGAGAGAAGGGAAGTGGTGAGGGAAGCAGTGGGGCCAGCCAATCAGATGGAAGTGCAAAGTCTGGGGAGGAAGGTGGCACGGGTGAGGGAGAGAAGGACCAAGGGATCGACAGCAGCGGTGGCAGCAGCAGCAGCAGCAGCAGCAGCAGTGGCAGCAGTAGCAGCAGCAGCAGCAGTGGCAGCAGCAGCAGTGGCAGCAGCAGTGGCAGCAGTAGCGGTAGCAGTGGCAGCGGTAGCAGCAGTAGCAGCAGTGGCAGCGGTAGCAGCAGTAGCAGCAGTGGCGGCGGTAGCAGCAGTAGCAGCAGTGGCAGCGGTAGCAGCAGTAGCAGCAGTGGCAGCGGTAGCAGCAGTAGCAGCAGTGGCGGCGGTAGCAGCAGCAGTAGCAGCAGTGGCAGCGGTAGCAGCAGCAGTAATGGCAACAGAAAAAGCGGTGGCGGATCAAAGGGGGGCAGCAAGGCCAAGGGAGGAAGCAGCAAAGGAGGCACCAGCAGTGGTGACAGCAGCAGCAGCAAGACAGAGGGGGGTCTTGGGGACGAGGCAGCACCTAAGGAAGGTTCAACTGGGACAGGTGCAGCTGCGGGGGGTACCAATGCAGGCGACTCCAAATCGAGCAGTGAGTCAGGGACAGGAACAGGGAAGAAGAGGAATTGCAACAGGAGGATCAAGTGCCCTAAAACCGCGTGTTTGGGACGGCGGAGGCGGTGTGTTCCCTACTACAGAAGCTGCAACGGCTACAAGTGCTTATAATCCACATGCATCGTAGTTTGTTTGTTCTTCCAGTGCGCATGCTGCGAGATTTCTCAGGAGAGTGAAGCATGCCAGGTGGAAGGGGAAAGCGGCTTGTAACGTGGAAGCATCTGGCAGACAAGTTACTTTAAAGGGGCACCACCACTCGCATCAGTCACACTTGCCCAAATTTTGAAGGTGGTGATGCTGGGGATACCGGTAAGTTTTTGTTACAAAAAGTGTGTCATATATTGGTTGCAAATGTTGTACCATGTGTTCAATCTGGTTGTACGATGTGTATTTTGAATGTAACATGAAAGGTCTTGTGCAATTATGGCGGGCTGTGTAAAAGAAGAAACGGAACCATTTATAGTTGACTACCTAGATAGACTGGAAGTACATATATTTTCAATAAATGTACATGTAGCATAAACTGGATCTGACAGGACATACGTACCACTACAGCTCCCAACTATACAAATATATTGCAAGGGAAAAAAAAAAAAAAAGGCAAATCCAAACACAAAATTGGATGGAGGTTATTCCCTCCCAAGGTGACGGTCACCATAGCTCTCCCACATCCTTGCAGCCAGCCACCACAGAGACTGCTGATGGGGAACTGTTCCCAAGTATAAGCAGCACTGTCACTGCCTCCACAGCATGTTAGTCATGGTGGTGGGTACTTGTGCTCACGCTTTTCATGCTCCTCATGCTCCGAGCGCATCAATCTTCATCACCTTCACATTGTCCATTGAATTCGCTGCCACCAGGGAGAGGGTGCCCTTGCGCCACTCTTCCCTTACTCTCTCCTTCCTTTCCCCAACTCTGTGCCACACCACACCCATCACTCCACCATCTGCAGCACCTTCACATCGCCCGTGAAATTCGCGTCGCAGCCACGAGGGAGTGAGTGCCCATGCGCCAACACTCGCTGCTCACAAAGTGCCCCAACTCTCCCTCTCCTCCCTCGCTCCTCTCCCCCATCCTCACTCCACCATCTCGAGCACCTTCACGTCGCCCATGGAATTCGCAGCCACGAGGGAGTGAGTGCCCTTTCGCCAACACACGCTGCTCACAAAGTGCCCTGCGTCCTCTCCCCCCGCCCTCCCTGTAACAGCATCTACAGCGCCAAACTGGTGGCATGTGATGGGGGCTGGCACACTGCGGTGGTACACATACGCCTGGCGGAAAGAATGGGAGGAAGGGGAGGAGGAGAAAAGGGAGGTCAATACTACTCCACACGCTGCTGACCAAGTGCCCAGCGTCATCCCCACTTGTTTGTTGTGTAAACAGCATCCACAGCCCCCAAGTGGCAGCATGTGATGGGGGCTGGCACACTGCGGTGGTACACATACGCCTGGCGGAAAGAATGGGAGGAAGGGGAGGAGGAGAAAAGGGAGGTCAATACTACTCCACACGCTGCTGACCAAGTGCCCGGCGTCATCCCCACTTGTTTGTTGTGTAAACAGCATCCACAGCCCCCAAGTGGCAGCATGTGATGGGGGCTGGCACACTGCGGTGGTACACATACGCCTGGAGGAGAAAACGGGTGGGAAGGGGAGGGAAAAGCAAAGGAGCTCAAGACTCCATACCACCCCTTCCCTCCTTTGTGGATTACATATCAGCATCCACGGCGCTGAAGCGGGCGCATGTGATGGGGGCTGGCACACTGCGGTGGTATACATACGCCTGGGCGAAAGGGAGGAGAGCAGGGAGGCGGCAGGGGGAAGGGAGGTTCAGTCTTAATGGCATAGAAAAGCACAGCAGGCCATGGCATGGCTTGCGTTTCATGCGTAAAGAAAGCTGCAAGGCATTCGCAAGTATCACGTTTGCAAGTATGCTCGCTGCAAACACAACACATGCAAATTGCGACTGTGCAGCACACCACCTGTAGTGAGGGTGTTTTTGAGACGTCTCAAAAACACCCTCACCACACACAACACATGCAAATTGCGACTGTGCAGCACACCACCGCACAGCACTACACAGCGACTCACCAAGTTGTTCGCATGCAATGTACCCCGATGTTTGAGATGTCTCAAAACACGCATGCAATGTACCCCGATTCCGACACGGACAGGTAAGAAGCGTGAAAAAAGCATGCTCATCCCAAGCCGGCCGGGTTCTACCGTGCTCATGCCTAGTGCAACACAACGCAGCACAACACTCAGCAATGCAATGCAACGCAACGCTCACCGAGTTGTTTTCAGAGCCGCATGCAATATACCCCGATTCGGACACGGACAGCCCCACAAAGTTCTGTGAGGGAAAGAAGGCGAGTAGAGTAGGTGCATCAAACACACAGGACGAGGGCACAACGGGAGAGCGAGGGGATGGTGAGAAGCCAGGAACGCAGGATGCTCCCGGGCAGCGCCAGTGGATGTGTGGAAAACAAGTAAACGGTCCTCCATGTGCGAAACTAGATAAGAAAATCACTGTTGAGAATTCTCAAAAGTGATTTCAATATAGCCGTGTGCGAAACTAGATAAGGGAGCGCGGGGAGGAGAAACAGAAGAAACGAGCACAGTGTTGGAGAAGAAAAGGAAGAGAGCAACCGAGCTCAACGTTGGCGAAAAACGAACCAGCATCGCTCTGATCCCATGTTACCCACTCTCCCAAACAGTTCCCAATACCCTTTGCCTTCACACTCCCGCCATATGGAAATCACTTTTGAGAATTCTCAAAAGTGATTTCCATGTTATCCACTCTCCCAAACAGTTCCCAATACCCTCTGCCTTCACACTCCCGCCTAACCCCTTCTCGTCTCGTCCCGCCCCCCGTCCCCCGCCCCCCCCCCCCCCCCCCCCCCCCCCCCCCCCCCCCCGCCCCCCGCCCCCCGCCCCCCGCCCCCCGCCCCCCCCCCCCCCCCCCCCCGCCCCCCGCCCCCCGCCCCCCGCCCCCCGTCCCCCGTCCCCCGTCCCCCGCCCCCCGTCCCCCGTCCCCCGCCCCCCGTCCCCCGCCCCCCGCCCCCCGTCCCCCGCCCCCCCCCGCCCCCCGTCCCCCGTCCCCCGCCCCCCGTCCCCCGTCCCCCGTCCCCCGTCCCCCGTCCCCCGTCCCCCGTCTCCCGTCCCTCGCCTCTCGCTCACCTTCTCATTCACATGCCCTGAGAGTGTCAGCACACACGGCGCCACGCTCCCCTGCCCCGCATGCCGCTGCTGCTGCTGCCCCATCACTGAACCATCCCCTGCACTCCCCAGCACGTCCCTCAGATCCCACACCCTCAGTGTGTTATCCGTAGACGCGGACACAAGAGTGAGTGGGTCCGCGAAGGCCACGTAGGAGACGGCGCGGGAGTGGCCGGGGAGCGTGGCGAGGGGCGAGCGCGGCTTGCGCAGGTCGTAGAGGGCGAGCTTGAAGTCGGCAGAGCCGAGCGCGAGGATGTGCGAGGAGGCCGGGGAGAAGTGCACCGCACACACGTTGGCCCTCGTGCGGATGGTGGTCACACTGGAGTCCTGTTGTTTGGGAAGAAGGGGACGGGAGATATTGGGGGAGAGAGGTCGGGATGTGATGTGTTAGAGACGTCTAGAAGATCCACTTTTATCACGAGGTGTTTGAAGCAGGCGGGAATCACAGAGCAGGCAGCTCATGTTCACAGAGGCGGGAATCACTTTTGAGAATTCTCAAAAGGCTCATGTTCAGAGAGGCGGGAATCACTTTTGAGAATTCTCAAAAGGCTCATGTTCACAGAGGCGGGTGAGGAGTGCACTGCACGGCACGCACGTTGGCTTGCGTGCGTCTGGTTGCCATGCTAGCGTCCTTTGGAGAAAAGGGGGGACACGTGGAGACGAGGGGAGGCGGGATGACTATGAGGAAAGGGAATTAGGGAGATTGAGGGGAGTGCAAATGTGTGTGTGGCTGGGTGCGCGCATGTACCTGCTGCAAGCTCCAGATGCGCACGCAGCCATCGTCGCTGCCGCTGGCGAGCTTGGTGGGGTCAGTGGGCGCACAGTGCACACTCCACACCCGCCTCTCGTGCTCCCTGTACTCCGCTATCGCCTCCCCTGCACACACGTCCCACACCTGAAAGACATGGAAAGTGATGGAGCAGGAGCGAGGATGTGAGTTGAGATAGGAAATAGGTAAGAGCACAGTGCAAGCTTCACACGCGCCTCTCGTGCTCCCTGTACTCCGCTATCGCCTCCCCCGCACACACGTCCCACACCTGAAAGACATGGAAAGAGATGGAGCAGGAGCGAGGATGTGAGTTGAGATAGGAAATAGGTAAGAGCACAGTGCAAGCTTCACACGCGCCTCTCGTGCTCCCTGTACTCTGCTATCGCCTCCCCCGCACACACGTCCCACACCTGAAAGACATGGAAAGTGATGGAGCAGGAGCGAGGATGTGAGTTGAGATAGGAAATAGGTAAGAGCACAGTGCAAGCTTCGCACGCGCCTCTCGTGCTCCCTGTACTCTGCTATCGCCTCCCCCGCACACACGTCCCACACCTGAAAGACATGGAAAGTGATGGAGCAGGAGCGAGGATGTGAGTTGAGATAGGAAATAGGTAAGAGCACAGTGCAAGCTTCACACGCGCCTCTCGTGCTCCCTGTACTCCGCTATCGCCTCCCCCGCACACACGTCCCACACCTGAAAGACATGGAAAGTGATGGAGCAGGAGCGAGGATGTGAGTTGAGATAGGAAATAGGTAAGAGCACAGTGCAAGCTTCACACGCGCCTCTCGTGCTCCCTGTACTCTGCTATCGCCTCCCCCGCACACACGTCCCACACCTGAAAGACATGGAAAGAGATGGAGCAGGAGCGAGGATGTGAGTTGAGATAGGAAATAGGTAAGAGCACAGTGCAAGCTTCACACGCGCCTCTCGTGCTCCCTGTACTCTGCTATCGCCTCCCCCGCACACACGTCCCACACCTGAAAGACATGGAAAGTGATGGAGCAGGAGCGAGGATGTGAGTTGAGATAGGAAATAGGTAAGAGCACAGTGCAAGCTTCACACGCGCCTCTCGTGCTCCCTGTACTCCGCTATCGCCTCCCCTGCACACACGTCCCACACCTGAAAGACATGGAAAGTGATGGAGCAGGAGCGAGGATGTGAGTTGAGATAGGAAATAGGTAAGAGCACAGTGCAAGCTTCACACGCGCCTCTCGTGCTCCCTGTACTCTGCTATCGCCTCCCCCGCACACACGTCCCACACCTAAAAGACATGGAAAGAGATGGAGCAGGAGCGAGGATGTGAGTTGAGATAGGAAATAGGTAAGAGCACAGTGCAAGCTTCACACGCGCCTCTCGTGCTCCCTGTACTCTGCTATCGCCTCCCCCGCACACACGTCCCACACCTGAAAGACATGGAAAGTGATGGAGCAGGAGCGAGGATGTGAGTTGAGATAGGAAATAGGTAAGAGCACAGTGCAAGCTTCACACGCGCCTCTCGTGCTCCCTGTACTCTGCTATCGCCTCCCCCGCACACACGTCCCACACCTGAAAGACATGGAAAGTGATGGAGCAGGAGCGAGGATGTGAGTTGAGATAGGAAATAGGTAAGAGCACAGTGCAAGCTTCACACGCGCCTCTCGTGCTCCCTGTACTCTGCTATCGCCTCCCCCGCACACACGTCCCACACCTGAAAGACATGGAAAGAGATGGAGCAGGAGCGAGGATGTGAGTTGAGATAGGAAATAGGTAAGAGCACAGTGCAAGCTTCACACGCGCCTCTCGTGCTCCCTGTACTCTGCTATCGCCTCCCCTGCACACACGTCCCACACCTGAAAGACATGGAAAGTGATGGAGCAAGAGCGAGGATGTGAGTTGAGATAGGAAATAGGTAAGAGCACAGTGCAAGCTTCACACGCGCCTCTCGTGCTCCCTGTACTCCGCTATCGCCTCCCCCGCACACACGTCCCACACCTGAAAGACATGGAAAGTGATGGAGCAGGAGCGAGGATGTGAGTTGAGATAGGAAATAGGTAAGAGCACAGTGCAAGCTTCACACGCGCCTCTCGTGCTCCCTGTACTCTGCTATCGCCTCCCCCGCACACACGTCCCACACCTGAAAGACATGGAAAGTGATGGAGCAGGAGCGAGGATGTGAGTTGAGATAGGAAATAGGTAAGAGCACAGTGCAAGCTTCACACGCACCTCTCGTGCTCCCTGTACTCTGCTATCGCCTCCCCCGCACACACGTCCCACACCTGAAAGACATGGAAAGTGATGGAGCAGGAGCGAGGATGTGAGTTGAGATAGGAAATAGGTAAGAGCACAGTGCAAGCTTCACACGCGCCTCTCGTGCTCCCTGTACTCTGCTATCGCCTCCCCCGCACACACGTCCCACACCTGAAAGACATGGAAAGAGATGGAGCAGGAGCGAGGATGTGAGTTGAGATAGGAAATAGGTAAGAGCACAGTGCAAGCTTCACACGCGCCTCTCGTGCTCCCTGTACTCTGCTATCGCCTCCCCTGCACACACGTCCCACACCTGAAAGACATGGAAAGTGATGGAGCAGGAGCGAGGATGTGAGTTGAGATAGGAAATAGGTAAGAGCACAGTGCAAGCTTCACACGCGCCTCTCGTGCTCCCTGGACTCTGCTATCGCCTCCCCTGCACACACGTCCCACACCTGAAAGACATGGAAAGAGATGGAGCAGGAGCGAGGATGTGAGTTGAGATAGGAAATAGGTAAGAGCACAGTGCAAGCTTCACACGCGCCTCTCGTGCTCCCTGTACTCTGCTATCGCCTCCCCCGCACACACGTCCCACACCTGAAAGACATGGAAAGAGATGGAGCAGGAGCGAGGATGTGAGTTGAGATAGGAAATAGGTAAGAGCACAGTGCAAGCTTCACACGCGCCTCTCGTGCTCCCTGTACTCTGCTATCGCCTCCCCCGCACACACGTCCCACACCTGAAAGACATGGAAAGTGATGGAGCAGGAGCGAGGATGTGAGTTGAGATAGGAAATAGGTAAGAGCACAGTGCAAGCTTCACACGCGCCTCTCGTGCTCCCTGTACTCTGCTATCGCCTCCCCCGCACACACGTCCCACACCTGAAAGACATGGAAAGAGATGGAGCAGGAGCGAGGATGTGAGTTGAGATAGGAAATAGGTAAGAGCACAGTGCAAGCTTCACACGCGCCTCTCGTGCTCCCTGTACTCTGCTATCGCCTCCCCTGCACACACGTCCCACACCTGAAAGACATGGAAAGTGATGGAGCAGGAGCGAGGATGTGAGTTGAGATAGGAAATAGGTAAGAGCACAGTGCAAGCTTCACACGCGCCTCTCGTGCTCCCTGTACTCTGCTATCGCCTCCCCCGCACACACGTCCCACACCTGAAAGACATGGAAAGAGATGGAGCAGGAGCGAGGATGTGAGTTGAGATAGGAAATAGGTAAGAGCACAGTGCAAGCTTCACACGCGCCTCTCGTGCTCCCTGTACTCTGCTATCGCCTCCCCCGCACACACGTCCCACACCTGAAAGACATGGAAAGAGATGGAGCAGGAGCGAGGATGTGAGTTGAGATAGGAAATAGGTAAGAGCACAGTGCAAGCTTCACACGCGCCTCTCGTGCTCCCTGTACTCTGCTATCGCCTCCCCTGCACACACGTCCCACACCTGAAAGACATGGAAAGAGATGGAGCAGGAGCGAGGATGTGAGTTGAGATAGGAAATAGGTAAGAGCACAGTGCAAGCTTCACACGCGCCTCTCGTGCTCCCTGTACTCTGCTATCGCCTCCCCTGCACACACGTCCCACACCTGAAAGACATGGAAAGTGATGGAGCAGGAGCGAGGATGTGAGTTGAGATAGGAAATAGGTAAGAGCACAGTGCAAGCTTCACACGCGCCTCTCGTGCTCCCTGTACTCTGCTATCGCCTCCCCTGCACACACGTCCCACACCTGAAAGACATGGAAAGAGATGGAGCAGGAGCGAGGATGTGAGTTGAGATAGGAAATAGGTAAGAGCACAGTGCAAGCTTCACACGCGCCTCTCGTGCTCCCTGTACTCTGCTATCGCCTCCCCTGCACACACGTCCCACACCTGAAAGACATGGAAAGTGATGGAGCAGGAGCGAGGATGTGAGTTGAGATAGGAAATAGGTAAGAGCACAGTGCAAGCTTCACACGCGCCTCTCGTGCTCCCTGTACTCTGCTATCGCCTCCCCTGCTCACACGTCCCACACCTGAAAGACATGGAAAGTGATGGAGCAGGAGCGAGGATGTGAGTTGAGATAGGAATTAGGTAAGAGCACAGTGCAAGCTTCACACGCGCCTCTCGTGCTCCCTGTACTCTGCTATCGCCTCCTCCGCACACACGTCCCACACCTGGAGATGAACGGGAGAAGATGGAGGAGGAGGAGGAGCGGAAAGAGCTTCTCAGGCGACTGAAGAGCATGACAAGCAGAGCCCACTCACAACTGTGCACGCATGAGCGCTCTCCCACCTCTCAGCTACACCTCTCAGCCACACCTCTCAGCCACACCTCTCAGCCACACCTCTCAGCCACACCTCTCAGCCACACCATCCCATCCCATCACATCCCATCCCATTTCATCCCATCCCATCCCATGCCCTGCCACTCCACGCCACGCCATCCCACGCCACACCACAGCATCCACATGCCCTCCCCCATGGTGCTCACCTGCACGGCGCCATCATAGTTGGACGATGCAACGAGGCTCTTGACAAAGGGGTTCCAGCTCACACAGCTCAGCTTTGAATCGCACGCCATCTCCGCCACTGGGTACTGCAGCAGCTCCTCCTCATGCCCCTCCCCATGCCCCTGCCCCCCCTGCTCGCCTCCCCACACTCCTCCCCCTCCCCCCCTTTCTCCCACTCCTCTCTCCCCCCTTCCTTCCTGCTGTTCCTCCTCGTCTTCCTCCATCCCATCTCTCACTTCCTCCACCCGCGCCTCTCGCTCAGCAGCGGTGCGCAGTACGGCATTGCAGTCAAACACCTTGATGCGCTTGCATACGCCCGCCGAAGCAAAGAACTCGCCGTCGCGGTCGAACGCCACCGAGCACACCATGTCTGCCGAGCCTAGCAGGTCTCCTCGGCGCAGCGCCGCCCGAACCTGCAGCTTGCCGAACCTGGTGTAGCGGGAGAGGCCCTCGAAGAAATGCCCCAGCCAGGGCTGTGGTGGGCGGGTGGTGACTCGTGCAGGCGCCACTGGTGCAGGTGCTGCTGCTGGTGCTGCTGCTACTACTGCTGCTGCTGGCGCTGATGCTGGTGCTGATGCTGCAGGATCTGATGCGGGCGCCAGTGTTGGTGCTGCCAGTGCCGGTGCTGCTTCCGGTGGCAGTGCCGACGCTGCTGCTTCACTTGCAGCATGTGAAGGCTCAGGCTCAGGCTCAGTTTCAGGCAGCGCAGCAGCAGGGACGGGATGGGAGGGCCCAGAGAGCCCGTTCCTCAAGCGCTCTGAAGCTCCCAGCATTTCTCCCCGACCACCAGAGCGACCAGCTTCTCCTCCTCCTCTTCCTCCTCGTCCTCCTCGTGCCATCCCCTCCGTATCCACAGAAAACAGAGTCCCATGTGTACCCCGTGTTGTGGTCGGCACATTCAGCATGCTGCTATCCACCGCGAAACCGCCAGCACCAGCACCACCACCACCAACAGCACCAGCCCAACTGGCCCCCCCACCAGACGAGCTCTGCTGCTGCCAGCTGTGCTGCTGCGCCGCTGCTGCAGCAGCCGCACGTTCCCACACAGGGGGCGTTCTGCTTCGCGCACTCTGCTTTGGAGAAGTCTCAAAAGGGGTTCTGCTCCTCTCACCCTGCTTCCCTCCATGCCACCGTCTGGTCTCCTCAACTCCTCCCCCTCTCATCCCATCATGCCCCGCACGGTTGCCAATACCCTCCTGCCTTGCTCCATTTCCCAGTACCAGTTCAACCTTCTCCCTGCTGCTGGCGCTAGTGGTGCTTCCATGCTCGTGCAGCACTCTCCGCTTGCTGCTGCCTCTTTCCTCTCTGCCATCATCACCTCCCATGCTGCTGGCATGCCGCTTCCGTTCAGAACGAGACGCAGGGGCAGGGCTGGACCCAGGAGCAGCAGGCTCTGCACCCCTAGCAGCCCTATCACCCCTAGCACCTCCAGCACCATCAACACCACCAGTGGCATCACCACCGCCACCACCAGCATCAGCATCATCACCAGCTGCCGCAGCAGCAGTGACCTGTGCAAAGGACGCCCTTAGACTCGCGCCCATACGAGCAGCCCCATCAGGTGCCACTGCACCTACCGCTGCAGCTGTGGATGCAGCTGCAGGTGAAGCAAGGGCAGCACCTCCTGTTACCCTCTCCGCTACACCATCCCCACCCATGACACCATCCCCTGCACTGCCACTCCCCCCCTCCCCACCAGCTGCAGCACTGGTCCCAGCACCCCTCTCTACAGTCACATCTTGACCCAGCGCCCTCACCGTTTGAAGCACACAGCCCAGCCGCCCCCAAACCTCTTGCATGTGCCCCTCCTCCGCCCCGTCTGCATCCCTCCCTGCAGCTAACACCTCGCCAGCCCCCGCTCCTGCCACCCCACCTGCTCCCACACCTGCTCCCACACCTGCTCCTACACCTGCACCCTTAGCTGCCCTTCCCCTTGCAGCCCAGTAGGAAAAGGCACCTTCCGACCCTCCTGAGAGAGTTTCTTCTGCTGAGGTCTGCGCCTGAAACAGATGCTGCTGCAGCTGCTGTTCGCTGCTGTCCGCATGCACACATGCATGTGCACGAGCATGGGCATGTACATGTGCATGTGCATGCACACGTGCATGTGCATGTGCATGTGCATGGGCATGGGCATGTGAGTGAACATGTGAATCACCAAGGCCAGGAGGAGTGACAAACGCCCCAGCAGGTCCCATGGCCCACTGCCGCCTCAGCCACACCTTGGCAGCTTCTGGAAGGTTCTGCCAAGCTTCCTCTGCGGCTGTAGCGCCTGCTTCTGCAGGAGCAGCACGAGTTACAGCCAGTGCTACAGCCGCTTGTGCTGACCCTGCAGCCATGCCAGCGGTAGTCAGAGCTGTAGGCGCAGCACCAGCACCAGCAGCGGCAGCAGCAGCAGCAGCAGCAGTCAAGGCTGCAGCTGTCGCACCAGCAGCTACAGCTGCTACTGTATCCTCACTGGATGCGGCTGCCCCAGCACTAGCTGCAGCCGCAGCAGCCGAAGGCAACGAGGAGTTGCCAGGCGCACCGACACCAGCCAAAACGGCACCACCACCTGTAGCGGCAGCAATAGCATCTGTAGCAGCAGCTGTTGCAGTGTCTGTAGCCGCATGTGTAGCCACATTTGTAGCAGTATCTGTAGCGTTATCAGTAGCAGCAGCACCTGTGTGGGCACGGAGGGCAAGGTACGCCTCTTCCAGCCGATCAAAGCGCTGCAGCATGCGGTTCAAACGACCCCCCAGCCTCCTCTCATACGCCACCCGCCTCCGCCGCTCCTCATCCCTCTCCCTCGCCCCCTCACTCCCCCCCTCCCTCTCCCTCGAGCTAGACCGCATGGGCACTGTAGCGCCTGACTGCGTTTGACTGCGTTGACTTCTCTGACTTCTCCTTCTTCCGTTCCCCTCCATTTGAGGACTCTTTGACAGGGTATCTGGAACTGGAGCTCTTGTCCTCGTTGACTTGACTGACTTTCCAGACCTTGCTGACCTGGCGCTACAGAAAGACGTTCCAGCCTGACCGTTTCCCCACCTCCCTCCCTCGTCTCCCCTCTCATCCTCGTCTCCTCTCCCTCCTGCCCTGCCTTTTCCTGCCCCAAGACAAAGTCGTGTGCACTCCTCTGCTCTTCCCCTCCTGCTCTGTGGCTCCATTCCCTCTTCTGCCTCAGCAACCACTCCCTGTCTTACACCCCCACGCATCCCCCCAACGTCCTCTTCTATCCGCTGCCTTTGGCCGTGCCTCCACCCGCTCCCACTACCACTCCTGCTCTCACCCCTCGCCCCTGCCCTTGCACCTGGCTCATCCGCCTCTCTTGCTGTACCATCCGTTTCTGCTCCTCTCGCCTCAGCTGTGCTGGTCACGTGGCGCGCGCTGATTGACCGAGACAGCGCCAGCAGCAGCTGCCTCCTCTCAGCTACCTCTGCCACGTCAGCAGTGAGCCCGTCCAGGTTGGCGGCCACCTGCTGGGAGGTCTCCGCCTTGCCCTGCTGCACCCTCAAGAGAAAATCCAGGAGCACCTCGTTCTCCTCCTCCTTCTCTGCCAATTCCGACTCAGTCATTGTTTCAGGTGCTTCAACAGTCATTTCCTCCTGTGTCAGCGGGTGAGGCGACTGTAGATGCTCCTCCTGTGGCAGCCTCACATCATCTGTCAGCTCCTCACACCGAACCCTCTTGCTCCCTCGCATCCCCACTGCCTCCGCTCCTCCCTCCTCTTCCTCCTCTTCCTCCTCTTCCTCCTCTCCCTCTCTGCCATGCATACCATCCCTGTTGTCTTCCCCACCACCATCAACCTCCTCCTCCCTCTCTTCCGTCTCCTGCGTCCTCTCTCGCTTTCTACTGTACTCACCAGTACCAGTAAACGCATAGGTTCTAGTCCCCTCCCCAACCAAACCGCCACCAGCAGCAGCACCCTCCTCTCCTCCCTCCCTCCAACCCCGCCCTATCGTTAGCTCCTCCTCCTCTTCCTCATCTTCCTCCTCCTCCTCTCCCTTTCCACCACGCCCACCACCATCCAACTCCTCGTCCTCATCACCCTCTTCACCTTCATCGTTCATCCAACGCATACCGCCTTCCTCCCCATCACTCACTTCCACCATCGGTTCCTTCCCTGGCCTGCGCTGCCGTGGCCCCTCCTCTCCCTCCTTTCCCTCCTCACGCCCCTCCACATCCCTGCTAACGCACACACCGCCGTCAACAGTACCATCATGAGAGCGTGCATGCTCATGCCCATCCTGCCCCCCTTGCCCCTCCTGCTCCTCCTGTCTTTCCTGCTCCCTCTCTTGCTCCTCCTGTCTTTCCTGCTCCCTCTCCTGCTCCTCTCCCTGCCCCCCCTCCTGCCCCTCCTGCCCCTCCTGCCCCTCCTGCGCCTCCTGCGCCTCCTGCCCCTCCTGCGCCTCCTGCGCCTCCTGCCCCTCCTGCGCCTCCTGCCCCTCCTGCGCCTCCTGCCCCTCCTGCGCCTCCTGCCCCTCCTGCCCCTCCTGCGCCTCCTGCCCCTCCTGCGCCTCCTGCCCCTCCTGCTCCTCCTCCTGCTCCTCCTCCTGCTCCTCCTCCTGCTCCCCCCCTTCCTGCCCTTCCTCCAGCCCCACCTTCCCCTCCTGCCCCTCCTGATCCTCCTCCTTCCCCTCCTGCTTCTCCTGCCCCTCCTTCCCCTTTGCGTCCCATTGCACTTCCGATGCTTGCCGGGGTGAGAACGACACGGACAGCTGGCACTGGGAGGAAGAAGCTGCGGTGGAAGCTTCTGCAGCGAGGCGGAGAAAGAGGCTGTTTGTGAGGACGTCCCTGAGGAGAGGAGGGATGTCAGAAGAGAGATGGGAAGAGGGGCTCTACATGTTAAAAAACAGTAAAAGTGTATCAGGGTGACTTTTGAAATGACTCAGAAGATATTCCAACACAAGTACGTACGTGTACTGCACGCGTGAGTGTGATGGGTACATAATGCATTCCTTCAATGAGTTGTAAGGCACGGCACCTCAAAAGAACATCACATACCTCATGGGCGGGCGTCTGGAGGGCAGGGGGTGCAGCAAGCAGAGGCAGAAGGCAGCACCGGTGGGAAAGGCCATGAGGTACGCTGTGGGCAGCACCCGGCTCCTCACATCCTCCATTGCACCCCTGCGCTCCGATTGGTCGCTCATGTGACACGTCAGCTGCGGCGGCGGAGGTAGGAAACGTTGGGAGTGAGTGCAGAATCAGACCAGGTTCAGAGAGACATGGAATCCCACAACGGCATGGATAAGGAATGGACAGGTTATCAAGAAAGCGACAGACAGAGGGGCAAACAGCGATGGAGAGGAGTTCAGGGCGGTCTGGCTCACCTCAAAGAACAACAACCCCAGCCGGTACACATCCGCTGCCATCTCACTCTCCCTCTCCCTCTCCCTCTCCCTCTCCCTCTCCCTCTCCCTCTCCCTCTCCCTCTCCCTCTCCCTCTCCCTCTCCCTCTCTGCATCCCCAGCACCTTCTGCCTTCCCACTCCCTGAGCCACCTTCTGGCGCTGCGTAATACCCGTTCTCCTCCTCCTCCTCCACCACCACCTCCACCATCACACATTCTCCCTTCCTCTCACGCTTCACCTCCTTGCTGCAGCCAGCAGCAGCATGTGGAGCACAGCAGAAGGGCAGCAGCCAATGCTCAGGCCCCAGGGTGACTCGAACCCTAGACGGCACCAGCTGATCTCCTAATGCCTCGCCGTTCGCATGGGCTGTTGCCACCAGCCGAGCAATCTCACAGAAAACGGACACTGCTTGCTGCTGGATTGGCACAGGCGGCGGTATTGCAGGGCACTTGCTGGCAGTGGTTGCCGCAAGCTCGCCCTCGCCCTCGCGCTGCTGCTGCTGCTGCTGCTGCTGTGTGACACAGTGAGAGGAAGCGCCGGAGGGATAGCACGTGGGAGCAAGAGTGACGACGAGCAGTGCTGGACGCTTCTGACGCCCCTCCTCCTGCTCTTGCTGCAAAGACTGCTACCGTGTCTGCTGCTGGCGCTGTTGCTTCTACATCTACTGCTTCAATTGCCGGTTCCTCTGCTGGCCATGGCCGGCAAGAAAGAGTTGATCCAGGAACAAAGTCACGTACGTGCCTACCCTGGTGCTCCTGCTCCCGTTCCTCCTGCTCCCGTTCCTCCTGCTCCCGTTCCTCCTGCTCCCGTTCCTCCTGCTCCCGTTCCTCCTGCTCCCGTTCCTCCTGCTCCAGATCGTCCTGCTCCCGTTCCTCCTGCTCCAGATCGTCCTGCTCCCGTTCCTCCTGCTCCCGTTCCTCCTGCTCCCATTCGTCCTGCTCCCGCTCCTTGCCTTCTCGCCCCTGCTCCAAATCCAGTCCCTCCTCCCCCTTGACCATCTGCTCCTCCTTCACTTGCAGCTCCTCCTGCTGCTTTCGCCACCGTTGTTGGTGCTGCGTCAACCAGTTCACCACACGTGAGCTTGCTCTAGGCACTGGAGGATCCACCAGCAACGCATCAGGCCCTGAAGAGTGGTGCTCTGAGGAGCGGGGAGCTGGCGAGTGGGGCCCTGAAGCCCTCTCCTGCTTCTCCACCTCTATCCTCCCCCTCTCGAACCACTTTTCTGTCTCTGGAGCGCCCAACTCAAGTCCCAGCGACAACCCAACCATGCCTCCTCCCACCTGCTCGCTCCCGCCCCCTTCTCCTCCACCCAGACCGCCTTCACTCCGTTGACTCTGTTGACTCTGCTGTGCCCCACACGTGCCTCCCAACCCCAGATCCAAGCCCATGTCTGCTGCCTCCTCTGCCTCTGCATTCATGTCTAGCAGCAGCAGGTGCGCGCCTGGCCTCGCCCTGCTGCCACTGGCTACACCAACACACGCACTTGCCACACCGTGCTTGTCACACACCCCGTCCGCAGTTGCAGCAACAGCAACAGCAGCAGCAGCAGCAGCAGCGGCAGCAGGGACAGCAGCAGGGGCAGAAGCAGAGGCAGCAGCATGAGCATTGTAGTCAGCAGCAGAACCATAACCGTTATCATCCTGAGGTTCGGAAGCAGCCCAATGACCAGCACAAGCATCAACAGCAACAACGGCAGAAGAACAGCCGATTCCACCCTCAGGCTTGGCAGCGGCACAGTGATCATCAGCACCAGCGCCAACACCGACAACAGCAGAAACACAGCCGACTCCACCCTGAGGCTCGGTGGTAACACAGTGATCAGCATCAGTGCCATCGTCCTCTCCATCCGCCCATCCTTCCCCCGGCTGCGCCTCATTCAAGTCAAACGCGAGCCGCCGCTCCTCTCCTCCACTCGTCCCTTGCTCTGCTACCGCATCCGCAACCCCAGCAGCTGCAGCACCCACTCTGCCACCACCATCACCACCATCTTCATCCCCACCATCGCCGCCCTTTCCACTCCCAAATCCTCTAGGGGCATCCTCGTGAGAATCGTACTCCATGCCAAAATCGGACTCAAAACCCCACCTTTCCATCGATCCATCCTCTGAATTCCCGTCCACCATCCTAGCAGCTTCACTTCCCTCCATAGTCACTCCTTCGGCAGCAGTACCAGCAGCAACAGGAAAAGAAACAGAAGCCATCGCATCTCCAGCAGCAGCAACAGCACCTGCAACATTCTCCCTAAGCATATGCCCTCGTTCCCCTCCCACCAACTCCTCCTCCTCCTCCTCCTCCCTCCCTCCTTCTCCCTGCTCCCTTTCCCCCTCTCCTTGCTCCCTGCCCATCGCAGATGCAGCAAGGGTGCCTCCGCGCGCATGAGAGGCACTGCCCACATGTGCCAAGTCCTCCTCATCTCCCAATCCCGCACTACCCTCGCTCCTCTCTCCCCTCTCTCCGCTCTCTTCCCTCTCTCCCCCATGTCTCAGGCAATCCACATCTCCTCTTCTCTCCTGCCCCTCCTTGTGCAGTTCCTCCTCCTCTCCCTCCTTTCTCTCTGCTTGCTCTCCCACTTCACCTCTCGTCTCAGCCTCTCTCCTCTCCTGCTCGCCCTCCCGTTCTCCCCCCTCCTCTCCCCTCTGCGCCCCATTCCTCTCTCCCTCCTCCAGACCTCTCTCCCCGTATCCTCCCCCCTCTCCCCCCTCTCCCCCCTCTCCCCCCTCTCCCCCCTCTCCCCCCTCTCCCCCCTCTCCCCCCTCTCCCCCCTCTCCCTCTCGCTCTCCCTCCGTCCTCCCTCCTGCCTCCCTCTCCCGCTTCGCCTGCTCCTTCTCAGCGAGTTCCATGGCCAGCAGCTGCTGCAGCTGGTACTGCTCGAACTCAAACAGCTGCTGCTGCCGCTGCCGCAGGAAGAAAAACTCCAACCTGCGCCTCCGCTCCTCCCTCGCCTCCTCATCCTCCCCCTCCTCCGCCGCCTCCCCTCCCTCTGCCACTGCCTCTCCCTCTTCCCCAACCATCCTCTCGTTCTCACCTGCCTGAACCCAAACCCCTTCCATTTCCTCCTGGGTCTCCTGCCCCCTCTGCTGCTGCGAGCCATCTATCCGTTCCTCTCTCTGCTCCTCTCCCTGTTGCCCTCTATCACCTGCCTCCTCTCTCTCCGCTCCGTGCTCTATCTCTTCTCCACCTTCCACAACAGCCGCTCCCTCACCCTCCATCCCATGCTCCTCTCCCTCACCTCGCATCAGCACCATTTGCTGCAAAGCTCTCATTTCCTGCATCCCTCTCCCTTGCTGCAAGTCTCCCACCTGCTGCACTGCTGCATCTCCCTCGTACTCCCCTTCCCCTTCCTGCTCTGCGCCCCCCTCGCTGCCTTCCCCTTCCCCTAGCTGCCAGAGTTGCTGCTGCTGTAGCTGCAGCTGTAGCCGCTGCATCCGCAGCAGCCTCTCTTGCTGCAGCTGCGCCAGCCGCTGCCTCAGATACTGCATCTGCATCTCCTCAGGTGAATCGTCCGCTACATCATCCGCAACACCGGTTGCTTCATCCGCTGTCACATCCCTTGCTACATCCGCTGCTACCTCTGCTGATAAATCCGCTGCCCCTGCTTCACCACCCTCCTGCCCCCTTACTCCGCCCCTTCCCATTCCGTCCTCGCCCCCTTCCATCCCTTGCCCTGCCATGTCCACTGCTGCTAGTTCCAAGCCCTGCCGTTCCTCCTCCACGCCCCACTGTTGCTCCCCCTGACCATCTTCTTCCCATCCCACGGGAGTCACACCCTCTATTTGCTGCTGTCTTCTCATCCACTCTAGCTCCTCCTGCTCGGCACTCGGCAATTCCTCTTGCCCCTCCTCTTGCCCCAGGCCCCAGCCCTGCTGCAACTCTTGTTCCTCCTCTTCCTCCTGCTGCTCCTCCTCCTGCATTCCAGTCGGTTCCCCTGGCCCTCCCTCCAATAACCTTTGCTGCTCTTCCCACAGCCGCAACTGCTCCCACTCCCCCTGGGCCTCATCCGCGTTTCCTCCGCCCTCTCTTGCTTGTCCGCCCAACCCCTCTCTCTCCTCACCCTGTTCCGCATCCGCAGTCTCTATTGGAGACTCCCGCTGCTGCTCCTCGTCCCTTCCCCCTCCGTCCTCCCATCCCAATCCTTGTCGATCTGAACTCTGCTGCACCTCTGCTTCTTCTGCTGCTGCACCCAGCCTCATCTGCTGCTGCGCCTGCATGCGTTCCTGCAGCCCTTGAATACCCCGATGCTGCCCCTGCATCTCCTGCTCCTGCCTTTCAGTATCCTGCTCCTCCTGCCTCTGCAACTCCTGCCGCTGCAACTCCTGCTGGTGCAACTCCTGCTGGTGCAACTCCTGCTGCTGTCGCTGCATCATCAACCGCTGCTGCATCTGTTGCTGCTGTATGAACATCTGTAGCGCCACCGTACGAGGGTCAACCACACCACCAGACCCGTTCATCTCTATCCCACCCATCCCCAAACTCCTCATCCAAGCAGCAACAGCTTCCCGTGACACTCCCGAATTCAGGCCCAGCATCATCCCCGCCTGCTGCCCCTCACCCCCCTCCGTTTCCCCTGGCGCCTCATCCTCGCGCCCACCACCCTCCTCTCTCACCTCACGCTCCTCCTCACCTCCTCCCTCTCCTCCATTCTCCATCTCCTCCCCATGCACCCTTGCAACCTCCTCCTCCCCCATTCTCCTCGTTCCCCTCTCCTCCTCCCTTGTCTCCTCGTTTTCCTCAATCTCCTGCTCCTCCTCCTCTCCTTCCTTCCTCACCTCCTTCTCGTCCACCTCGCCACCACCATGCATCTCCTCTCGCCCCCCACCTCCCCCTTGTGATCTCTGCCGTCTGCAGCTCATCAGTGCAATGCGCCCACCACCGCCACCAGAACCACCACCACCGCCACCAGAACCACCAGCACCAGCAGTCAGAGCAGTCCCAGAACTAAGAGCAGCGCCGGCGGTCAGAGCAGTTCCAGCACTACCACTCTCCACCCACAAACCTGACGAGTTGTTTGTCCAACCGCCCGAGCCCGAACCAGCTCCTGCTTCCCCTTCCTCCTTCCCATCCACCTCCATGCAGCCACCGCTCCCAACCGCACCGTTCCCTACTGCACCACTCCCAATCGGACCATCATTTCCCTCACCCCCGTCCTCACCACCCACAGCACCCATGCCGTTGCCCCATTGCCCCTCCCCCAGCCCATCCACCCGCCTTCCATCTGCCCTAGCAGCAACATCACCACCAGCACTTCCAGCAACAGCAGCCATGGCCGACAAAGGTTTCAGCTCCTCTCCTCGTTTCCTCTGGATCACAACCCAGGAGGGCGGACCAGCACTGACCACAGGAGCCTCATCCCCATCACTCGGCACCCGCATGCGCTGACTCCCCTGCTGCTGACCTAGCCCTTGGCTCTCCCCGCTCTCCTGCCCCTGCTGCATGTAGCATCGCTGTTGTTGCTGCTGCGGCTGCTGCTGCGGCTGCTGCTGCGGCTGCTGCTGCTGCTGCACCCCCCAGCCTTGACGACTGTGGCTCTGGGACTGAGAGCGCGTTGAAGAGCCAGGAAACTGCAACAATCGCTGATCACCTTCTTCCTCCTCCTGCTGCTGCTGCTGCTGCTGCTGCTCGTCCCCTGCCAGCTGACCCTCACCCACCCCGCTGCGCCTCTGCTCCGCCTCCCGGTGCTGCCGCATCAGCTGCTCAGACAGAGACACCTCCTTCCGCCTCCCTCTCATCGTCCTCAACACCTGAACCCTTCCCCCCACCCACACCCCTCGCCCCGCCACGAACCCCCCCCTCCCCGCCCCTCTACCGCGCCCTGCTGCCCCCCCTCGCCCCCTCCCACCCGCACCCACAGCACCTGAAAAAACTCCTGGGCCCCACCCTTGCTCGTTCACCTGAAGAAGGTCGCTCTCACTGCCGCCACTGGCAGGGCGGGTCTGCTCGGGATCCGACAGAGCACGGGGCATGGTGGGAGGGGTGGTGGTGGCAGCAGCAGCAGCACCTTCACCTTCAGCCTCACACCATTGCTGTGCTTCTAAGGAAACAAATGGCGCACAGTCAGGAGGAGGAGCGAGAGGAGCAGCAGGTGAGATGGACGGGTGAGCGGCGTCAGCGGGCGGCAAGAAGTTGCTGTTGTTGCTTCGGGAGACGGAGTGGGACGTCCTCCAAACGAAGTCTCTTCCAGCCGTATTTGCCCCGTGACTGCTTCCGTCTCCCTCCATCCACTCCTCATGCTTCTCGTCCGCCTGACCCGCCATACGCCCTTTCTGCACTCCCTTTGCCTGCCCTTGCATCTCCTCCCTCTGCATGCCCTCCCTTTGCATCTCTCGCCGTCGCATCTCTTCCATCTCATTCCGCCGCTCAGACCAGAACGCCGTCTCAGCCTCTCCTACACGCTCCCCATCAACCCTCTGCTCGCCCCTCTCGCCCCTCTCGCCCCTCTCGCCCCTCTCGCCCCTCTCGCCCCTTTCACACCCCCTACTGCTCCCACCAACCAGCCCTGAAGCACTACCGCCAATCATACCTGAGGCGCTACCACCAACCAGCCCAGAACCACCTCCCATTCCCGAACTGCCTGCCATTCCAGACCCACCGCCTTCCAAGCCCGAACCACCACCACCGCCAATTCCGAATTTGCTCGCACGCACCAAGCCTCTTCCCAAGCCTGTGCCGTCTCCCTTCCCAGAGCCGCCTGGCTGTCCTGTGCTGCCACTTGTGCTCCACACGCGCCTCCCATCGCCCTCTGGGCTTCCCAGCCGCTGCCTCTTCAAGGCTGCTGCCTTGGGACCCGAAAGAAAGCCCCACCCGCTCTTCCCCTTCCCTGCGCCGCCTCTTCTGAATCCATTGCCCCCACTGCCAGCCCCACTGCCGCCCCTACTGCCACCGCCACTCCCACCGCTGCCACCGCCACTCCCACCTCTGCCACCGCCACTGCTGCCGCTTCGCTTCCCTGATAGCTTCGACTGCCCCGGACTCCCACTCTGCCCCGTGCTTCTCCCTAGCTTTCTACACTGAGAATCCCCCCTTCCGTCCGACCCATTCTCGCCCATACCAGCCCCCTCTCTGCGCTCCACCCCACCCCCACGTGCTGCTCCGCTCTCTGGCGACTTATCCCCGCCGTCGCCACTGTCGCCCTGCTCCTGCAGCTCCGGCATCTGCTCCAGGCGGGCCACCCACTCGTGAATGTCCCCCCCACTGCCTGACGACGCGGTACCAGCGCCAACAGCACCGCCTCCGCCTCCGCCGCCGCCAGCGCCTGCGCCTCCCCTTCCCCCTCCGCCTGCGCCTGCACTTCCGCCTTCCCCCACTGCTCCGCCTCCGCCTCCGCACGTCCCTGTGTGGTCCATGTGGGCGATGAACGCCTGCACGTTCTGCCCCCCCGACCGCAGGTACTGCGCCAGCAGCTGCTGCCGCTGCTGCTCCCGCTCCATCTCGCCCTTCCCCTGCTGCCCTGCCAGCATCAGCTCGCCTCCTCCTAGCTTCTCCCTCACTGCGTGCTCCTTCACATGCTGCGGTGGCGGTGGAGGCGGCAGCAACTGCTGCTGCTGCTGCTGCTGCTGCTCTCGATCACACCCTTCATCAGCCCCCTTCTGCGTCCAATTCGCGTCTCTCCCAGACAACCGCTGCCCGTCCTGCTTCTGGCCCGATTCCCCAGCTGTCTTTCTGCCGACCCGCTGCTGCCACTGCTGCTGCCGCTGCTGCCACGCCTGCCGTCGGCACCCCACGGGCTCATGCTGCTGTGGCAACGGTGGCGTTGGTGGCTGCGACTCCTGCAGCATGGGCTGCTGCGGCTGCTGCTGCTGTTGCATCTGGTGCTGCAGCTGCTGGCGCTGTTGCTGCTGGTACTGTTGCACCTGAACCTGCTGCTCCTCCTCCTCCTGCTGCTGATGCTCTTGCTGCTCCTCTCGTTCGTCCCCCACGGCCTGCCACCCATCCACCGACCCAGTCCAGATCTCCGTGTCCCCTCCGCCGCCCCACAGCTCCCCTGACTTCCCAGTCAGCGCCACTTCCGCCACCGACCCCTCCCGCTGCCCCATGCTTCTCGACACAGCCAACGACCCATCTCCCCTAGCGCTGGCAAACCCACGGGCCACGCCCAACGGCTGGTGTGGCTGGTGTGGTTGGTGTGGTGGCTGCTGGGGCTGGTGCGGATGGTGGGGGTGGAGCGGTAGAGCAGCTAGGGGGCCACTGCCGCTGGAGAACGAGCAGGTGCCGCGGGTATCAGCAGACGAGTGCGTGGGCAACGTGGACGTGCCCCCCATCCCATACCCATACCCATACCCGTGACTCTGACCCTGCCTGTACCCCCGACTGGCTGTTCCCGTGCCAGCAGCGCCCCCTTGCGCAGCAGCAGCGGCAGCGGCGGCGGCGGCGGCGGCAGCAGCGGCGGCTGGCGGGGAGAGTGGCGCCGGCGGCCTCGTCGAAGGAGGAGTGGGGGTTGTGCATGCCGGAGGAGGAGCGCAGGGAGAGCAGCGGCTTGGCGCCCGCGCTGGGGTTGAATGAGCCGTCAGGGCAGGAGGATGCGCCTGCGCCTGAATGCTCCGCCAGGTTGCCGCTATTCTGCAGGGGGAGAGGGAGAGAGAGGGTCGTGAATGCGAGGGAGGAAAAGAGCTGACTTCTGGGGCGCCACGACGACGAGCCTGCGCCTGAATGCTCCGCCAGGTCGCCACTATTCTGCGGGGGGGAGAGGGAGAGAAAGGGTCGTGAATGCGAGGGAGGAAAAGAGCTGAGTTCTGGGGCGCCACGACGACGAGCCTGTGCCTGAATGCTCCGCCAGGTCGCCACTATTCTGCGGGGGGGAGAGGGAGAGAAAGGGTCGTGAATGCGAGGGAGGAAAAGAGCTGAGTTCTGGGGCGCCACGACGACGAGCCTGTGCCTGAATGCTCCGCCAGGTCGCCGCTATTCTGCGGGGGGGAGAGGGAGAGAGAGGGGGGCGAATGCGAGGGAGGGAAAGAGGTAGAATCTGGGGCACCTCGACGACGCGCCTGCGCCTGAATGCTCCGCCAGGTCGTCACTATTCTGCGGGGGGGAGAAGCGGCTTGGTGCCCGCGCTGGGATTGAAGAAGCCATCGGGACAGGGGGACGCGCCTGCGACTGAATGCGCCGCCAGCGGCGAGCGGGAAAGAGGAGGGAATGTGAGGGAGGAAGGGAGCTGAGGCTCTCTTATATCCTCTTATTACGATGTCTGAGAATGAATTGGCGGTGCGCGATGAGCAGGGCGCAGGGCGCAGTGCGCAATGAGCAGGGCGCAGGGCACAGGGCGCGGGGCGCAGCGCGCAGCAGGACGCAGAGTGCAGTGTGCAGTGTGCAGTGCGCAGTGCGCAGTGCGCAGTGCGCAGTGCGCAGTGTGCAGTGTGCAGTGCGTAGTGCGCAGGGTGCACCTGCAGGCTCTCAGGCGCGTTGGAGACGAGCTGGATGCGGCGCCACACGTGCTGCCACATGTGCGTGACGTCACGCTTGGTCACCGGCTTCACCAGATACTCCTCCGCGCCCGCCGCTATGCACTGCAGCACCGTCGCCTGGTTGGAGTTGCCTGACATCACTGTCACGTCAGCAAACGCAGGACCACACGTCGGATAGAGAGAATCAAACGTCATAAGCTGAAAATGCCAACATGGCGATACATTGGCGCACGCCAGGAAACGGGGCTACCGCATCTCTCATCAAAATACCCACACTCACGCGGAATGCAAGCGGACCATCAGTGTGTGCCGCGTCGACCACGATAAGGGAGCACACGCACTGTCAGACGTGCAGACAACGATTGGGGAGCACGCGAATCAACGAGTGGCATTCATAACAACGCTGTCAGACGTACTGATGATGGGAATGGCGTTGTAATTGGAGTCGGCGCGGAGGATTCGCAGCAGCTGCAGCCCGTCCAGCCCCGGCATCATGAGGTCCTGCACCGTTCAGAGCGTCGCGCAGCGTCGTATAGCATCGCATACGTCGCACAGCATCGCACAGCACAAGGGTAACGGCAGTCAGCAACAGACAAGAACCGAAGAAAGCAACCCAGAGCGGCGCTAGCCCAGGTAACCATCCGCGGGAGCTGAGAAATTCCACAACTGAGAAGTACAAACCAGACTAGTGGAACTAAATCGGACAAAATTTCTGAGGAATTTGCGAAGCTTACAACAAGGATGAGATTGAATCCGTCTGGCCTCTCCTGCAGCACCCGGAGGGCCTCCATCCCTCCATCCGCCACCGTGACTGCGCATCACGACGCAAACCGGGAATACCGTCAGAATGCTGGGAACCCGATCGCATACAGCACGATACCTCTCGCACGGTAATCTAGTCGGTTCAACTCATGCGACAATCAACAGCGACGAACGGATGGTCGGAAAGATGCGTGAAGCTAAAGCAACCGCTCTCCGATTACAGAATTCATGTCGTCTGACAGACTATCGCATCCACTAGATTCACTGAACTCATTACACATCATCGTAACACTAAGGGTCTACGGTTCTTGAGTGTTAAAAAAACGACTTGAAGTCGCAGTGACAGTGTAAGCGTCCGTGACGCCATCCGTTCCGTTCGTCCGAAACCAAGGAGTTGCGGGGATCCCCAATATCAGAACTGTGTCGCACGAGCGTCGACGCAGTCAAATTCGTAAAGTTCAAAAATTGATCACTCTGCTGTTGCTTCCTGGCAGCTCAAGACGGTCGTTCAGTGCCAGCTTCTACTCCGCTTGGCCAGCCTACTAGCCTCCGCTTCACTCTAGACGCTCGCTCTTAACTCTCCCGACTGCTTCTTCGATCTCCTGTCGCGTTCTTAACTCTCCTATCGTGCAGTTGAACCTTCTAGCCATCGTTGGCCCTGATTGCGAGACGTAGCTCTCATCACGCAATGACAAGACTAACTACGCTCTCCATTCCGAATCCAGAGCTGGATACTTTAGCAGCAAGCACTCAGTCACCTTGATAACCACATCTTCGGAATTGATTTCCGACGACGAGTCGCGAGAGCCTTTCGTCGTCCACCACTAAAACGTGAACGTCCGACGGCGAGATTAGAGGCATTCCCCCGGCTGCTGCAGCCCCTCCGGATCCCCCTCCGCCTGCCGTGAGAACCCCATCTTGCACTGGAGTTGAAGGATCCATGGCGGTAACACTGACTGAACCTAGGAGAAGATCTAAGGTCTGCTGACAAGGAATCTTTAAGCGAGCTCGCAACCAGCATAGTGAGTCGAAACGGCTCTGGCAACGCACACCGCAGATTGAAATGATATCTCAGCAAAAATAATCCCCCTGGCAACCACTCTCCACATCAGGAGCACCAACTTCGTTCACTCCGCAGGTGAATGCAACAACTACTCTTCAATCAATAACCCTAATTTAGTTAGGCTACTCCGTGACACACAATTTTATCGCGATAAGGAACTACGAATGAAGACGGGAAGCATTGTGCAATTGCTAGCCTAGGGTTCCAACCAAGACAGTTCCTCCAGTGGACCTGGCCTGGGGTTTGCTTGCATCTGGCATATTTTGTTGGAGCAGCAGTCTCACCGAGTCTCGGCACAAGCTTGGAGCAGGAGGAGCAGGTTTGGCTGCTGCGGCTGGTTCGGTATGGTATGGCATGGCATGGCATGGCATGGCACGTGTACGTGTGAGTGGCAGGGTGGTGGTAGGGAAGGGATTCGAGAGGTCCGTGAACCAGGCTCGGTCCCGTGGTCAGGGAGGGAGAGCACAAAACAAAAGTAGGCATGGCAGCAAACTTAGGATTGCCACACGGATGACGCTGGTTGGCGGAAGCATGTGAGGTTTGCTTTTTTTCGCTTTTATTTCGCTTTTAGGACCCCGAAAAGTGCACAGCATCCAGCTCACAAAAAATATCTACAGCCCACCAGCGATAGACAAAAGATCCTGACCTGAAGCGGTTGGTGTGAGGGCAGATGCGTCACGTGATGTCCAGTCAAATAGCTCTTGAAACACGTGACAGAATTCTTAGCCGTCTGCCTATTGGTTCCGAGGGGTTGCTACCTGAGGTGTGCTGGCCCACAGTTGCAGATGCAAATTTGATTGCATGTGTTCGCTCGCTGGAGCCCTGCTGTGGCGGTCTGCCCTAAGCACACCCGGGCACCCCGAAAGGTGATGAAATGCCTCGAACGGGATCACACACCTGTTGATTGTACACGAATTACAAAAAAAAAATTGCTAACATGCACTAATGATACATGCTTGCTATCTGCAAGCAGAGTGCAATATCCCTGCCATCACCCCAACCACCATCCCCCTTTACAACCGGCGTTGAGTACACTGGTAAAATGACCAGATGCGCATTTTTATCAATTGAATCCTTCTTATCTTGCTCTGCTAGTCTAAACTCTTCAACGGACCCCCCTGCACCACAATGAGTTAGTGGAAATCCACTCCCATTCCTGCTTGTATCTCCATCCCCACCACTCCCCATTCCACTCCAATCCCCTATTGCATTACCATCCCCATGTAATCCATACTCGCCAAAGTGCCATGCACTGGCACGGTGCCACCTCAGCATGCGAGCAGATGGCATGTGGTGGGAGATTAGCTCCCACATGGACCTGTCCCAGTTGTAATCATCCATGAAGCAAAACTCCTGACAGCCATGAAAGACGGGGGCAGGTATTGTAGCAGAGTCACAGACGGTAATTACGTGGAGAAAGATGCACGATGGTATTATTGGCTGACGCTAAAGCAGAGTAAGTTGAGACGTCTCAGAGTTTTGCGTTCCAAAACTCAACTGAGCAGAGGGAGGATGCACAGTACGTTAAGCAAAAAAATCAAGGCCTCTACAAGGAGGGACGTGGACGGCGTACCTCACATTGCCGAACCTATGACCCAGGGTTGTACCCAACCTGTGGAACAACATACCTCATACCCCATACCTTATACGCCCACCACCGTACCTCTGCCAGGGCATGCATCATCTCCACACACTCCTCTTTCAAGCTGCATTCTACAATGATTTTCTACACTTTTGAAACAACAAACCCACGCCCCCACCACCATAACCACTGCACCTCTGCCAGGGAGTGCATCATCTCCCGCACACTCCGGTTGAAGCTGTACCCCACATTGCCCATCCCATACCACAGGGCCGTGAAACAAGATACCACATTCACCCACCAGCGTACCTCTGCCAGCCCATGCATCAACTCCCACACACTCCGGTTGAAGCTGTACCCCACGTTGCCCAGCCTCTCCGCCGTGAAATGCCCTTTCCGCCTCAAAACCCCCCTCTTCTCCACCACACTCCCCTCGGATCTTCTGATTGAACGCCTCAATCCCCTCGCTCCAACCTCGCCCCTCTGCCAATCCTCCACCTCCCGCTCTGCATGCCCTGCAGCCTTCATTCCCCTCCTCTCCACCGCTCCCTCCTCCTCATCCTCCACCACCCCCACATCAGCAGGGGCGAGGCTCACAGCAATGCACTCGTTGCAGCGCCCGCGGCGCTTGGCGCTTAGCAAAGCGCGCAGGTGGCTAAGTGCGTTGGGGAAGAGCCAGTGGTCCTCCTCTATAAACAGCATGTGGCCGTTGAATGCCTTGGTCTCTGGCAGCCCGTCCCACACCGTGTTCTGCACCCACCACCAGTGGTGCTGCGCGGGACAGAGGTGGGAGGAGAGGAAGGCAGGAGAGGGATTGAGGGAGGTGAGGGAGAGGGAGGGAGAGGGGAAAGGGAGAAAGGGAGGAAATGTGAGGTGCTGGGATGCAGGCAGGTGGCTAAGTGCGTTGGGGAAGAGCCAGTGGTCCTCCACTATAAAGAGCATGTGGCCGTTGAATGCCCTGGTCTCTGGCAGCCCGTCCCACACCGTGTTCTGCACCCACCACCAGTGGTGCGGCGAAGGGGTGTGGGGACAGCGAGGTAGGAGGAGAGTGGGGGAGAGAGAGGGAGAGAGGGAGGGAGAGGGAGTGAGAAGAGGGGGGGCAGGAGGAGGAGCAGGGAGTTGTTGGGAGGCAGGGAAATGGGGAGTGCGTTGGCTAAGTGCGTTGGGGAAGAGCCAGTGGTCCTCCTCTATAAACAGCGTGTGGCCGTTGAATGCTTTGGTCTCTGGTAGGCCGTTCCATACTGTGTTCTGCACCCACCACCAGTGATGCTGCACGGGAGGAGGTGTGTGGGGTACAGAGAGGCAGGGGGGAAGAGAAAGGGGGATGGGGAGGGGGAGTTGGTGCACCTACTGAGAGACTTGATCTCTGGGAGGCCGTTCCACAATGTCTTGTGCACCCACCACCAGCAGTGCTGCGAGGGGGTGAACAGGCGGAGAGACGAGACGAGGATCAGAAGGAAAACACCTGAAGGAAAGGACGAGAGAAGGGGGGATACAGGGAGAGGGATGTAGAGGGGAGGCGGGGCGGGTTGGTTGATAGCTGGGTGTGCAGAGAGGTGGAGAGGTTGGGGGGTGCGGGAGTGGGATTGACACAGGCAATACGCGCACCTTAAGGGAGACAATTCTTGGTTCCTTTTGAGTCGCACCTTAAGGGAGACAATTCTTGGTTCCTTTTGAGTCGCACCTTAAGGGAGACAATTCTTGGTTCCTTTTGAGTCGCACCTTAAGGGAGACAATTCTTGGTTCCTTTTGAGTCGCACCTTAAGGGAGACAATTCTTGGTTCCTTTTGAGTCGCACCTTAAGGGAGACAATTCTTGGTTCCTTTTGAGTCGCACCTTAAGGGAGACAATTCTTGGTTCGCGGTACGATCCGAACTCATCTGCTTGACCCCAACACGGCATCCCATCCCCTCCCTCCTCCCCTTCCTCCTCCTCCCCCACCTCCTCTTTTCTCACACCGTTGCTAGCAGCGTGCCTCATCCCACCATCCCTCACCATCCCCTCATTACCCATGCCCCCACCACGCCTATTCCTCAACTTCCCCCCGTACGCCCCCCCTGCTCCCACCGCTCAGCTCCTCCTGCTTTCGTCTCCCACGGCCGCCTTGACTTGCCGCGGCAGTCGTCCGCGGCAGCTGCTGGGAAGGTTCCGTTGAAGAGGTGCGGCGAGAAGGGGAAGTAAAGCTGCTTGACTCGGCAGAAGGAGATTGAGCGGACGAGGGCATGCATGGGTGGGTAGAAGCCGTCATGACTGGGATGGGGGAGAGGGGGAAGGAGGGTTGAGGGAAAGGGAGGGGAAGCAGAACTGTTTCACCCGGCAGAAGGAGATTGAGTGGACGAGGGCATGCACGGGGGGGGTAGAAGCCGTCGTGACTGGGAGGGGGGAGGAGAAGGGATGGGAGGGAGCACAAGAAAAAGGAAGGGGAAGTATAGCAGCTTGACTCGGCAGAAGGAGATTGAGCAGACGAGAGCATGTACGGAGGGGTAGGAGCCATCATGGCTGGGAGGGGAGGGGAAGGGGAGGGGAGGGGAAGTAAAGCTGCGTGACCTGTCAGAAGGCGATTGAACGAACCAGGGTGTGCATGGGCGGGAAGAAGCCATCATGGCTGGGAGGGGGAAGGGGAGGGGAGAAGGGGAAGTAGAGGTGCTTGAACCGGCAGAAGGAGACTGATTGAACGAGGGCATGCACGGACGGAGGGGTAGAATCCGTCATGACTAGGAGGGGGGAAGGGGGGAAAGAGGATCGAGGGGGGAGAGGGGAAGTAGAGCTGCTTCAGAAGCATGCTCTAATCGCACCTGACTATAAGCAGGACGTGCTGTATGCCGTCCACTTTGCTTAAAGCATCCAGAGTGTGGTTGAGATATGCCGGCCGGTTGTGCACGAGCAACACAATGATGATGTCATCATCTCCCACTGCTGCCACGTCACCATTTCCCTCTGCTGCCACGTCACCATTTCCCTCTGCTGCCACGTCACCATTTCCCTCTGCTGCCACGTCATTACTTCCCACTACTGGCACCGACACAACATCACTCCCCAACACCGCCTTGCTTGCCTTCCGTTGCTTGCCGCTAGGAGCACTCCTCATTCGCATTCTCTTTGATTTAGTAACAACTCGGAAAGACACGCGTGGAGGCAACCTATTGGCTGCTGCCAGCTCAGCAACCCGCCGATTGGACGGAGGCCACGTGGCGTTGTTCAAACGCAGATGCGACCTGCGCCATGTCGAGACAAACCACGCCGCCTCGCGCTGCTTGCGGGCCTGCATGAGCTGGCGCAGTCGTGCCTCTGCTGAGAGGAGCGCCTTGCCCTTGATGGCACCGGTCATTGCACGCACCTAGGAGGTTCAGTGTGCAGGGTTTGAGGTACAAGTTTGAGTTGAACGGAAGAAAATTTATGAAAAATACATTGCCTGCGCTGCGCGCCTGCATCGGTCGGCGCAACTGTGCTTCTCGCAAAGAGCAGCGCCTTGTCCTTGATGGCATGGCACCGGTCACTGCACTGCACGCACCGAGGGATTCAGAGTTTGGGGTTTCGAGGCGGTCGGTGTAACAGAGGATGTATTGTGGAAAAGCAGTGCTTATGCGCCAACATCAAAGGCCCCCCCGCGCTTCTGCAAAGAGCAGTGCATCGTCAATCTCTCTCTTTTTTTTTTTTTAATTAAATAATTCTCCAAAAATCCTTTTTTTTTTCTTTGAATTCTCAAAAAACACGTCCTTCACATTACCAGCCATCGCACTTGAGACGCCTGAAAAGAATGTGGTACGTACATCATACATGGCTTACCTCCAATTTGCTTGCACCATTCTCAGCTCCCTCTCATAGTCCTCGATTGCCAACACTCTCATCCTTCTTTCAAAACAAAACTGAATAATTTCTTAGAGCGTCTGGCGCATAGCTTACCTGCGATCGCAGCATTCGTAACTCCCTCTCGTAGTCGTCTATCGGCAACCCGGCGCCATGCATTTTCCCCCGTCCATGTCCTCTTTTTCCGTTCGTTTCTTTCTCAGCAGCAACGCCAGCAACGCTGCTCTCCCGGTAATAAGCATGCTTGTAACGGGGATACGCTCGAGGACACTGCGCCATGCTGGCGGCATTGCTACTTGTCGTGGCGATACCAGGACTACCAGGAACAGAACTAAGGACTTGCAGCGAAGCTTCATCGTCTTTCAGTCTCCCACGGAATGCTCTTTGCCGCCGCTGCGCGTCAGTGACGTCAGCGACAAAATCCAACTCTCTCGAAACGAGGCTTAGCAATCTCATGTGTCCATCCGTCCGACCCTGCTGATCTGAGGTCCGAACCAGCGGCGTAACTTGAAGTTCGGCCTGAACCTTTGGTTCGGGTTCAAGGTTGGCTCGACTCAGTTCGGGATCAGATGTGGATTTGGTGCTTGATGGGATGGCGATGAACGGCTGGGATGGTGCCAGAGCGCTTTCCGTTTCCTCGGGATTGTCGCCCCAGAAGAAGCATCCCATCCATCCCTCGAACGACCAATCAGCGGCTGATAAACCGAATTCATCGTTCTCGCTAACTGCTTCGATAGAAGCGTCAAATCCGGACTCGATATTGTCAAGGGACACCCACGCTGTGCGTAAAGCGAACGCGAACACGCAAAGGAAGAGTATCAAGGATGTGTGGCAGAAGCGAATGCGACTGAACCGAGCGTGACTGAAGCGATCGGCCATGCGTCGTCGAGTCGCCATCTGGCAAAACTACGTCATGTATTTGGGCCGACTCTAATCCAGAAAAATCGCAGATTCTGAATTCTGACATGATGCGGCTGGGCAAAGCGGATAGGCCTGACGAGCAAGCACGATAGTTGCGAGGATGCAGGGCTGGTGAGGCGATGGAGGGTCGTATGGCGGAGAGTAGTGCTGGGCTGCGGGGGCTGCGGCTGCGATCGATCATTGAACCGGCTTCAACCACTGGTAAGGTGCAACCTACCTGGTCATTGCATCCTGCCATCGTGACAAAGTTCACAACAACCTTCCCCGGTTGCGACCTGAAAAGATTGTAAGAAGATGCCTTGGCTGCCACGTGGCACGGCAGCGAGCGACCTAGGTTGCGACCTGTACAATAGTAGCTGAGCAAGCAAGCATCCACCTCCACACACCAGAGCAAGCAAGCACCCACTCACCCCAACCATCCAAACCCATCCAACCCACCTACCCAAACCCACCCACCCAACCACCCCAACCCTCCCCACCTCACTTCACCTCACTCAATTGTACTTAAACCGACCTCATCTTACCCAACCCACCAAAACACCGACCCGAGATGCGAAACTGCAGCCTTCCCACTTGCGAATCAAAAACTGTGAAATTCGAACCTACAGGCTCGCCGATCTAAATGGTGCGCTTGAATCACTTTTTGGTGGGTCGCGCGATTGAAGAGTGTTCTAAACCGGGTTACTTTGTTCCTTAGCGAAATAATTTTGAGCTTGAACCCTTGTATTCTCAAAATGGGCAATCCCAACTCCGAACAACGAGTGTTCGGTATACAACATCCGCACTTGGCACTAGTCGAACCACTTTATCGAAGCTCAAGCCTTTTGTAGAAATAATCTGCAACAACGCGACATCGAGTTCCAGAACGCTAGTAAAAAGCCGCGCTACATTAAGTTTAAATCAAACTAGTTTCATCGGTTTTGTATCTCCGCAGATGGCGGACTCCGCCGCTTCTGCGGCGGCGCAACCCGAAAGCAGCAGCGCTGCCGAAAGCGGCGGCGGCGGGGGGTGCGCGCGGCCCGAGAAGCCGAACACGACGGTGGGGAAGATTCGCGAGCACGTGAACGAGTTTATGAACGCATCGATGGACGAACACAAGGAGTGATTTAAAAACACGCTGGGGAAGGTGTGTGCTGGGGAAGATGCGCGTCGGGGAGGTTGCGCGCCTGGGAGGGTGCGCGCCGGGGAGGGTGCGCACCGGGGAGGGTGCGCGCAGGGGGGGGTGCGCGCTGGGAAGGATGCGCGCTGGGGAGGGTGCGCAGTAGGGAAGTTAGGCACTAGTCAGGCACAAAGGTGTCCGTTCGATGTATTTTAGGCTCCGTTTGAAAGCATTGCAGAGGTACTAATATTCTCGTGAGAGCTTATCCCTTGTTTTCTATGTAAAGCAACCCTCTCCATTTCTTCCTCCAATTCCCAACTTTTCCGTACCTTCCACCTTCCTCCTCTCTCACCTTCCTCTCTCACCTCCCTCTCCCTTGTTCCTCTCTCACCTCCCTTTCCGACTATCTCCAGATGTTTGGGTTCAAAAGAATGTCCCTAGTCTATTTTTGAGGCACCTCAAAAATAGACACCTCCTTCTCCCTCGTTCCTCTCCCACCTTCCTCTCCCACTGCCTCCAGATGTTTGGTTTCAAAAAGAAGTCCCCAGCGCTGCGTGAATGAAGTGTATTTTCGAGACGTCTCAGAAATGACCCCTTCCTCTCCCACCTTCCTCTCCCACTGCCTCCAGATGTTTGGTTTCAAAAAGAAGTCCCCAGCGCCGGCCCCGCGCAACGTCGTCATCCCACTGGTCGCTCACACAGGCACTGTAGCACCACACGACACGGCTATAGACACTGTAACACGGTAAGGCATCCACTTGCAGGCAGTCACACCATTTCTCACTTTGGGGCAGCAGCAGCAGCAGCAGCAGCAGCAGCGGCGGCGGCGGCGGCAGCAGCGGCAGCGACAGCAATGTCTGCTGCAGCAGGGGCTGATGCCGGCATGTGACTGCAGCAGAGGACCTGACTGGGTTTCTTTTCACACACTGCATTCCAGAGTGACTGTTTCAGTGGAAGAGCAGTAAGCAGTAGAGGGAGTTTTGTGTTGCTGCTGCAGAGCAGGAGAAGGGGTGGAGGTGGACGGGGCGAAGAGCGGAGAGTGCATATGACGGCTGTGGCTTAAACCCCCCCCCCCCAGGGGCAGCTTCAGCCCGACCCGCCACTCCTGCGCTATTCCTCCCTCAACCGCCACTTGTTTTGACAAGTTGAGTAGGAAGGGCGCGGTGAGAGGAGGGAGGGGGAGTAAGGAGCGGAGAGTGCAAATGACGGCTGTGGCTTAAACCCCCCTCAGGGGCAGCTTCAGCCCGACCCGTCACTCCCATGCTTCTTGTGCCCTCATCCTCCCTGCCCTGATTCTATTTCATCGTCATCTCAAACATCATTGCATTTTACAGGTTTTGAGTCGACTCAAAACTAGGCCACCCTGCCCTGATTCTATTTCATCGTCATCTCATAGGTACATTATTTCATTGTACAGGTTGGGTAGGAAGGGAGAGGGGAGAGGAGGGTGTACAGTGTATCAGTGTTGGGCATTGGGTGGGGTGGGAGGTCCGGTAGAAGTGTAGCAGTGTTTGTGAACTAGTGATGAAATTCTGTTCACGGGAGCAATCCTGTGCTCGAATGTACACGAGTATCGTTTCCGGATGGCGTACCTTCAGTGCGGTTCCAGTATTGTTTTCTGCATTTTCTTACGGTACGGTAACAGTCTCATGCATACTGTATGTGCCAGTATGAATGAACCAGTCAACGGGCTATCGAAGAAGTGCCTTCACCACACCCATGCACCACATACAGTCCACCTCTCACTAAATAAAATCCGCACACAGGTAAGCCAGGCTCGGTGGTCTCAAGGTGTCTTGCTAACTGCGGAACGTGCGTTGCGTCGCCAGAGCTTCACGGCCTTGGTGCCATCGTGCGCCATCCACTCACCCACCATTCCATGCTAACCAGGTACGTGCTGCCTGCACTACGCTATATAAGATCCGCACACAAATGCGCCAGGCTCGGAGGTCTCAAGGTGTCTTCCAAACTGCAGAACGTGCGCCGCCAGAGCTTGACAGCCTTGGTGCGGTCGTGCGCCATCCAGTCGCTGATATCGCTCCACGGCACGGCCCGCGAGTCAAACATCACGATCCGCCACGGCACAAAGAACTTCATCAGCCCCTCCTTGAACCACATGTCCACCGCAAACGACGGCGGAATGCGGTGCGCAGGCGCCCACGAAAACCACCCGTAGTAATACGCGTTCAAAAACCGGTCCACCGACCCTTCCGGATAGGGTAAAACCGGGAGTTTCGCCACCATGTCTTCGAATGTGGTGGAGTTGGGTTGGATGACCATCACTCGGGAGGTGAACATGTCCGGAGGGAAAACGCTCGGCGGGGCGGCGAACGCGTCATAACTGGTAACCAGCTCGTTGCAATTATCCACAAAAAGCGCCACCGGGTCGACATAAACAAGCTTGTCAAACCCTTTCTGGTTCCATGCGTGCAGCACGGCGAAGGCATCGTCTAATTGCCGCCCGTTGACGACTATCGGGTCGACCACTCGGACATAGTTGAAGAGCTTGCGATACGGCTGCCAGTGGTCCCTGGGGACCGTGGACAGCACGAGAAGGAGAATCTTCCGGAAGGAGGAGAAGGAATGGTGCTGCAGGTACGATGCCGCCCAGACGCCCGCTGCAAAGTAGTTATCTTTGGTGATCAGAGTCACGAAACCCTCTCGGCCGATGTAAGTGGGTCGGCCTGGAATCACCGGCTCATGCGACACCGGCGAGGAGAGCAGAGCAGGGGTGGATGGAAACGCGGAGGATGTGGTTTGCGCTGCTGCTGCGCCTGCAGCTGCGGCTGCTTCAGCTGCTGCGGCAGATGCAGAACGTGCCTTGGCGTGGGCGGGCATGAGAGCGTCGTACTGGGCGCGGTTGGGGAGGAAGTGTGTGAGGGAGATGGAGGTGGGGTCGAGAGGGTACCAGTCGTTTTCTTCCAGTGCGTGTGCGAGGTACAGCCAAAGAGAGCACCAGAGGTTCACCTTCACCTGTGGGCCACCGTCGCCGGCTACCACCACCCCTCCTGCCGCTCCTGCTCCCCCTGCTCCTCCTGCTCCCCCTTCGATCACCCCACTAGCAGCTCCTGCTGCTCCTGCTGTGCTGTTCTCACTCCCTCCTGCCGCCACTGCTTGCAGAGTCGCCGCTGCAGCTGCCTCCACGGCCTCTCTGCTCACCCCGCTCTGACCCGACGTGAGAGACGACGCCAGAGTCGACGACAACGCAGACGACAAACTCCCCCCACCTTTTCCCCCTCCCCCACCCCTTACCCCTCCCCCTCCCCCGCCTCCTCCCCCTCCCCCTTCCCCGTGTATCCCCACCACCCCGCCCTCCTGCGTCCCGAGCCGCCACGGCTTGAACCAGGGGTTGGCGAAATGGATCATCATGATTGGTCCGTTGAGCGCCTCGTGGGCGGCTTCGACGCGGAACCAGGGCGGCGGGTGGTAGTGGTCGGGGAAGAAGATGACGGCGTTGTACCGGGCGGGCAGGCGGTGGGCGGGCGGCGAGTGGAACCAGCCCGAGAAGTAAGCGTTGAGGAATCCCTGGTCGCCCTTGTTGTAGGAGGGGAGGCGGTGCATCTTGCTCATCATATCAGCATATGTGGACTGGTGGAGGAGTTGTTGGGGGGGGGGAGGGGAGGGACAGGAGAACAAGTGTCAAGTAGGCGTTGAGGAAGCCCTGGTCGCCCTTGTTGTAGGAAGGGAGGCGGTGCATCTTGGCCATCATATCGCTGTATGTGGACTGATGTGGGGTTTTGGGGGGAGAGGAAGGGGAGGGACAGGAGAACAAGTGTCAAGTATGCGTTGAGGAAGCCCTGGTCGCCCTTGTTGTAGGAAGGGAGGCGGTGCATCTTGGCGCCATCATATCGCTGTATGTGGACTGATGTGGGGTTTTGGGGGGAGAGGGGAGGGGGGTGGGATTGGGGTGGGGAAAGAGGGGACACAAGTGTAATAAGCGCTGATCTCACATGTGATGTGAGGGCTTGAGAACAGACACTAACGTGACACGGCTTGAGCACAAGGAGTCCACTGTTGAACTTGCTGCTCATGTACACATCCGGGATGGCCGTGGGCTCTGCAACTGCTGCTTATCAGTTTCATACCCAACCTGCCTTCACTCACACCAAGTTACTCACATGGGATGGCTTCAACACGAGCAGCCCGCTGTTGAACTTGCTGCTCATGTAAACGTCCGGCACGGCGGTGGGCTCGGGGCGCTCAAAGAGATGGTCCAGGTTGGCGAGAACGAGAGTGTCGACGTCGATATAAACCACCTTGTCGTATTCAGTCATCTGCCACGCGTTCAGCTTGGAGAACCCCTTCACGCCGTATCTGTTGTTCAAGGTGGGGAGTGGGAGTGGGGAGGAGGGTTGGGAAGGTTGGGTGGGCTCGGGACGTTTGAAGAGATGGTCCAGGTTGGCGAGTACGAGAGTGTCAACGTCGAATCGTCGATATACACCACCTTTTCGTATTCCGTCATCTGCCACGCGGTGAGTTTGGAAAAGCCCTTCACGCCGTACCTGTGGGCAGGTGGGGTGGGCATGAGAGGACGAGAGTGTCGACATCGATATACCCGTGTGGGATCCGCTCCACTCTCACACGAGAGAGTCGACGACGATATACACCACCTTGTGGTACCCCGTCATCTGTCATGCGCACAGCTTCGAGACTCCCTTCACACCATAGCCCCACACCACCACACCACACGCCTCTTTTGAGTCTGACTCAAAAGTAACCCGGCCACACAATCGCTCCTTAACATTCACATCATGTGCGTTGCCTTGTGTGACTCATAAGTGGATAGGCACTCACGGGTTGGTCACACCACAGTGAGAACTCCCGGCACATGGTCGCATTTCACCCTTATCTGTGGCTCAACGAAAGTGCTACTCACGGGTTGTTAACAGACGGCACGCCCACACATGATCAAAGTGCAGGAGTAACAATCGGTCGTTCACATTCACGTCATGTGCGTTCCCATCCACCATGAGCTGGTGTCCGTCAGCCTGAGGGACTGCGCGTGGGCGAGGGCAGCAGGCAGCAGGTCAGCAGAGGGGACGAGCGTGGGGTATCCTCTCCTCTGTCACCCCCTCCAAAACACCCTCAGCCCCACACCACACCCCCCAAAGGTTGAAAACTACTCACGGGTTGGCAACTGTTGGCACACGGCGCACGTGGTCGAAATGCAGCAGCAACAACCGGTCGTTGATGTTCACGTCATGTGCGTTCCCATCCACCATGAGCACAAGGTCATGCGCCGTGCCCGTCAGTCTGAGAGACTGTGCGTGGGCGAGGGCAGCAGGCAGCAGATCAGCAGAGGCAACGAGCGTGGTGTAGGCGTAGCGCTGCTCCACCACCACTCGGTGCAGCCCTGCTGCTCTTGCTGCCTGCATGCGCGTTAGGGCGCGGTCGTCACAATGAATCATGTACCCAAACTTGTCGCAAAACACCTGCAAGGATGGGGGAAAAGAGGTGCGGGGTGGGGTAGGGAGGAATGGGGTGAGGGGGCAGCGCTGTGTGTGCGCGTGTGTGAGAGGGAGAGCAGCAGGCAGCACAGTGTTAGTGTGTGTGAGAGGGAGAGCAGCAGGCAGCAGGTCAGCAGAGGCAACGAGCCTGGTGTGGGCATAGCGCTGCTCCACCACCACTCGGTGCAGCCCTGCCGCCCTCCCTCGCCACCTGCACGCGTGTTAGAGCGCGGTCGTCACAGTGGGGTGGATCATGTACCTGAACTCAACATCTCTTTGACGTCCAGCGTCACCTTAGAGTAGTTGTCTGTAACTCAACTCCATGCCGCCCAACTGATCGTGACTCGTGCATGTTGAGTCAACTCAAAAGCATCCTCCCACCCTTTCCCACCCATCCGCGCCACTCACCATCTCTTTAACATCCGGCGTCGCCTTGGAGTAGCTGTATCTTAACTCCATGCCGCCCCACAGCCGCTGAAACGCGCCGATGCACCCGCCGCGGTCCTTCTTGTGCCCCGCGCGCGCGCTCAGCCCCACGTCGCTCAGCTCCTTCTCCGAGTTCCGCGTGTCGCCCCAATCCCGAGGCTTCCCGTCCACCAATAGCGGCCCGACTTTCGCGCGCTGCGAAACGACGAAGTTCATCGCGATGTCTTCGCAATTCTTCCCCGAATCCACGTACTCCTTGACCCCCTCCGGCGTGTGACACGTGTACCTAAAAAGATAATCCGCGTGCAATATAAACAGCTTCGTTAACACTATAGAATACCGGTCTTCGCGTTTCGTGTACACCCATCCCTTATCCTCCAAACTGTACACGTGCGCGCGCGGGAAAAATCCTACCAGCCGCTGCTCATTCTCCCCCCAAACCCGGAGCGCGAACTCCAGCGTCTTATCGTCGATCGTGATGTCATCGTCGCATATAATCACAGCCCGCGTGCGAATGAACTTTCGCGGAAGGAACCGGTCGTTCAGGCTGTCGGACAGCTGTCTAACTATGTGAATCTTAGAATCCGGGCCGCCCACGCGAATCCCCCCGCCCGATCCGTGATTCCCGCCGGGAATGCCGTCCTCTCTTTCCTGCGTGGCGATTTTTTCGGCTCGCTCAATCGCCGCCGCCGCCGCCGCTGCCGCTCCTTCTCCGCTCGATCCATCATCCCACCACCCCAAATCCCCCTCAACCACGGAGAAAGGCGACGACACGTTCCCCCATAGAACATAAATCGCGTCCACTAACGGGCTCTCCGCGTAAATTTGCAGCGTCTCTTGCAGCAGCGGGATTCGCGCTTCGGCGTAGCCGTTAATTAGGATCGTCACCGAGTCGGCCTGTAACGCCTGCGTTGGCGGGTAGCGTTTCCTGTTGCAGATCTCCGGACCGAACTTCTTAACTACATACGGGTCCACGGGCTCGCCAGGATCTAAGATTCGAAAACCGCCTGTTATTGTACCGGGTAGCGGGGCAGCTGGAGCGGGTACGGTTACGGGAATGGGTTGCGGGCAATTGCAGTGGGGAGAAACGAGGCGCCATATCAGGAGGAAGCCGCAGAAGACGGCGATGGACCACGAGGCGCAGGTGGAGAGCTTTAAGTCTGCGAAGCGCTTCGACTTGCCGTAACGCGTATCGAGCGTGAATGATCCCGCTGACGATGATCGACTGATCATTTTCTTTTCGACCGGTCGAATCGGGGTCTGTTGGACGAAGAGGACGGGCCGCGATGGACGGCTTCGAGTGAAATAACGCGAGCAAATACTGGGATGTCTCACAAAAGATTACGTCGGGAAAGCAGGTGGCCGAAACCCCGCGACAGAGAGCTGAAATAAGGTGCGCATGCTCTCTGGTTACGGTGTAGGCGGAGTGGAGGAAAGGAATAAAGCGAGAAGTAGGGGGTTGGAGTCGCAGGCTCCTACAGTGTTCTTGAAAGCTTGTAATATGTGCTTCTGTGTTTGATGCTGAGACACTGCACGGTGAAGAGAGAGCGTCCTGGAGGCTGAAGCGTGGTTGGTTCGGTAGGTGGGTCAGTTGGTGGACCGTGGAAAAAATTGAAGCGTTGACGTTGACAGCGTCAACGATCACCTAAGGGCGCGTGTGATCTTGGGATTTTGGTCTAAGTTCGAACTCAAACCGCTTTGCACCGTGGCAAAACTTTTCAAATGTATCTTACCGTGTAGAACCTTTCTAAAAGTTCGAACTTTGGGAAGTTCGAAAAAATATCATACGCGCCCTAAAGTCTCTCTGCCAAATGCGATTCATCCCAGTGCCAAACATCGAGAAGGGATGAATGTTAAATATGTTTTTTTAAGCCAATATTCAAGTCAAATCCTTAAATCCTCTGAAACAGCACGCATCATATCGAGGACAAAGTTCCGAGACCTAGAAGATCCTCTTGACCAATCACAGTGGCTAGAACTAGGATAGCTCCACCTCTTCATCCACCTCCACGGAGGCCTCGTTGCCGAAGATTTTCGCCGTTTTTTCGTCATCTACAAAATCGCAAATTACAACAAGCGCAATAAAATCGCAAATGTCGCGGATGCTACTTGGCAACCAGCCACCATCCATGAATTTGCAGTTCACAGCACCTCCAAGCTAGAATCTCGCCTCAATTCATGCCCTACTTGCTCGCTCGCTCCACCACCACACCTCGTTAACTTGTTTCCGCGAGCCAAGGTTCTCCCTTCAGACGCACCGTGGGACAGGCCGGTGCTAGCTCCGCTCTCGTTCAGTCCTGCTTTACGTTCCGCCGTTTGCCTGTATTAGCAACTTGACTGTTAGGCAGGTACCTCGATGGATGTCTTGAAAGGGAATGTGGTGTCGCAGCAGATCGTGGTGAACAGGTCATTTTCGACGAATTTCCAGCAACCGTCAAGTCATTTGCCATTCTTGCATTGCACCTCCCTTCAAGGCTCCTCCTTTCTTGTCTCACAACGAGTCGCTTCGTCCGGATCCAGCCAACTTGCCGCGTTCGGTCTCGAATCAACCAGCACTAGAACTGCTCATTCAACAATAACATGCTCCGCCTCTCCGTCCTCCTCTTCTTCTAAAAATCTTCTACCACTAAGACGCGTCGCCTTATACTGCTTCGCCATGCGAAGAGCTCCTGGGACGACCCGTCCTTAATCGATCACGACCGTCCTCTCAGCAGCCGGGGGAAACACGGCGCTAAGAGCATCGCCAAGAAGCTCGCGCGGCTCGGCTGGGTCCCGTCCTTAATCCTCTGCAGCGACGCCACTCGAACTCGCGAAACGCTCGAAATCATGCGGAAAGAGGAGGACGGGTTTGCGGAAGCGAAGGCGAGGTTTCTCGGAAGCTTCTACACAGTGGCAGCCATGGACGGCCAGACGGCGCGGCACCTCCACGAAACTGTTGTGCAATTGGCTCCGGATTCCGCGGACACGGTGATGTGCATGGGGCATAACCGTGGGTGGGAGGAGGCGGCGAGCGAGTTTGCCGGCGAGTGGGTGGAGCTAAAGACGGCGAACGCGGCGCTTTTGGAGTCGAAGCGGCCGCACGCGGATTGGGGGACGGCGTTCGGCGACGGGTGGAAGCTAGTGAAGGTGGTCAAACCGGATGAGAAGTAGAAGCAGGCGCGGAGGGGTGGAGGAGGCGATTGCATGAAGGGGCTTGTCTCTAAGTCGTTTCGAAAATTACTTTTGGTGGAATCTGGTGAAGGTGGTCAAGCCAGATGCGAAGTAGAATCAGAAACAGAAGCAGACGATGTGGGGTGGAGGAGGAGGAGATTGCATGAAGGGCCTTGCCTCTGAGCTGTTCAGAAGGCACCTCGGATGGAAGCAAGTGAAGATGCGGTCAATCTGAAACGAGAGAAGTGAAAGTAGAAGCTTTGCAAAGGGTGGTAAGCGTGCAGAGTGGTGGAGGGACGAGAAGCTGGACGAGAAGTAGAAGCAGCAGGCAGCAGAGTGGTGGAGGGCCAGACCGCATCAGGGGTTGCTCAAGCTAGTGAGGAGGTTCAGGAACAGATCAGTCTAGGTGAGGTTGGAGGAATGAGGATGTGGATCAGAGGGGGGGTTGGGATCCACGGAAATGGAGTGGAAGTTTTTACTGGTGGCTGTACTAGGCGTTGATTCACAAATGGAATGGAGAATAGGGAGAAGGGAGGGTTGTTGTACGGCAATGGAAGGGGAGGGCAGCAGAAGGTGTGAGATTGGGCAATTAGTGAATGGGACAGACTGCTATGCTGGTGGGTTGACATGCTTAGGGGCTTTCCCCTGGATAGATAAGCACATTCTTCTGACAATGATTTGGCACCGTATCATGGTTATTTGAGAAACAAGTATGTAGCATTTGACAAATGGCTATGACACGAAAGTCATCCACATGTGACATAAGATCGTAGCACACAGCTCATCCATTGCATTGCACCACAATCCTCATTACAGAAGCATCAGCAGCAGCCAACTTTACAAAAATATGCAGTTACCTTACCACCGCACCCTCATGATGGCTCAGGCTTCAACCATGGGTTCCCCCCCTGATGAGCTGGCAGCTTGTAATTGGACCTTATCCGGCTTGCTTGTGGCAGCAACAGAGTTGAACAGTAGATCTTTCATCACCTGATCCAGCCAGGTTTGAGAATTTGGGGTTTGGGGGAGCGACGAGGGAGGAAGAGGGGGGAATTAAAAAGAGCTCTGTATGAGGGGGGTGTGAGAGTGAGTAGAAATGCTACATACAGACATCACATTCACGTAGCAATGTAGTCAGCAGTTGCATTGGCATTGCACGATGGTCCACACCTGTGACATGAGCCCATGCAGTTGTTCCGTCGTGATGCGACTGCAGCTGTCTACACGGCATGATCAGCCGAGCAATGATGCGAGAGCTGAGTGCAGATACCACAGTGATAGCATCACTCTCACTTATGACATGAGCCCATGCAGAAGCTCCACTGTGATGTGAGCGCTGAGGTCAGCAAGGAATGATCGGCCAACTTTTGAGTCCAGTTGACTTTTGAGTCGACTCAAAAGTCACCTGAGGTCAGCATGGAATGATCGGCCCTCACCCGATGTGAGTGCTGAGGTCAGCATGCCAGTACTCTCACCTGCGACATGAGCCCGTGCAGTTGCTGCACAGTGATGCGAGTGCTGTCCCTCGTGGACCGGTCCAGAGGAATTTTATTGTGCATGCAACACCCGTGTCTCCCAAGCAACCAGGACACCCGCCTCGCTGCAAGTGCTGATGCCAGCAAAATGTCACTCTCACCTGCGACATGAGCCCGTGCAGTTGCTGCACAGTGATGCGAGTGCTGTCCCTTGGGGACCGACTCAGAGGCGACTCCTCCTGTGCACACAGCACCTGTGCCTCTCAAGCCACAGGGACACCCGCAAATGCCAATGTCAGCACGACACGTGCGTCTCACCTGCGACATGAGCCCGTGCAGTTGCTCCACGGTGATGCGAGTGCTGTCCCGTGTGGACCTGCTCAATGGTGACTCCTCCTGTCCATGCATGCAGAGTGGGGCACAAAAATACAGACAGTTCCATCAAAGGCAGCACTGAATCTTGAGACGTCTCAAAACTTTATCCACAGTGATGCGCCTGCTGTCCCTTGTGGATCGACTCAGAGGTGACTCCTCCTGCGCATGCAGCGGGGCACAAAGTGTACAGGCAGTGCCGTCAAGGGCAGCACAGGAAGATATGAAAGTTCTAAAAGCCACACCGCAATAAGAGGTGACTCCTCCCGTGCATGCAGTGGGGCACAGGGCATTTGGGCAGTGCCGTCAAGGGCAGCGCAGGGAAGCACAAGGCAGCAGCAGTGCCAGCTAAAGGGAATGTACAAAGTCAAGATGCACAGTGCAGCAAACAGAAGTTCACAATCTAAAACCAGGCTTCGATACCTTAAAAGCGTTTCAAGCGCTTTTTAATCGCTGATCCCCCTCCCACTGGCCTCGCTTCTTCTCCCACCTGTCACTCACCTCCGAATTCTCAAACGTGACTCCCACCTGTCACTCACCTCCTTGCGTCGCTGTGGCGGCATCAGGAACCCCCCAATGCGTCCCGAATGCGCCAGCTGCCCCTCTGCCTGCTCCAGCTTCTCCGCTGGGGGGGGGGGAAGGGGAAAGAGGGGAGGGTAAGCGAGCGAAACGGGAAAAGGGGGTGGATCACGCATTGAGCGCAAGTGATGTTCAATGCACACTCCCTTGCATCAGCTGCCCCTCTGCCTGCTCCAGCTTCTTCGCTTAAAGGGGGGGAGAAGCAGGGGAAGTAGACCTACAGAGGTCTAAGAAGGCCTACCTCGGTCAGACCCATCCTTAGACGTCACACCCAGACGTAGTCGCGGTTGGCGAGGAGCTGCGAGGAGGAGAGGGTGTTGACCCAGTTCTCGGCACAATCATACACGCAGCAGCACACCCACCAGGTCACACACACATACACACACACACACACACGCACGCACGCACGCACGCACGCACGCACGCACGCACGCACGCACACACACACACACACACACACACACACACACACACACACACACATCTCACCCAGGTCGGAGATCTGGCCAGCCACGTAGTCTCGGTTGGCAAGGAGCTGCGAGGAGGAGAGCGTGTTGACCCAGTACTTGTTCCAGAGCAGGTCCAAGAGGTGCGAGTCGAGTGACGACTTGAAATAGGTGATGTCCAATGAGTAGTACTGTGAGATGGATGGGATGAGGGGAAGGGGGGGAGGTGGAAGGAGTGAGGGATGGTAGGAAAGAAGAATTCTCTGAAACAGCCGGGAGGAGGAGAGCGTGTTGACCCAGTACTTGTTCCACAGCAGGTCCAAGAGGTGCGAGTCGAGTGACGACTTAAACTATGCGATGTCTAGTAAGTAGTACAGAGACAAAGGTGGGAGCGGTGTGGGGATGGAGGATGGGGGATAGGGGGATGGTGAAAGAATGCTCTGACGGGGCTGTGGGTAGAAAAGGGGGATGGTGCTTTGATCCAGTACTGTGCTGTTCCGTCCAGGCTTGGGCGTTATAAGAAACGGGGGAGTATAAGGAGACAAAGGGCATTGCAATGGAGTGGCTGTGGAGATGCTTCCAAGAGGCGCCTCAGAACGTGACTGTGGATTGACAGCGTGCAGTGCCTATGACAGAATCGCCAAGCTTCAAAACACTTTAATGACCTTGATTTCAGAAAGTAATGAATGAGTATAACAGGCCAGGACACCCGCGTGTGAAGCCAGCTATTAGAGACATGTGATAGCCGTTGCAATGACCTTGAATAAAGGTCTCATGCAAGCACCATCGCTCTCACACCCCTTCTTACCTGCCCACACAGCACATCCAACCGCCCTGACCTCATGCGCTCACCTGCTTGCAGTGCACGCCAAAGTCCTCAATTTTGTTGAGAGGGATGGTTTGATACTCCGATGGTGGCTCATCTGGCGGCTTGTACCCCTTGGGGTATGTGCGGAACGCTCCAATCTCCACCTGGAAAGCAGGCAGAGAGGAACAGACAGAGAGGGTGAAAGCAAAAGAAGAAGAAAAGAACGGAAAGAGAAGTTAAAAGACAGAGAGATTGCTGCAAGGACCATGGTGTTTTTGAGACATCTCAAAAGCAGTTTCTTATCACATGGTGTCCCCCGCCCAGCTCCTGCACGCCATAACAGCCTACTCTGCGGGCGAGAATTTCTCCTATGAGAGGGACGAGCTGCTGGGAGGCTGATTTCTCACGGCGGCCCTCAGCTCGCATCTTTTTCGCGAGCTGCCCGGCGTGCACGAGGGCGTGCTGACTTAGCACGGCACAGACGCTATCAGTAACGAGGCACTGCTCTTGATTGCAAAGGCGACTGTGCACGTGCATCTTACTGTCAGTCCCACTGGTTCTTCTGCTATACTATCACACACGTGCTTTCGCCCGTGATGATATCTTTTGCAAAAGCGTTACGCAACCTTTTTGGCAAATGCCAACACACTAAAAAGCGAGGGAGGGGAATTTAATGTTGAACATGTTTTTTGAGAATTCTAAAAAATCAGGTGTCAGTGCTATGTTAGCTGCCCAGCCGGCACTACCTACTTTCCATCTCTGCTCCCCAGTTCTGAGAATTCTCAAGACGCGGCCCACGTGTCCACCTACCTCCGCATGCCCTACTTTCCCCCTCGACTTCCTGAGCCCTGCCCTGCCTGCAGACTCGGTGCGCGTGGGGGGTCGATGACAACAGCGAGGAAGGGCTCTTGGAACTCCTGGTTGAGCATCTGAGTGGACACGTCGATGCCTGACAGCACCACTGTTGCAAGCCCAGAGTGTCACTCTTTGCCGTACCTTGCCAGCAGACACGGTGCGCGTGGGATCAATGACGACAGCGAGGAAGGGCTCTTGAAACTCCTGGTTGAGCATCTGAGTGGACACGTCGATGCCTGACAGCCAGCACCCGTACCCCGGATGCGAGTGGTACCATCCCACCACGTTCTCCAGCCGCCCCGCCTGTAGCAAGGAGGGGAGAAGAGAAGGGGAGAACGCGGGGGAGGATGAGGTGAGGATGGGGGAGGGCCATGAGCACCCGTACTCCGGATGCGAGTGGTACCATCCCACCACGTTCTCCAGCCGCCCCGCCTGTATTAGAGGGAAGGGGAAAGAGGGAAGGTTGCGGAGAAAATGCGGGGAGGATGGGGTAACGGGGCATTAGGACCCGTACCCCGGATGCGAGTGGTACCACCCCACCACGTTCTCCAGCCGCCCTGCCTGCGGATAGTAGTTGGAGAGGACAGGGAGAAATGGATGCAGGGAGAATGGGGGGAAAGGGGCGTCAGCAGGGTACCCCGGGTGCGAGTGCTATCACCCCACCATTCTCCAGCGGCCGTGATTGAGCCAGGAGGGGAAGGGACATAAGGGGGTGTTTTGAGACGTCTCAAAACACTCCTTTTTTCAAGGGGGTTGCGGGGAGGATGGTGGACGGATGTGGCGTCGGCACTCGACATTGACTTTTGAGTCGACTCAAAAGTCACCTCGACAGCACCCGTACCCCCGGGTGCGAATGGTACCACCAAAGCACGTCCTCCAGCTGCCACGCCAGCAGGGGAGAGGGGAGGTGGGCGCGTGGAGAAGGAGAGGGGTTAGGGAGAAGGAAGTGGGGCGGAGGGTGCAGTAGAAGGAGTTGGGAGAAGGTGCAGGAGAATGACTAACCATATCGTGGCCTTAAATACGATTGTAGGTGGCTTCTTAAGTCTGATTTCAGGTGCATCCCCCTATTACAGAACCTTAAAGCACAATCTGGCTCGTCCACGCTGACCCTACTCTCTACAGGCAGGGAAAGGGTGTCCAGTAACTTACCCTCTTATTCGTCTGGGTGAACTCCACCATGTACTCGTACGCCTCAGCCTGGGCGTTGACTCTGGTCTCTGTGCCCTCCACAGGCAGAGCAAACGCGTCCATGACAATGATTGTGCCGTCCACCACCTTGCCCTGCATGATGCCCATCACCTGCCGAGGGGGAGGGAGGAACGAGTTTACTTGCCTTATAACGGGCCTGCTTGTAACAGACCACACGCGTCCATGACTATGATTGTGCTGTCCACCACCTTGCCCTGCATGATGCCCATCACCTGCCGAGGGAGGGACGCAGGGGGTTCACATGGGCCGTTTATATCAGAGCCAACTGATTGGGCTGTCCACCACCTTGCCTTGCATTATGCCCATCACCTGCATGGGGAAGGGACGGGGTTAATGGGACTGCTTATAACGGGCGTATGTGTTACAGATTCAAAGCGTTCAATGACAATGAGAGGCCTGTCCACCACCTTTCCCTGAGCTATGCCCACCACCTGCTATGGGAAAGGGGCGACATCACTAAACTTGAGTTCGACAGGCCTACGTGTTACATCAAATGAAACCCAATGCGCCAATGACGGTGATCCCGCATGGCGTTCTTTGTTGCACGGATTCTGCAACAACACGTCCGCGCAAATGCGCTCGTCATACCTCTCAGGAGTGAGCTGAGCATCCCCCTCAACAGTGCGCTCAGGCGCATTGATTCTACTCTCCTGCGTGCTGCGTGTCTTCAGTTCAGGGCCCTGAATTGTACGTGCGTCCAGGCGCACCTCAGCCGACTTACAATTCACACCTCGTCTCAAACGGTCTGATATCGTAAGTCGACTGAGCTGACTTCTGAATCGACTGAGGTGACTTTTGCGTAGATTTAAATATGACCAGGAATTCTGCTTTCTTGGATTGTGTGAGTCACGAGTTCAGGGACCCTAATCTCGAAGAGTTTAAAGCCCTCGTCGAAGACAGGTATCACCTCGAGTTGGTGAGATTGTAGAGGTATCAAGCACGAACCTCGATCGTATCCCCCGATCGCGCGTGCACGACCATTTTCAGCAGCGCGAGCGCGGAGATTCGGACGTTCTTAAAGTAGTGCGGATCTTTGGTCCACGGCTTCTGCGACAGCACGTCCGCGTGGATTCGCTCGTCGTAGCGGTAGATCGTGTCCACGTCAGCGGACGCCAACGGCTCGATTCGATTCTCCAGCTCCCATGTTTGTCGTGCTTGTAACGAGTCCATGGCGACGCGACCAGAGAGGGGGAACAGAGTATGGCAAAGAGAGCGAAAAACTCACTCAGGGACTAAAGGCGAAATATTATGAATGTCGACTTCACTGTCCTTAAACTCAAAAATTCCTTCTACCAACGCATCCTACTTTATTTTTAATTGGTCAACGTGAAACGCGCTGATGTCGCTGACGAATTGCACATTGACCCGTCAGTTCAAAATTTTCGCACACAACTCGAAATGCCCGACACGATCACATGCACCTGGACACTCCACAATGCCGATTTCGGGAAGGAAAATTTCGCGCGCATCGAAAACGCACTCCCATTCGCCTGGTCACCCAAGTCACCCAATCAAATTCGCACAAATGTACATTTTGCACTGTCGCCCAGTGTCGCGATACACTCAGTGTTTGTGACGCGAGGTTGGCAAAATGTGTGGACGCGACTCGGGAAAAAGGGCATTGAGACACATGTGTCTACACAGGAATGCGCCCTAAGTGAAGCGGTATGGGAGGGACCTGTGCCCGCTTTCGAGTCCGACTACACTAAAGATTGATGTAATTTTTTGGTGTAGAATGAACCAATTCATATCATGTTCAGATTTGTAGGTACATCAAAAAGCAAAAGCAGTAGAGGAAACAACACACCCTGCAACAGAAAATCTGTATAATTTGGATGGAGAATACGGTTGGCCCGACTAACAAGAAAGAAGTTACAGCAGCAATAGCCGCAACCTTTCTTTAACAATTCCCAACCATACTAAGCCACCCACCCCCCTCCCCCCCCCCCCCTCCCCCTTTCTTACCAGTCCCACGTCCTTGCCTATGACCCTCTGCTTTCTCCTCCCATCCCTGCAACCCCAATCCAACCCCTATCAGCACCCCGCCATTCCCAGAACCAGCAGCACCGCCTCTATCACTACAATGCCTGAATCCTCTAAAAATGCCCCCTTCACCGCCCCTCTTTTCCCCCCACAACCCCCCCCACCCCCCTCAGCATTCTGAACATCCCCATCTATGCCCATCCATCCCAATGCCCTGCTTACCATACCATACCCCCTTCACCCACGTCCCTGTTCCGCCTGCCACAGTCCATTTTTCTCCCTAACCCATTCCCCGATCATCCTACCCTTCTTCCAACGCTCTTTTTGTGTTCCAGAAAGCTCGCGTCGCCTCTCAAGTGAGTCACTTCCCGCCTTTCTTGGCCTTGGGAGACTGGGGCGGCGTCTTGTACTCAACATAGTGCTTCTGGCGCTCCGCAGCCGCGTCATCTGCGCGCTTCTTAAGCTCCGCCTTCACGAGAGGCACGATGTGCTCGTCGATGAATTTCGCCGCCTCCACCGCGTCAACCACGTGCGCGCTTCCGGGAAGCAGCGCGTTCAGCCCCGTCTTGCCAAGCTTTTTCGCCGCTGCCACGGCCACTTTCCTCTGATTCTCCGGATCCTTCGCCTGCGCGAATGCCTCCTTCGCGATCGCTACTGCCTTGGCGCGCATCTTCTCCGTGATTTTGATTTTGGGCGACTCGGGCGCTTTCACGTAGCCCGCGGTCTTGCCCAAAGCGCGCCGATTCCTGGTATTAGGGTGGCTGGGAAGAGCGGATGCAGCCGTTAGGCTCAGCGCGAAAGCCGCGAGAAAGGTGAGAAGGAGGACGTGGCGGAGAGCCATGGCGGCGGGATGGATGGATACCGGGCGGTATCTTAGACGATTGCAAGGCAATCGTACTAAGCTTCTAGATTTCTGGAGGACCCTTGGAGAAATGCAACTGACGATTTGAGAGGTAATGGTGGCTATTAGAGATGTTGATCAAATGATGTGCTGAGATTCGAAGTTCCGTCTATTAAATACTATTGTGCGCTGCCACCTATGGGTTAACTGCGAAGGGATGCCGAATTGGCTGCAGTGGTAACGTGGGCTCGTTCCTGCCGCACGAGCGACTGGATAATTGTTAAAAATACGGCGGTCGAATCGCATCTTATCACAATACATGCCCAGCGCGACCGCAGTGAGCGCTACTACGCGAGCCATGAGCTTCTCTAGTGCGGCTTGAAATAATGGCGTAAAAATGGCTGTTGAAACTTAGCGCTAGTGGAGCAGCAGAAGGCAGCCCGCCCGAGCAGAGTGGCTGGAAACTATGGCGGAGTGGGCAGCGGAGGAAGCAGTGAATTTCAGTTTCCGTTCCGGTGATTGTTGACCGAAATTGCAGTATCGCCACAAAACATGCAGCATCCCACAGAACCGTAATAGAACGAAGACATTTACGAGACTTTGATTGGGACGCACATCCTCCCGCGAGACGCGGTAGGAGTTTTGATTGGGCAACGCCAGCCTGGTTCTGCTTCCTCCCACAAATAATCCTCGCCGTGGGTGTGAGGACAAGTGTCGCTGCCGCATATCTCGGCGGAACAAAGGACAGGTCATCACACACGCTTTATACAGTAACTCGATTGCGTACGATCACGTTATTACTCATGAAATGTTCGAGTATGCTTATGGTATGATTCTGTTTCTCAGATTCTATAACAAGCATTCGACAAACAAAAATTCAGGGCTTGTTATTATGCGGGGAATGGGGTGCGAGATGGGACGTGATCCTGGTTGGGTTTTTTCTTTATAGAGTATTTTTATGGGGCTTTTTATGGGTGTTGCGTTTGAGTTGTTTCTGGTGTCTTTCTTTCCCGTTCCTCTCCTCTTGTGCGATGCTTTTCTTTGTAAAGATTATGTGTCAAAAAAAAAAAAAAAAAAAAAATTCAGGGCTCAAATCCCCTTGTCCCTACCACGATCCCTACAATTTCCCCGTCGCTCCTATTATCTCTCCTTCGCCCATTCCCCCTCCCTCAGTCGCGCCCTTCAATCCTCGTTGGAGCTTCCTTCGAACTCGCAAGTAAGGCGTTCGCGTTCAACGAGTGGCGACTCACGCGCAACCCCATGGAATCGTTTTTAGGAACACTTGGTCAGTCCCAACGCATCGTTATAGCGCGTCCAACAAGTTACGCTCTCATGAGATGATCGAGAATGTTCGAAATTACCCTCGTCTGTGTGTAAAAACAAACGTTTCATTTGCATCGCTGTCTGCCTATCACGCGCTCCGACAGTAGGCTCGGTCTCACATGGCAACCGTTGAGGCGCCTCGAAAGCAGACTCGTTCCGTATCTCATACGCTGAATTTCGTTTGTCAACAACGCATCTGTGCAGGCTTCCTGTGTGGCTTGCACTCTCGAGTAGCAATTTCCGTGAACTTTCGTTAGTTTTACTACCTTGGCTATATATTTCCAGTGGGTCTTCCGGATATTGCTAACGTCCTATTTGTTGTGCTTGATATTATCTTACCTTGCAGGTCTACTCACCACATGTCTCCTTCAGGCAGCTTATTGGTTCGTTCCCCACTGCCTCGTTCTCCCATGCCCTTCCCATATCTCTTGCACTCCTAATTCGTACTATTCCCATGCCATCCCCCCGTGCGTTACCCCTGCCTTCCCCATGCCTCATTCATGCTTCACAGCCCTGTTAATGATCGATTCCTATTGGACAGTCCCTCTAAGGCAACAGCTGCCATTATCATCCAGCATCCCTCCTTCGCTACAGTCACACCTCGAGTTCAACCCCTCATAATCTCCACACCTATGATTCTATCCCATGCGTCCTCCCGTCTTTTCAGGAACGCCTTCCAAGAAGCTTCTTCGCCTTATTCCCGGAGCACCATTTCTACAGCCCCCTTCTCCTGCTCCCTCCTCTCCTCCCTCCTCTGGACTACCTACGCCCTCCCTATAGTCACACCTCGCCGCGTCCTCTTTCTGCTCGCACACCTCCTACAGTCACTCTCTCTCTCCGCCCTCCTCCTCGCCCTCATTTCAGCTGACTCCTCCAGCTACACTCTGCGCCTGGTACGTTGCTCCCTGTTTTGAAGAAAAGGGTAGAAGGAAAAGGGGAAAAAAAAGCCCAATCGTTTCTTGAGAGCCTTTGACTGCAATTTGCTGCTCGTGCGTTGGATTACCCAATTGAGTGATCTCTGCTGTGCTGGCTTGGCGTGGATCGTTTTTTTGAGAATTCTAAAAAAAACACAGTCTGCTGCTTGTGCGTTGGATTACCCAATTGAGTGATCTCTGCTGTGCTGGCTTGGCGTGGATCGTTACAAGCCAGGTCTGCCCCGGTCCCTCATCCAGGCCACACCAGCATGAGGCACCGGGACAGCATGTCTCGTGGAATTTGAGTCAACTCAATTGTTGTCCGTTTTCCACACCAGCACCTCTTGCAATCACAACCAGCACCTCTCACACCGGTCTTGACCTCTCTGTATGCCCTGCTCTCACCCCCCACCCCTCACCCGACACCCCTCAGCGGCAGGTGCTGCAGCTGCTGCTACCAGCCTCTGGCCTCTCCACTCTGGTGCTCTTCCTCGGATCCTTCTTCGCACCTTCCTCCCTCGTCATTGGATGGACGGCCTCAGCTGCTGCTGCTCTCCTGCTCGCCTCTCAGCCCGTTTCTCGCATGGTACAGGCTGTTCTGAAGCACCTCTCAACCGCACTCAACCCCTGTTAGTCTAACTCCCCAGCCTCTCTCAACGCATCTTTCGCATGCTACAAGCTGTTGTGCCTGAGCGCAGCTGAACGCAAGTAGCATGCTCTAGCCGCGTTGCCGCATCTTTCGCATGCTGTTATGCTGTTGTTGTCGCGTTCAGTCCGACTCAAAGTGGCTCGTGCATGGGTTTCGAGACATTTCTGGGTTCATTTCAAAGCACTGCTTCTATGCATGCGCCGTGGGCACCTCGTGCTGCCACACACACACACAGCTCCACTCCCTGAAGAAGCTCGCCCGAAACAAAGGGCAGCAAGTTCAGGTCAAATCCCAAAGTAAACGATTGAATGTGGTTCATCGCGTGACGAGAGAGGTCAGGGCACAATTCAGCTAGATAGAAGTAGTTCCCGTGAGAACCACTTGGTTGCCCTGAGAGCACCTCATGTCTCACTCACCTCCCTTGCCCTCACCTCCCTTGAGTTGCTCTTCCCCTCGTGTTCTGATGCCCGTTTCAGCTCAGCCTCTTGGACACGGCCTCATCCGCCCAGCCATCACACGTCTTTCTCGGCTGTTCAGCTCTAGCTGCTGGATGCACATGGGCCGCCTTCGGCTTTGCCGCTCGTGACCACTTCATTGCTGTGAGACCCGCTTGCGTTCTTTTTAGGCGCCTGGAAGTTCTAGGGACTTACAACATAAAAAACAACAGCATCAACAACAAAAATCTGCTTAAGATCTGCTTTCAATTAGTTGTGATTTCCTCTTTTTGTGCTGTTTCATTCTTTCTTGATTATGAATCTCTCAATGGATTCATGACTGTGACTTCATCCATACCGAGTCTGCTTCAGCTTTATTTTTCTCGAATCTGCTTCCGATGAGCCTCACTTTCCGCCTCCTTGGTCCATCCATCCCCGCCCTCTTGCTGTTTTTATCCTTGCCATCAGGTGCCGTATGTGGTGGTTGCAGCACTTGAAGCCCTTTATCTCACTCTTTCCTCGTTCCTGGGGTGAGTCAGCCTCTGCCATCGACATTACCTCACTCTGTTATACCCCCACTCTTCTGCCTGAACCGAATGCAACACATTGTACGCACACTTCGCCGTTGTTCCCTCAAAGCCTCAACGCCAGCATATCGCATTTCTCCCATGCAAGCACTCGTCAATGTTACACACAAATCCCCTACGTCTCCCCATACAACCCCGTCCTTCGTCATTTCCCAACCATCTCTACCCCCTTTGTTACATCACCAATTCCCATTCCCTTACCCATCTCCACCCATCCGCACCCCTCTCACAGCGCTGCCAGCAGTGCAGCGTCACAGCAGAGGGCGGCAGAGGGGTACGAGCTGGTCGCCCCTACGGCGTCAGAATCAGGACTCACAGAGCAATCGCTGTGAGTGGCTCCTGTTGACACCTGAATCTCCCTTTACACCCCTCTTTGCCCCCGTATACGATTGTGTATACCCATTGTATGCTCATGTATATACCCTGTATACCCCTGTATGCCCCACTATCATCTTGCCTTTGCTCGGATATCCCCCGTCTCCTCTTCCCACAGCACTTCTCCATCCGCCCTGTTTGATTGTGGTGCTGTGCCTGCTGCATCTATTGCATGTGTGCAGAGACGATGCACTGGACGAGTTTGATGAGTGGTTACAGATGGATGTGCTGCATGGCCGTAGACTGGCTTAGCAGCGGTGCATTACAATGTAATATTACGAGATGGAGTTCGAATGTGTACAGTGTTCAGATGTGCTAAAGCTCTTCAGAAAGAGCTGGGAACACAAAGATACCTCCACAGCAGGTACCTGCACTTGAAAGGCATTTCACCCAACCCCCTTGCAATGCCGACTACAGTATAAAAAATATATTAGAAAAGCGATCAGACATTCTTACGGTAAGTCCTAGGTAGTTTGAAGTGTAACTTTTTTCGCACCATCTGAAAGAAAACACATCAGCGGTACACCGCATCAACTCCACCTCCAACCATTCCAAACCGCACCCACGAGCTCACCCAAACTTGGCACCCCTACAGTACAATCCAGACTCCAGCCAACCAGCCTGGAAAACTGGCCGGGGGGCCGGCAGGCTGGCAGGGCATGTGCCCTGAATCCAAACATCCCCACCCTCTCGATACTCTAGTGTTGTGAGATTCTAGCTTCCCTCCGGTCTCTACTATCCGCCAGCTGGCACAGGACCCACTGACGTGCCCCACTGACGCGCCCCACTGACGCACAGGTCACAGCCACACACAAGTTTCCAGCACTCTCCTTCATCATATCCTGCTGGCCCGCCAGCACCTTCCACCAGCCGCCCTCACCCAAATACTTGCGCGACCCACTCCCAAGTACCGCACCGCACACAGATTCACCCTCGCCCCTGTGTCTCCGCCTTGATGTTCAGCTTGATGGTGTTGCTCCCGGCCGCCCTAACGATGTGAACACACTCGTCCATGTCTTGAGGCCCCGCCAGCACCACCCACTCGCCGTCCTCGTCCAAATACTTGAGCGAGAATGCCCCCACGGGCACTCTCAGCCTACTCGCTACTTCATCCTGTACCAGCTGGTATGTTGAAGCGTTCAAAGGCACTCTGAACCGGATTGTATCCCCCCCAAACGTGGCCTTGATCGTTACCACTGACTGGGCTCCTGCTGCTGCTGCTGCTGCTGCTCCTCCTCCTGCTCCTCCTGCTCCTCCTGCTCCTGCTCCTGCTCCTGCTGCTGCAGCTGTGGGAGAGGCAGCACTCCGGTCTGCCTCCCATAGGTGCAATGACGTGGTAGGATGAGCACCAGCACCAGCACCCCCACCACTAGCACCCCCACCACCCCCAACACCCCCAGCACCCCCTCTACCCGCGAACCCAACCTGCCCCGCTCCTCCCGTGCCCGCATGCCGGAGAGCAGCCATATCAGCAGCACATGGCGCCCCTCCACGTAGCCGCCCTCCCATCCCCCCTGCAGCGCCCTCATACCCCTCAAACCCTCCCCTGCTCCCCGTTGCTGCCCCTCCTCCTCCCTGCCCGTCCCTGCCCCCTCCTGTATGCCCCTGCCCCTGCTGCCCTTGCTGGTGGCTCTGGTGGTCGTTGGATTGGTCCCCTGCAATTGGCTGGTAGCTGCGGAGAGCCACAAAGGCTGACCGCCCCCCGTGCACCCGCGTCTCCTCCCTCTGCTGCCCTCTCGCGCCACCAGCACCAGCAGGTGCAGCTTCCGGCTGCTGCTGCCGCTGTTGAGGCTGCTGCTGCTGCTGCTGCTGCTGCTGCTGCTGCTGCTGCTGGTGGTGCTGTTGCAACCATTGCTCTGCTCCTGCAGCAGCACCGGTAGCACCCCCTGCCGAGCCTGCTTGCCCACCCAAGCTCATCCCCAGCTGCCCGCCTCTTCCCCCGTCTCCACCACCACCTCCCCCACCCCCTCCCCCCTCATGTCCCCCACCGCCCCTCCCCTCCCCCACATCACCCTCTCCCCTTCCCCCTGTCACCGTCCCCCCAACCAACCCCATCTCATCATCACTCCTCCGAAGCAGACTAGCCAATAGGCTCGTGCCATGTGTCGTGCCCTCGTCATCCCCGCCAGCAACCGCCCCACTTGCTCTCTGCGTCCCGGCTCCATTCTTAAGACTCAAAGCAAGACTCAGGTTGGAATTAGACGGATCCCGGGGGATCGGCAACTTGCCAGGTGGCGGCGTCCTATTCGTCGTGTGCACCCCCCCTGCGCTTCCTGCCATTCCCCCATGCATCGACCCGCCGGCTTGGTTCGGGCCCAGGCCTCCTCCCGAACCTCCGCTTCCGCCAGGTCCGGCCATGCCTGCAGCAGCGGCAGCAGCAGCAGCTGCCGGGCCTGCATATGCCCCACCATGGGTTGAACCCATCATCATATGGGGCCCATGGCCCGACCCTCCTGCAAAGAAATATCCACCGTGATGCGATCCCCCTGCTTGCATGCCTGCTGCCATGCCAGGACCACCCATACCAACCATACTGCCCACACCCATACCAGCCATAACGCCCCCATGCATCGACCCCCCTGCCCCATGCATTGACCCCCCTGCCCCATGCATGGACCCCCCAACATGGGCCATGTGTGGGCCATGGGCTGAGCTACCCATGAGGATATACCCTCCCTGTACTGCGCCCCCTGGGAAGGGTCCATGATTCGACCCTGCTCCCGCTGCTGCAGCCAGTAGCGTCGCGCCATGTGTCGACCCGCCCGCACCCCCAAACGCATTTCCCCCATGTGCCGAGCCTCCTGCAAAAGCCATGCCTCCATGGGCCGATCCTCCCGCGAATGCATTCCCGCAGTGTGCCGAACCTCCTGCAAACGCCACCCCTCCATGCCCCGAACCTCCTGCAAACGCCATTCCTCCGTGCCCCGAACCTCCCACGCCCATAAACGGGCCGTGCGCCGAGCCTCCAGCCATGGCAAGAGGTCCGTGTGCCGAACCTCCCGTGGCCAGAGGCCCGTGTGCCGAACCTCCAGGTCCGTGCGCCGAGCCTCCGACCATAGGGTCGAGCATAGAGGGATGGCGATTCCCGGGCCAGGGGAGGGACTGGAAAGAAGTGGAGTTAAAGCCAAAGGAGGGAGCTGGGAGCATAGTGGAACCTCCTGGTACAGGTGGTGCCTGCTGCCCCTGCCCGGCCCCTGCTGCTGCCGCTGCTGCTGCTGCCGCCGCTGCAAGAGCTGGGTTTGAAAATGCTGGCGAGTTGGCGGACCCTCCTATCTGCGCCCCCGTCACTGCCTTCACCGCGGCCGCCGTCGCCAGCTCCGACGTGATGGCGTCCAATCGCAGCGCGCCAGCTGGCACCTGCACGGACTCGATGACGTCCTGCAGCTTCTGAATGCTCCGAGAGACCTTGTTGATCTTGCGCGACGGCCACCTGGCGATTCCATGCTGCCTGCAGATGCGCTTCAGTGTGGTGGGGCACACTGATGGTCGGCAGAGGTGGAGGGAACAGGAACGGGAAGGAGAAGGAGAAGGGGGGGGAGAGGGGGGGGGGGAAGAGAATGTGCTTGAGGGCGGTGGGACATCCAGACCTATGCTCTTCTCGAGTCACAACCCCTTAAAAACCACACACTACTGCACACCCTACGGGGTCAACCCTCACTGCCCTACAGAGCACACAGGCACCCAGTCACACCACAAACCTCAACCCCACGACTCACCTCCCAGTGCCTTGGCAGCGTCCTTGAGGCTGCCTGCAAAGCACTGCTGCAGCACGGCCAGACTGATGCTCTTCTCGTTCGTCCTCCAGAACACTCACCACTCACACCACGAACGAACCCCACAATGCAACTCACCTCACCTCCCAGAGCCTTAGCAGCGTTGCACAACCCAGAACGCTCGCGCACCACCTAGAACACCCCGAACCCCACAATGCAACGCAACTCACCACCCAATGCCTTGGATTAGCAGCGTCCTTCAAGCTGCCCGCAAAGGCCTGCTGCAGCACGGCTAGACTGATGCTCTTCTCGTTGCACACCCCCCCAAAAGCACACCACACCTCACCAACCCCAAAGCTTACCTCCCAGTGCCTTAGCAGCGTCCTTGAGGCTCCCTGCGAAGTACTGCTGCAGCACGGCTAGACTGATGCTCTTCTCGTTCGTCCCCCCTCTCCGCTTCTCCCCCTTCTTCCCCCCCCCTTTCAACCCCCCTTCCGCCCCACCCGCCCTCTCCTCCCCCCCTCCTCCTCCCCCCGTCACATCCTCCTCTACCCGCATTCCCCCCTGCCTTCCCCCTTCCGCCCCCCCTTCCGCCCCCCCTTCCGCCCCCCCTTCCGCGCCCCCTTCCGCCCCTCCTGAGGGTTGTCCCGAGCTTGCCCCATCTGGGGTCCCCTCCAGCGCCCCTCCCCCCTCGTCCAGGCTGTCACCACTCCTGTCTGACGTGGCAGGGACACCTGATTGGTCAGCAGGTGCAGCTGCCGCCTCGACAGGGGCGGCAGGGGCGGCAGCTGCAGAGGCCATGGGTGGAGGACCTGAGCTTTCACCTGAGAAAGCGTCTTCAGGTAGAGGCGGCATGGCCTGCATGCCCATGCTTGTGCCCATTCCACCTGCATTGATGTTGATGCTGGCGCCACCACCCATGGCGCCACCACCCATAGCGCCACCACCCATAGCGCCACCACCCATGGCGCCACCACCCATGCCTGTCCCCGTGCCTGTTCCCATGCCTGTCCCCATGCCGGTTCCCATGCCTGTCCCCGTGCCTGTTCCCATGCCTGTCCCCGTGCCTGTTCCCATGCCTGTCCCCATGCCTGTTTCCACGCCAGCGAATATGTTTGGCCCTACTCCCACCTCCCCCTGCTGCTGCTGCTGCTGCTGCTTCCGGAAAACCACCTTCCGCCCAAGCATTACCAATACCAGCACCGACATTACCCATATTTCCATCACCATCCCCCATGCCCCCACCATTCCCCACGCCCCTCACATTATTCCCCTCGTCTCCACACCCTAAGCCATCCCCTCTTGCACCCGCCGCAGCAGAACCATTCCCCGACAGAAACGCCACGTCAGCCATGCCAGTGCCAGGTGGCGTGCCGTGAGCTGGTGGTGTGACTACCGAATTTTCACAAAGCTCCGCCATTGCTGCAGCTTCAAAAGGACTGCTCTCCCCCACGCCAGTTTTCCCCACACCCCCCACACCAACACCTGCGCCCTCGCACATATCTGCCCCTTCCCCCTCCCCTCGTCCCTCCACTCGCCTCCTTTTGACCTCCATACCTCTCTTCTCTGGAGTCTCACACCCTTCCCGCACTCCCTTCCCCCCGACACCCCTCACCACACTCACTCCCTCAGACACCCCTTCCCCCACCAACCCCTTCCCCTTCCCTCCCCCCCAAGCTCCCCCTCTCATCTCCACCCCCCCACCTCCCATCACCGACCCACCCTCTCCCTCGCCTCCCGCACCCTCACCTCCCGTCCCCGAGCCTGACCGCGTGCCTCGACTACCCCCACTCTTCCCGGACCTACTCCCGGACCTACACCTCACCATCTCCTCCACAGTTACCGTCCTCAGGCTCCGACACGCCTCCTGCATGCTCTGCGACAGCTGCGTCAACAACCGCTGCTGCTCCTCCTTCTCCCTACACCCTGGCGGCAGGAAAAACTCCAAGACATAGTCCATATCTTTAGACAAAACCGACCGCAGCCGGATCGCAACGGCCGCTCGCAGCCCGAACATGCGCGCGTAGTGCACTAGAGGGTACTGCTCCTTGGTGAGTAGCTGCAGGTCGTCGCAAAAGGCGGGGGCGTTGGAGGTCATGGCTCGGCCGGGGCAGCCCTGCGCGGCCTGTAGCTGGTGCTCGCAGCAAGCCTGGCGGAACCCCCACATCCGCAGGTCTGCCACGCAGCTTGGCATGTCTGCTGTGAACAACGTCACTGCGTCCTCCTCCTCCTCTTGCTCTTCATCCCCTCCCTCCTCCTCTCCTCCTTGCTCCTCCCCTCCCTGCTCCTCCTCCCCGTTCCCCTCGCCTCCTCTCACTCCTCTCCCCTCTCCTCCTTCTCCTTCCCCACGTCCTCCTCCCCCTCCCTGCCCTCCGCCCCCCTCTCCCCCAATCGGAAACACCTCAAACACGTCTTGCTGCAATCTCCCCACGTCAACTGCCCCCTTACCCCGGCCCGCGCCCTCGCGTCTCATGCTCCACCCCGCCCCCGCACTGCTCCGCATGCTCGCCCCTACAGGCCCCCGACACCCCCGAGCCGCAGGTTCGGAAGGAGGAGCGGCGGGAGGTTCGGTGAGGCGGACCCAGGAGGAGGGGATCCAGGTCTGGGCGAGGGGCAGCGAGTGCTTGTCGCAGAGCGAAGAGAGCACCTCGTGTATTTCTGTGAGCACGGCGCCACGGCCGGGAAAAGGCATCTGACTCCCAAAAAAGAAAGGAGGCGGGCGGGTGAGGTGAGGGAGGAGCAGCAGTGAGGAGGTGGGTCAAAGAAAGCAGTTAAGTGACAGCTGGCAGGGAGTGACGATCGCAGAGAGAGCAAAGAGAGCACTTTATGGGAGGGGAGGGGAGCGGAGGGGAAGAGCGGCTGTGAAACACAATGTGAGGGGTCACTTCCGAAATCAATATGTGGATTTGCAGTCACGACTCACAAGCATGAGATGCAGTCAAATACGTTAGATGCAGATTCGCAGTCAGAGAAATAAGACGCTCAAGTGCTGTCAGGAGAACATGGGCCCACCTCTGCTGGAAGATGGTCCCATGCGCGAATGCTGGTCAGATCCACCGTCTGGGGGTGGGGCGGGGAGGGGTGAGGTGGGGTGGGGTGGGATCGGGTGAGGTGGGGTGGGGTGGGGTGGGTGGCGTGCATCGCAGGCAGTGGCGTGGGGCATTGCCAAGGGACAGGGGCAATAAAATGCCCATTGCAACGGCGAATGGAACTGGACTGGATTGATGGATGTGCCACAACACACCACTGCAAAACCCAATTCCTATCCATCCCTCTAAACCGCACCCAACCCTACATCTCATCTGCAATGCATCGCATATGGCATCACTCTGTGGGCAGAAACCGCACGTCCTCGCCCATCATCACCAGCTCCACCACCGCTCTCGGTTGTTCACACGACCCAGACCACATGCACCGCACTGCACCCAGGAACTCACCTGCAGTGCATTGCACACGGCATCGATCTGAGGGCCAAACCGCACGTCCTCGCCCATCGTCACCAGCTCCACCACCGCTCTCTGTTGTTAGCACGACCCAGACCATATGCACCACTCGGCACCGCACTGCATCGCACTCCACCCCCTATCTCTCACCTGCAACGCGTTGCACACAGCGTCAATCTGAGGGCCAAAGCGCACGTCCTCGCCCATCATCACCAGCTCCACCACCGCCACTAGCTCCTGCCTCCTCCTGCCCCTCATCCCTCCCCCCTCTCCTTTCACCACCATCACCTTCCCCCCACTCTCCCCTTCGTCCCCTTCCCCCTCCTTCTCCCCCTCCCACCCGCCTTTGCTGCTCCCGCTGCTGCTCGTCCCCCAGCTCTCCCCTCCCCCCTCCCCCGTCTCCCCCCTCCCCTTCCCCTTCCCCTTCCCCTTTCCCCCACTCCCCAGCACGCGGAAGATGGGCACAGCCAGAGCCCCGCGCACGTTGCAGCGAGTGGCGTGGGCCACGCGGAGGTACTCGTCCCGCGAGTAGTACTGCACGTTGGGCGTCCACTCGGGGCGACCAGACACAAACACACGGCCCGGTAACCCTAGGTACCCGCTCCCTGACAAGGGGAACGTGTAGCTGGGCGGGTTTGATGGGGAATATGGAGAGAGGAGGTAGGGGGAAAGCAGGGGTGAGTCAGGCGTGGGCCACGCGGAGGTACTCGTCCCGCGAGTAGTACTGCACGTTGGGCGTCCACTCGGGGCGACCGTACACGAAGACGCGCCCCTGGAAGGCCTAGATACCCGCTGCCTGACAAGGGGAGCGGGAGGGGGAAGAAAGGGGGGAAGATAGGAAGGGATAATGTAGGCAGAAGAGGTGAGTTCGAAGTGAAGGAGTGAGGGGAAGAGCGAGTGAAGCAGGCGTACGCCACACAGAGGTACTCGTCCCGCGAATAGTACTGCTCGTTGGTCGTCCACTCGGGTTGACCGGACACAAAGACACAGCCTGGTAGGCCCAACCCTGGGGGTATCCCTGGGGGTATCCCTGGGGGTATCCCTTCCTCTTAAATCAACAACCCATCCCCTCCAACCTCCTTTGAATGAAGATGAATGAACAGCTGTAGACTCACTTGGTGGAGATGGTGCGGTAGACGCGCAGCTTCTCACTGCCCTCCATCAGCACAAACGGCTGCTCGCCGCCCTCCAAGACATCTGACGTACCCCCACGCCCATCCCGCTGCCACCACCACCCGCGCCCCCCCACCACCACCCTCATGCCCTCCCCCTCAGCTCACTTGGTGGAGATGGTGCGGTACACACGCAGCTTCTCGCTGCCCTCCATCAGCACAAACGGCTGCTCGCGCGTGCTCAGCACACGCTGCCCCTCTTGCCACGTGGGAAACCACACCTGCGCCAGCAGGTCTCCGCGCGACTGGGGCGATTGGGGAGGAGGGCAGAGGAGGGGGGAGAGGGGAGGGGCGTCTCTACTGAGAGAAGGGACAGAAGAAGAGTGCCACGTCGGGGATCACACGTGCGCCAGCAAATCCCCGCACGACTGATGTGTTTGAGAGAGGAATAAGGGACGGGGAGAAGAAAACCGGGACTTTTTTAGTGAGAAAAGCGAGTGGAAGGAAAGTGCACGTGGCACTCCCCTTCTCTCCCACAGGGCGCAATCTCCCAACAGTTTCCACCCCTACCCCCCTGCTTTCTTCCGAACCAGCAACTCTTTTCCCACCACCGCGCGCACACCTGGCAGAGGCTTCTCAACGCCTTCTCTATCCGCCCCCGCAGCCCCGGAACCCTCTCCGCGCGCAGGCCCCCCGCCACCTGCAGCACATTCCTCGGCGGAGCGCACACCAGCTGCCCCGCGCCTCCTCTCCCGCCCGCGCCCCTGACCAGCACCCCCGCCTTGGAATCCTCCTGCTGCTCGTCCCCCTCCTGCCCGTCCGCAAGCGAGCCCGCGCAGCTGAGGGGGTGGGGCGAGGAGAACATGGATAGCAGCGACACAAAGTTGGGGGAGTCGGGGCACATGAGCGCGGAGCCCGCGGGGCCCATGAGCGCGGAACCTGCGGGGGCCATGAGCGCGGAGCAGCTAGGTCCGCCAGTGATGAACAGATCGCCGCTAGGCTGAGCGGAAAAGGCGGGGATCTCCAGAATATCCGCCTCTCCTGCTGCTGCCCCTGAGCCACTTGCTCCTGCTGCTCCTACTATGGCTGTAGTAGCTGCTGTAGCTGTAGCTGAAGCTGATGCTCCTGTTGCCGCCGGTCCTGCGGAAGGTGACAAGACGTCAACGTGGTTCAAGGGGACTGAAGCGCTGGTTTCTGGAAGGGAGACCGGTGGTAGCTGCTGCTGCTGCTGCTGCTGCGGTTTTTCAAATTGCTGCGAGTGCTGCTGCTGGTCTGGCAGATTCTGACGGCGCTGCATCAGCTGCTGCTGCTGCTGCTGCTGCTGCTGCTGCTGCTGCTGCTGCCGCTGAATTGCCTCCGCCGGATGCCTCTCCTGCTTCGGACGCTGCAAGGGCGACGCCGATCGCTGCTGCTGATGCCCACCCTGCGCAGACTCTGGGTGTTGCTCAAGGTGGTGACGGGACGAATCCAACACTCTCTGCTTCTGCCGCTGGCTCGTCGCGTTCTGCGCATTCCACATGCCATCTGCCGCAGCAGTGGCAGCAGCAGCGGCCACTGCCGCTGCTAGTAACCCGCCGTTGCTCGCCTCCTGACCGAGCTGCACCGCTGCTGAAGCTGCTGTTCCTAGCGCAGGAGAGGCGGGAGCTGCTGTTGCTAACGGGTGCTGAGACTGACGTAGCAAATCCAGTTGCTGTTGCTGCAACAGCGCATCCTGATACTGAGACGCCGCGGCTTGCTGCTGCTGCTGTTGCTGCTGACGCTCCATAAGCATTTGCAGAAGAGCCATGTTATGCTGTTGCTGATGCTGCTGCTGCTGCTGCTGAAGCGCTAAAATGCGGGATTCCTCATCTAGCTGGCGCTGCATCTGCAATTCGCGGAGGAAATTCTGCGGAGCGGAAGCGGCTAACGCGGACGAGGCTAACGCGGAAGAGGCTACTAAGGCGCGCGACTGGATCTGGTGCAGCTGCGCTAGCTGACCTAATTGCATCGCCTGATCGTGACCTAATTGCGACAGCAGCGCCTGCTCCTGAAGCTGCGACTGCAGCTGTTGCTGCTGCTGTTGCTGTAGCGGCTGCTCGAGCCATGACTGAGGTGTCAGCGGGAAGGCATCGGGACGCGGGAGAGTGGTGGTTTGGGGAAGAGACTGGCCGGCAATAGGAGGTGCTAATGGATGCCGAATTGTCGCGCCGAAAAAGTCCATAGCGAGGACGGTGGTGATGCTGATTGATAACTAGATCGAGACGCGAACGAGCTCAGCTGGACAGCCACACGCTAGGCACGGAATGGGGATGAGTTTTTGACCACGGGAGGTGAGGTGAGGTGAGAAACTGGTTCGGTTCAATCACGCCGCTTCTGCAGCGCAGGGGACGAGGGAGGGGAAAGAAGAAGAAGTGTACTGTACACAGCCGTCAGCAAAAGCAGATCATGCTCGCGAGTGACGTTCAAACGAGAGAGAGAAACTAGTGGTGGAAGATGGAGCTGACCAATCAGCCGCATCGCAGTTTCGAAGTGAACAGCAGCAGCAGCATCGCATCACTCAAACCCTAACCGAAAGAACGCCTCATCAGCCATAGAAGTTGGCTTTTCGAAGAGCGAGGAGAAGCAGGAACAAGCTATACTCGATATCCGCTGCTTCATTTCGAATACAGGACAAACCAGCCTGGCGTATCAACATTTCGCGTGAGCAGCTTCCCACCACCCTGCCTTGCCCAGAATCAAGGCCAGGGTGGCAGCGGGGGACCACTCGACCAGCCAGTCATACCGCGTGGTTAGGAAGAGTAGCGAATGGAAGTGGCTGAAAGAGCTGGCGCGGCGCCATATTTGACCAATGGGTGAGAGCGAGTCTTGGTTTTGCCGTGTCATTTTAGCTACAGTAAGGCATCACCTCGAAATTTGGGTAATTACCTTGCGGTAACACATATGGCGCTCGATTGCCCGCGAGGAAAGCCACGTGTCCAAATCGTTATAAAGACATCTTGTGATCGCCCTCATGGTAACAATTATGCCAAAGTGGTCAACATTATTGCCTGAATGGTAATGAACAGTGCATTCCGAACTCCAAACTGGTAACTGCTTGTTCCAAACTTAGTGTACCCTGTACATACCCTGTATGAAGCAGAACGGAAAACGATGATAGATATGTTTTGCATTGCATATAATAACGTCATACAAATAACTTGAGAATGTGGGTTTGAAATGACAACAATAAAGGCCTTCTATTTCTTGGGTTTAATTTTTTGTATGTTTAGGAATCCAAAAAAATGCAAAAATATTATTCTTTAATTTAGGAATGCTTGACAAACCATATGTCATGGTCTAAACAAAAGAAGACTAATATTGTTTGTCAAGCATTCCCAAATTAAATACTAATATTTTTCCACATTTTTTTAATTCCTAAACTTGAAAAACAAATTAAACCCCATAAATAAAACGCCTTTATTGTCATCATTTCAAGCTCACATTTTCATGTTATTTGTATGACGTTATTATATACAATGCGAAACATATTTAATATCGTTTTTCGTTTTGCTTCATACGGGGTATGTACGGGGTACACTACGTTTGGAACGAGCAATTACCAGTTTGGAGCTCGGAATGCACTGTTCATTACCATCCAGGCAATAATGTTGACCACTTTGGCATAATGGTTACCACGATGGCAATCACAAGACATCTTTGTTACAATTTGGACACGTGGCTTACTTCGCGGACGATTGAGCGCCAACTGTGTTACCGCCAAATTAATTACCCTCGAAATCTGCTGCAGCGCTAATACCCTCTATATAGGGCAACTTCACAACACTTCTTCGTTAACCTCCCCATTTGATCAACCATATCCACCTCATAGCCACTTAATATTGGATGCTTAATTTCAGAAATCAGCCGCAATTATGTCGAAAGACGAGGCCATAACCTCCGAATCGTCCCTGTTGGAGTGCGAAAGAAATTAACTTCAGCATTCCGTAGATGCACCCGTATCGCACCCGTCACTATCGAAGCAACACTAGCAACAGTATTAGATCAGCCCATGTCAAGGGCAGGAAGGTCAACAATCGCAAACGTCAACTGCCGCGACTGTTGACCATCTGGACTGATTGACTCACCATCGAGGAAGGGCAACAGGCGTAACCACCTGTAGAGCCAGGGACACAGCAGAAATGCATGTAAAACAGTTAGAATAAGGGAATGTACCCCTTAGAGTACATGGCTAGCTTTATCTATTTATTGCTTGTACGTTATCCTTCTATCAATCTTGTCATTGACATTCATTATGCACAAGGTTCCTACCAGAAGTCTTCCGCTACCAACTCTCAAAGCAATCCTATCCTATCCAAGATCCTCACTCTAACATGGTATGAGGTCGAATTCCTACGCAGGGACACCATCCGAAGTGGGGACAGTTTGAGGGGTTGCAAATTTGTTTTCGTTTGACGGTCTAAATATAAAGTAACCTCCTAGTTTGAGAGGCTTGACAGAACTTGCGCAGAAGCAAGGAAGTCTCGATATTTTTGGTCGGCTGTGCTTGATCAACTCACTGACCTGGGTAGCGTGGAGTGTATTGATTTTGTAAAGAATTTTGTGTGCACTTTTCAGCTATGCAACTTCCGTAGCTTGGTTGTCAAGGTCGGGTTGCTTCGGGGGGAATAGGCGTACAGCATAAAAATACGCTCAACATGTCCAGTCTTCAGGTGGTGTCCATGCCCAGGAATTCGATCTGAGAGCCTGTTTGGATAATAGGAACTACTATAAGTCCTCAACAAGACAACAATCACTATAACTTACTATTACATCAAGGGCAAGCATCATGCCAGGCGAAGATTGCAGAGAGGCTGAAGAAAATCCAATACCATCTCCCACCAATGTCACCTTTGGAACGACAACCGTGGACACAGCTTTACTCGAGCAACTAATCTCCCGCACCAGCGCCCCGGAGAGCCATCAGCCAATGAGCATCGATGGCTTAAAGCTTCGCCCGAAAACCTCCCGATCCTCAAAGAGCCTACTCCAAGCGATCCTTCACCTTTGACAATCGCAGAGCTCAAGGTCCTGCACAAGCACAACATTTGCATTATGAAACAATGGCGTTAAAGTTTCTCTCAACATCAAAGCTCAGGACCACTTTGCCCTTCGACGGGAAGGACTTACACACTTGGAATTTTGAATTCAAACTCCTGGCTTAAGGCGCACAGATCTGGATGTACTACGACGGATCTTACACATTCCCGGCCAACGGCTCACCTCAAGAGAAGACTACCACGAATCGCTACTGGCCTTCACCATCCTGTGTCAGAACATAATGCTTGTCTAGTCTGTAGTGGGGTACTCAATAGTGAGTATAACCCTTTTGGGCTTGCTATTTGTACTCCGCTTCTTTCTAGTTCAATCATCTTTCCTCTTCTACTGCTTGCACTTCTCTTTCGTGTACCCTAAACCTAGCTATGGCTTCTTAGTCTTAGCTACTATTTTGTCATGGAATCAGAGCGGTTCCGCTCTTGGCCTGTGGGCCCCACGTGCTTCCGCTGCTTTCCTGTCTGTCGCGCGCCCCGTGGCGCGCGACGTTTTTTCTTCCCGCCGCGCGTTCGGGTTGCGCGCCGGTTCGCTGCTCCGTCGAAGCGCCCCCCCCCCCCCCCGTCGCCTGCAACAGACCCGCCCGTCACCCCCGCTGCCCCGTCGCGGCGCCCTGGGGAGCCGCGCGCGGCCCCGCAGCCACGTCGCGGCGCCCTGGGGAGCCGCGCGCGACCCCGCTGCCCCGTCGCGGCGCCCTGGGGAGCCGCGCGCGCGACCCCCGCTGCCCCGTCGAGGCGCCCTGGGGAGCCGCGCTCGCCCCCCTCCCGCTGCCTCGTCGTGGCGCCCTGGGGAGCCGCCCGCCGTCCCCCGAATTGCTCACGGATCGCCCCGCCCCTCCCCCCCGCTGCTGCCTCTGTTAGG